TTTGAATATCTGTGAGTACCGGCACATGTCTTGCAGTCCGACTTCGCAGTGTTTTTAGCCTTTCAATTCCTGGTTCGGCTTATCTGCGGGTCATGTCATTTTCTTTCGTATTTCAATGGTCAAGTTAACACCTCGGCTTATCTACGGGGTCGGCTTATCCGCGGTCATATACGGTACATCAATTGTTGAAACACCTGACATTTTAGGAAAAGAGGGACTTAATAAATATGTCTCAATTTTGGACAAAGCTTTTTCCCCCAAACTGATTGCCACAGACTTTTTAATCAAAATCCTTGATCAGCCTCTAGTCCACATTGCAAATATTGAAATATGCACAGTCAGCTAAAAATGCCATTATGACAGTAAGTGATAACAGCCAATAACAGCCATGACAACAAACACACAAAAAAAGGAGACTGAAAGATCCCTTATCTTCAACAGGGGCAGTAGTAGACTAACATTTAGTCTCTGAAATCTTATATTACACAATATCCTTCTTGACTCTAAAAATAAAAACAATTCTCTATGCTGATTTCAGAATAGAGCTAGCTTGAGATGGCTACTCTTGCTTTTGTATGCATTTCTAGATTATTATTTTTTCATAAAATAAATATATTCCACGGTCATGGTGCAGGACTAGGGCAGTAGCACAGGAAACATTCAGTGGCCCTACTTGTACAGTAGCTGTTAATGATTCAGGATGTGACTAGCTGGCCTTGTTCAGATACTGGTGGAGTTATTAGCTGACTGACATGTTCATCAGGTTCATGGGGCTGAAATTGATGAGATTTATGACAAATGTCATCTGTCGTGATGATGGACAGCCACATTTTATTGATCCTGGGTAGCATTTTATAACTGTAGGCATAAATCAGGCCATAAATATCATGGGATGGTGGTCACATCTTGTCCACACACCCACGACCCACACAGACATGTGTAGGTAATACAACAAGAGTTATTCCCCTTTAGTCAGCTCTATCACTGCAGCACTTAATGATCAGTTTGAATGTTGACACCCAATTCAAGGGTTTTTATGTAGGTAATAACAAGACAGGATATTAAATTTTTAGATATATATAACACTAGCATATAATAAGAGATGAAATCAGTATGCTATTTAGTGTTTGTTAATTTCATCCCAACCAATGGAAAGATAAAGGCAACTGTTGTTTTAAGCTTTTGCTAGAGGTACTTAATAATGATTACAAGCTAATGTTCATTACTCAAATATTAAATAAAATTAAGAACTGGTAAATGCCAAAAGGCCATCAGATAAAACTAGAATATGGGTGCATTCGGTTTTATGCTGCTTTGAACAATATTCCAGTCATATCACCAAAGGTGGATTCAGGGGGCAGTATTCCAGTCATATCACCAAAGGCGGATTCAGGGGGCAATATTCCAGTCATATCACCAAAGGTGGATTCAGGGGGCAGTATTCCAGACATAACACCCAAGGCGGATTCAGGGGGCAATATTCCAGACATAACACCCAAGGCGGATTCAGGGGGCAATATTCCAGTCATATCACCCAAGGTGGATTCAGGGGGCAATATTCCAGTCATAACACCCAAGGCTGATTCAGGGGGCAATATTCCAGTCATAACTACCAAGGCGGATTCAGGGGGCAATATTCCAGTCATAACACCCAAGGCTGATTCAGGGGGCAATATTCCAGACATAACACCCAAGGCGGATTCAGGGGGCAATATTCCAGTCATATCTCCCAAGGCGGATTCAGGGGGCAATATTCCAGTCATAACACCCAAGGCGGATTCAGGGGGCAATATTCCAGACATAACTCCCAAGGCGGATTCAGGGGGCAATATTCCAGTCATAACACCCAAGGCGGATTCAGGGGGCAATATTCCAGTCATATCACCCGAGGCGGATTCAGGGGGCAATATTCCAGACATAACACCCAAGGCAGATTCAGGGGGCAATATTCCAGTCATATCACCCAAGGCGGATTCAGGGGGCAATATTCCAGACATAACACCCAAGGCGGATTCAGGGGGCAATATTCCAGTCATATCTCCCAAGGCGGATTCAGGGGGCAATATTCCAGTCATAACACCCATAGCGGATTCAGGGGGCAATATTCCAGACATAACTCCCAAGGCGGATTCAGGGGGCAATATTCCAGTCATAACACCCAAGGCGAATTCAGGGGGCAATATTCCAGTCATTACACCCAAGGCGGATTCAGGGGGCAATATTCCAAACATAACACCCAAGGCGGATTCAGGGGGCCATATTCCAGTCATAACACCCAAGGCAAATTCAGGGGGCAATATTCCAGTCATATCACCCGAGGCGGATTCAGGGGGCAATATTCCAGTCATAACACCCAAGGCAGATTCAGGGGGCAATATTCCAGTCATAACACCCAAGGCGGATTCAGGGGGCAATATTCCAGTCATAACACCCAAGGCGGATTCAGGGGGCAATATTCCAGTCATAACACCCAAGGCGGATTCAGGGGGCAATATTCCAAACATAACACCCAAGGCTTATTCAGGGGGCCATATTCCAAACATAACAACCAAGGCGGATTCAGGGGGCGATATTCCAGTCATAACACCCAAGGTGGATTCAGGGGGCAATATTCCAGACATAACACCCAAGGCGGATTCAGGGGGCAATATTCCAGTCATATCACCCAAGGCGGATTCAGAGGGCAATATTCCAGTCATATCACCCAAGGCGGATTCAGGGGGCAATCTTCCAGTCATAACACCCAAGACGGATTCAGGGGGCAATATTCCAGACATAACACCCAAGGCAAATTCAGGGGGCAATATTCCAGTCATAACACCCAAGGCGGATTCAGGGGGCAATATTCCAAACATAACACCCAAGGCGGATTCAGGGGGCAATAGTCCAGTCATAACACCCAAGGCGGATTCAGAAGGGAATATTCCAGTCATATCACCCAAGGCGGATTCAGGGGGCAATATTCCAGTCATATCACCCAAGGCGGATTCAGGGGGCAATATTCCAGTCATATTACCAAAGGTGGATTCAGAACCAGAGAACTAAGACCTGACTTTTATGAGATTGAGATTTTGATAATTGCTGGATCCTTCCTTGTATCATGGCTCGTCAGCTGGATGTGGGAGGAGGGATCAAAGTGATGCAGGTTTTAGAAGTCTACCACTTTGGTGAAACCCATGATCACGGGTATGGTGCTGACAAGACTGATAGTCAGAATGAATCTTGGATTAAAACGGTCAGTCAAAGGACTCTGGCGTGCCCAAGGGATGCAACTCTTCACAGTAAGGGCAGCACCTTCAATAAGTGGGACATCCAGGCCATCAGCTTACAGTCATAGTCCTGAGAACAGCTGAACTAATTAAGATCTCAGTTGTGAACCAGCACTGCTCCAAGGAGGTTGTAACCATGGTAACATGTTCACACTACATTGTGATATAGAATTTGTAAAACGCGTCATCAAATGTTGAGTGGCTAGGCAAATATTTCTTCATTAGATTATGCCAAACAATATTTCCAATTTAGATCTCTAACAACTCATGTTTTCAATATTTCAGTAACTTCCAAGCCACATCTTCAGACATGGAAGTATTTATCACCAAAAAACATATGAGGCATAGTTTCAAAACATAGCTTAGATTGGTTATGTATCATGGTACCTGGTGAACCCAATGGGGAGTGCATCAGGTGTGCATCAGGTGTGCATCAGGTGTGCAGGCACCTTCACAGTCAACCTGTGGCAGTCCCTCTATGTGGTTTTGTTCACTTTGTGACCTAGTGACTAGCAGTGAGTGAGTGAGTATGGTTTTATGCCGCTTTTAGCAATATTCCAGCAATATCATGGCGGGGCACACCAGAAATGGGCTTCACACATTGTATCCATGTCGGGATTCGAACCCGGATTCTTCGGCGTGACGAGCGAATTGTTACCTAGGATGGCATGGTTATGGCACAGGTATACTGAGTAATCTTGGTTTGTTTGTTGTTCAACGCCGCACTCAGCAATATTCCAGCTATATGACAGCGGTCTGTAAATAATCAAGTTTGGACCAGACAATCCAGCGATTAACATCATGAGCATCGAGCCATGCAATTGGGATACGATGACATGCATCAACCAAGTCAGCTTGTCTGACCACCCGATCCCGTTAGTCACCTCTTACGACAATCATAGTCGCCTTTTCCGGCAAGCAAGGGTTGCGGAAGACCTACCCTACCCCATATCTTAAAGGATCATATTGAGTAATCAGACGCTGTCCACATACATAACAAAAGTCAATGGATGTTGGTAGAACTACAGTCCAGAAAACAGATCCAAGGGTGATTGTAAAAGGATTCGGTGTGTGTGCTGCAATTTGATTGGTTGAAAAATGTTGTTGTCCAGCATTTTTCAGGCATTTCACAAATGGATACTTCCTTAATCATTTTTTCCCCCTTATTCCCAAATTTTAAAAACTGGCCTTATGGAGAGAGAGAGAGAGAGAGAGAGAGAGAGAGAGAGAGAGAGAGAGAGAGAGAGAGGAGAGAGAGAGAGGGAGAGAGAGAGAGAGAGAGAGAGAGAGAGAGAGAGAGAGAGAGAAAATGTCAATAAACTTTATATCTTTTCTGATTTGTGGGTTTGATTGAATATCTGATGCCCAGATATTTTACTGAGTAAACTGCCATAGGTTTCAAATGAATATTTAAGAGCATCGCATACTCAATAAAACCCACAAATCTAAAAACACAAAATGTTTACATCCTAAGTGACTGAGTGAGTGAATGTAATGTTATGCTGCAGCAATGTTCCATCTACTCCATGGCAGCCTGTAAATATACATAGTTGTACCAGACAAACCAGTCACTGAAAGCACCAATCGAGCAACGGCGACAACCATGACCTCCCTATTCTCTGTAGTGGGTGCTCACAACAACCAAGATGGCTGGGGACCTATTCTGACCCAGAAACCAAGATGCAAGGGTTTCAAGGAGCTATAAACACTATGTGATGTAGAAGATCTTACCATGTTTGGGCTTCGGGGACGATGTCATCCACAACTACATATATCATAGCACCTGCAGCGAAGGCTAAGGCATAGGGAAGGAGAGGTTCAGCGACGACCACTGCTGCTGCACCAAATAAACCAGCAATTGGTTCCACCATCCCACTCAGCTGACCATACCTGCAGGAATAGATCAGTCTCAGTCTCATCAGTTCAAAACCACTGCCTGCCCCATATAACAGGACAATTTAGTTAGACTTGTAATAAAGGGATGACCATTTGATTTTCTGGTGTAGAGGACTAGGACTGATAAGACACTCAGGTCTAAAAATATAAATTAGAAAAATATTTTGACCAATTCAGTCCCTCCTCCTTTCAGAGAAATGACTAAGACAGTAAAAGGGTAAAACTGCAGGAAATAAGAAACAGTCTGCAACTTTAGCCACAAGCAGTATAGTAAGCAGTCAGGGTGACTTCTGGAAAATAAGGCTCTTAAATTCCAAATTCACAAAGCTTGGTTAATAATATTCCATATGTTCAGATTAAAGTCTTGTGAAAAAGATGCTGAAAGACAAGTTTGGGCTTATCACTGCTGGTAGAGGCTAGACATGCTAAAGCACAGGCTGGAAATATATATACTAGGTACTCATAAGGAATAAAAGAACACCTGATTTTTTCAAATGACTATAGTAAATCTGTCATGGCCAAAGATTAACTAAAGTCATATGAAAAAATTGGTTGTTCTTTAACTTCTTTTGAGTAGTATGTAAATGAAATTTCATTCGGTTGAACAGAGGGAATAAGAATGAAATTGATTTCACTAAAGGTTAAAAAAAATAATAGTCTTGGTTCTCAGGCACCACCCGCATCATCATAAAGCCTGCCGCACATTTTGTTTTTATTTCCAGTGAGTGAGTAAGTGAGTGAGTGAGTGAGTGAGTGAGTGAGTGAGTGAGTGTGAGTGAGTGTGAGTGAGTGAGTGAGTGAGTGAGTGAGTGAGTGAGTGAGTGAGTGAGTGAGTGAGAATGAGTGAATATGGTTTTAAGCCGCTTTAAGCAATATTTCCCCTATTATAGCAGGGAACACAGTGAGTGAGTGAGTGAGTGAGTGAGTGAGTGAGAATGAGTGAATATGGTTTTAAGCCGCTTTAAGCAATATTTCCCCTATTATAGCAGGGAACACAGGAAATGGGCCTCACAAATTGTACCTGTGTCGGGAATCAAACCCGGGTCTTCTGCGTGATGAGCAAACGCATTAACCACAAGGCTACCCGGCTGCCCGTCCAGGCCAAAAAGGCAGTCCACCTCTTTAAGAAGTGTAACACATTATGCTAACTGTACAATAACAACTATGGTTATTTCAATACGTACCAAAAGCTTTTGAACACAGACATCCCCGAGCCTCTGAGTGGAAGACTAACAGCAAGACCCTCAGGGAAGTTTTGTATACCTATTCCAAATGCTAAATTCCTGAAACAGAACATTGGGATCACATCAATGGAATTTTCTCATAACAAAGAAACCATTCAAAACTTATTCTGTCATTACAAGGATTTTTTTCGGTTGCCCAACTATGTTCCAATGGAAGGCAAACTTGAAAAATATATATTTTTTGTAAGTGGAATTTGTTTAAAGTTCCTTTTTTCCTTAATTTTGAGGTATTTTAAGACTTTATTTTGCCCCAGCATTCAATACAATAATCATTCACCGGCGCAGTGGTGACTTAGCATAACACCACTGCCACAGGCTAACTTGCACGTCACATGACCAGACTTTTGTTGGTAAACAAATGTGCTTATTCTGAAATCAGAACTGACAGGCCTCATGCAAGCCTGATGCTGCACCTTCCATATTGTTTTGAATAATGATATAAATATACTACTACGACTACAACAGTCAGGTGCATGACAATATATCTTCACACATCAAAGTGACCATATCGCTAGCTCTCCGTAGGGCTTCAATGACAGCACATGGAGCCGTACAACTAATGTAAACAAAGGATAACTACGCAAATGGAAATAGTTTTAGACATTGTAGGATAATTTCTCAATGGAAGTCAACCATTCTATGACATATGTTTATCTAGATGTGTAGACTCTTCAGATTTAAAACATTTGCAATATCTTGAATGGGATGCACCAGGAATGTTGTTTATTCCAACTGTAAAACGTATACGTGTACCCTATATATATATATATATAAGTTTGCCAAAGAAGAACACTTGTCACTAAGTGGTGTGTTTCTCCAGTCGACTGAGCAAAAGAACATTTATCACCCACTTCATCATGTTCATACAATAGCATCAGGTATAGGTATTTTAGCTTTAAAACATGAAGACTTGTGTGTGTGCTTAGGGAACATATTTTCACGCCGTTATTTTTGGCAATCTGATACGAGGAATTTTGAACCCTTCATATACTTAAACTTCAGGTTGAACTCATCTACTGGTACCATGATATTAAACTTAGCAAAGTGTTATAGGTCATGAGACAAACATTTGGCTCTTAGATGCATATCAACTACACAACTGTTGTGGCCAACATACATATAAAGGGAGATAACTTTTGAAGAAATTTCAGTGCTTCACGTCACAGCACCAGGTTAAATCCTGTCACTGCTCCACTATCATGTGATGTTGTACATGTGCACAAGGTCATTTAATGATTAATATGCCAGGATAGACAGCCTAATCTTTCTCCTTTTCAAGCCTTGCTGTCTCAAGATGGTATGTTGACATAACTGTGTACATAGTGCTGAGATTGCTGGTACCATTCACCAATCGTGAACAAACTTGAGGGATATCTTTTCACGACTATTGCAGATATTCCTCTGTGCTTTTTATGTCTATTAATATTTTTTTAAAATTTCAAGTGGTTTTTTAAAGTGTTTGGCATGAAATAATTCTCACGATCAACAAAATCCATTCACACAAACTGAATATGCACTGGCTATAATCATTGACTGGAGAATCTGGCACCGAGACAAAACCACAGCAAAATTCAAAAGTCTAGACTTGCACAAGTCTCTAAGGCAATAATTATTGGTATAAATCATAATTTCTGGATTATATTAATAAAAAAGAACCAGCTATCCCTATAAGAGACCGGCGCCCAGATAACATTTTGAGATACTACGTATTTACTCACACGATACCACTCTCATTGGGTATTGATAGACTGTTTTGGTTATTCAATAAATTATTATTCCCTTGGGTTCATTCTATTGCATAATTTTAAATCAAAGAGTAGATATTTTCTACAATACTTCTGCATCAAATGCTGTATCAAGTGGCTTCTACTTTGCTCTATTAGTACATGATTGTACAAAAATGTCGTATGTTGCAGAAGATAACAGCGATAAAGGTCTACGTTACACTGAGACATAGCACTTTAAAGTATAGGTGCTGCCTTTGATCAGCAAATATAGATCTATAAATACATATGGGTGTGCAGGTTGGACATGCTACACTGGGTCATTACACACATGTCCTTATACTTGGGTTTTTAACATTTTGTTATGCGTATTAGTATGCATGCAATCCAAAATTAATTTGATTATGGTAATATAGTCTGCATATTTTACACAAATATGTAGCTAATCACATGCTAATCTGGAGCTTTCCATTATGGTGTGCAACCTAATTCCCTCACTCATGCTAATTTGCTGATCTGGTGGGAAATATGTTAACAAGCAACTATGATAAAATAATAATCAGTTTGTTATGCCCCAAACCATATTTTACCTTGCATTTTCAAAAGTAGCTGTTTTTGTCTTCCCTATAGCACCAAAGCCTACACCTACAGCAAGGCCCTCTGAAAGGAAGAGGAAGTTAATACAAGAGAAAACAAAACATGTATTGAAAGTATTAACAGATTACAATGATTGAATGTTCTAACAGATTACAATGATTGAATGTACTAACAGATTACAATGATTGAATGTTCTAACAGATTACAATGATTGAATGTACTAACAGATTACAACGATTGAATGTTCTAACAGATTACAATGATTGAATGTATTAACAGATTACAATGATTGAATGTTATAACAGATCACAATGATTGAAAGTTGTAACAGATAACAATGATTGAATGTACTAACAGATTACAATGATTGAATGTTCTAACAGATTACAATGATTGAATGTACTAACAGATTACAATGATTGGGTGTTGTAACAGATTACAATGATTGAATGTTCTAACAGATTACAATGATTGAATGTACTAACAGATTACAATGATTGAATGTACTAACAGATTACAATGATTGAATGTACTAACAGATTACAATGATTGAATGTTCTAACAGATTACAATGATTGAATGTACTAACAGATTACAATGATTGAATGTACTAACAGATTACAATGATTGAAAGTTGTAACAGATAACAATGATTGAATGTTTTAACAAATTACAATGATTGAATGTTCTAACAAATTACAATGATTGAATGTACTAACAGATTACAATGAGTGAATGTACTAACAGATTACAATGATTAAATGTTTAAACAAATTATGATGAATAAATGTATAGACTATATACACATAACAAAATGTAATCATGCAGGGTTTTTTTAAGATGTGCAAATGCCAAAATATTTATAAACAATTAGTCAAGGACATGAAAATTGATGTTTTCTTTCTTCCTTCTTTTAAAGTTTGTTTGTTGTTTGATGCCGCACTCAGAAAAGTAATTTCTGCATTGTTTGTTTTAGAACGCCCACTCAGCAATATTGCAGCCATATGATGGCAGTCTGTAAATAATGGAGTCTGGACCAGACAGTCTAGTGATTGACATCCATAGCATCGATCTAGGCAATTTGGATACAATGACATGCCTGACCACCCGATCCCGTTAGTCACCTCTTATGACAAGCATAGTCGCCTTTTACGGTAAGCATGGGTTGCTGAAGACCTAATGGTTGGATGGTTTGTTGTTTAACGCTGCATTCAGCAATATTCAAGCTATTTGATGGTGATTTGTAAATAATCGAGTCTGGACCAGAAAATCAAGTGATTGATATCACGAGCATCTATCAACGCAATTGGGATTGATGACATGCATTAACCAAGTCAATGAGCCTGACCACTTAATCCCGTTAGTCGCCTCTTATGACAAGCATAGTCGCCTTTTATGCCGAAGTTGCTGAAGAGCTATTCTAACCCGGGTCTTCACAGGTAATATGACAATGGAAGATGTATGGGGGATTAAATTAAATTTAAATTAAATAGAAGTGGCAAGGTAGCTATGGAATGAAGGACAAAGTATTGCTTTGGTTTTGTGTTTTAACACCATACTCAGCAATACTCCAGCTATATGATGTTAAATAGATAATGTAATATCTACCAGACAATCTAGTGATTGACATCACAAGCTTCGATCCATACAAAAGGGACATGATGGCAAGCAATCAACCAAGTCACCGAGTCTGATCACCTAATCCATTTAGTCGCTTGTTATAAGAATTGGATGGTGGGCACCTATTCTTACCCGGAATCCCAACCAATTACCAAAATATACAGTAAAAGTAACCCGTCCTTGATCATATATTGCTACCCCACCTTTTCCCCCTCTGAAGAACCAATAGCTACTTTCTGGAGGTTAATGAAACAAGATTCTGTGTTAATGGTCCTCAGCCCTTACTTGGTATATTATGATTCTGTGTTAATGGTCCTCAGTCCTACTTTTATTATGATTCTGTGTTAATGGTCATCAGCCCTTACCTGGTATATTATGATTCTGTGTTAACGGTCATCAGCCCTTACCTGGTATATTATGATTCTGTGTTAATGGTCATCAGCCCTACTTTTATTATGATTCTGTGTTAATGGTCATCAGCCCTTACCTGGTATATTATGATTCTGTGTTAATGGTCATCAGCCCTTACCTGGTATATTATGATTCTGTGTTAACGGTCATCAGCCCTTACCTGGTATATTATGATTCTGTGTTAATGGTCCTCAGTCCTACTTTTATTATGATTCTGTGTTAATGGTCATCAGCCCTTACCTGGTATATTATGATTCTGTGTTAATGGTCATCAGCCCTTACCTGGTATATTATGATTCTGTGTTAATGGTCATCAGCCCTTACCTGGTATATTATGATTCTGTGTTAATGGTCATCAGCCCTTACCTGGTATATTATGAACTGTAATGGCGACTATTAACAAGAGTATTCTTCTCCAGCTGGTATTCCTGGATTCTGTAAGGTGCTTCTCAGAGACAGACAAGTCTATAGACTCATGGTTAGAAGCAGCCTGGTAATAACTGTTGGTCGGCACTGGTCGCCTCTGTCGTGTGCCAGCTGGTGACTTGGCGAAGTTATCATCGTAACCTGAAGCCAGGAACATTGAAGACGGAGTGAGTCAGTTGGTTTTAAAGCCACTGGGATTCTTAAATTGATGCCGGTCACAGACACTTACTACTTTGGTGAAACCAAAGAGAATGGGAATGGTGCTGATAGGACAAGGATAATAATCATTGAGAATCTGTGATTCAAACCAACAACCAGTGGATCCTTACAGGGCTAAGGGAGATAATCTGCAGGGAACAGACTTTCATATGGTAGTTATAAAAAAACAGCTTTGCAATGACAATGTAATGGTGCTGATAAGATAAGGACAAAATCATTGTAAATCTGTAATTCCTACCAACAACAACTGGATCCTGGTAGGTCAAAGGGAGACAATCTGAAGACAGACTTTCAAAGTGTCATATCATATAGTAGTCAAATCAGATTTGCCGTGGGAACCTGCTATGTTTTATCAGGCCTGGTTCAGGCAAACCTGGGAATTTTAGTTCAAGCCTTCATCTTCAATGATTCCACGCTTACGGATCTGCCATTTTTTCGGATGGGGTAGGGGGAGATATATTTTAATACTTTTGTTTTATCAATGAGAATTATGAGTGTACAAACAAAAATGAAATGCACAAAATATAATATTCTCTACCCTTTCATAAAACAACATCAGTATATCATGTGTATGGCTGAAACAATGCTGATACAACAGCAAATCTTTTAAATGTCATACAACAACAGAGGTACTGAATGTTGCTGTACGCTGCAGTCAGCATTATTCCAGCAATATCACTGTGCCCTCTCAATTAGATTGTTTGTTACTTAACACCACTCTCAGCAATATTCCAGCTATATAACAGTAACCTGTAAATAATCAAATCTGTACCAGACAATCCAGTGATCAATTTTGTGAGCAACGATCCACTCTATTGAGGCACCAGAACGTGTTATCAACCAAGTCACCGAGCCTGACCACCTGATCGCCCCTTACTACACAAATAGGTTGCTGGGGACCTGCCGGTTATCTGCCAAAACGCCTACATGCCAAAACACCTGGTGAACAAGCAGGTTTTCTTATCTTAACACTATTCCGGGAAATACAAGTTGGTTTAAAACCGAGTGAAGGTTGGAGCATAAATGTACCTAAAGTATTTAAATAAACCAATTTCAACCAATTGTATTAAGAGTATGTTTGCTCAGGAATGTAGAGAGACAGACTTGTATTCACTTGAAGCGTGTAAAAACCACATGTAAGGGAAAGTGACCATAGATGGTAATATCCTTAGGAATTCTACAGAACACAACCATCCTCCAGAATATACAGCGTGTCTGCTTTGTCAACAACTTGAGGAAGAGAGCAAGAGAAGAAACAACACAAATGCACACACTGTACAACGGAGAACTAGCCAACTATAACCAAGAAGAAACACGTATCCTGTCTGCCTTTCCATCCACGAGCAGCGCCCTCTACCGCCACAGAAGGAAGAGCTGCTGGACTGCCTCTGCTTCCACAAGCAGTTATTCAAGACACCTGGATCGAAGCCATGGATGACATGCCAGAGCTGTTGAATTCACTGACTATGCGGTTGTCAACTGGGTTGACGACAGAGCACGATTCCGGCTGCCATTGTGGAACCATCACTCAACGATAGGTCTGGGAACAAACAACAATCTGGAAGGATTCCACAGCAGACTGAACAGTGGACTACCCCATCGACATCCCAACATCTACCACTTCATTGAAGTCATCAAGAAGTAAGATCATGCAGATCGGGGCAAGATTTCGCAGATCGACTTTGGTGCCGCCCCCAGGAGTAGAAAACGAGTCTACCGAGAGGTAGAGAATCGCTTGTACTGCTTAAAAGATCATTTGGCCCAGGGATTAAAAACACCCATTCAATACTTGAAAGCTGTTGGTCATCTTTTGAAACTTGGCTAGTGACTTATTGTGTTTATCATCTGACTGATTAGTAAAATAAAATGTATGTAAATATTCTTGGGGTTATTCCATTTAAATGACAAAGGTAACAGGCAGGGGATTAGGTGTGCATTCAACTGTTGTTATAAGCTGTAGGTGTTTTGGCATGTAGGCGTTTTGGGAGGACACCGACCTAACCTACCAAAGAATTCCCCTGGGGCTGGCCCATAGATAATCAAGTCTAGGACAGGCAAACCAGTAATTAGTTAGTACCATGAGTATTGATCAGAGCCATCAAGGTAAGATAACATACAGTTCACCAGCCACTTATTTTAACTGACCAACCCTCAATTTAGTGGGCATGGGGTTGTGGGGAAATTCTGTCCAGAATCAGCACTTGGGGAATATCCTAAAAGAGTTGCCTGTCTTGTATCATATATACATGGCTTCTTACCTTGATGTTGCATCATGTCAAACTTACCTTGGTCAAATGCTTGAGGAGGTGAATAATTTAAGTTCCCATCTTTTTCTAACTTTGTCTCCACATCCAGAGAATGGGCAAGATCGCTTGGGTTACCTCCCTTAGATGAAAAAAGATCAATGTCATCAAAATTCTGATGAATGTCACAATGTTATAAAATACTGCAGCCAGCAATGTTATCGCAAACTCCCACCTGCCTGGAAATAGTCTCATCTAGACCAGACAAACCGGTGATTGAGGGCATGAGCAACATGTCTGACGGCACAACATTAGCATGGTCATACACTGCGACCGCCTGCATTCCCATCTTTACTGGTTATGACAAGAGTCTAGCAAAATATGACAAAAAGAACTTATAGATTTCCGGCAAAAGAAGTCTGACATTACACCAGTGATCATTAATGGAGAAACCCAACAACTTGTGTCAGAATACAAGTACCTCAGAACCATCACTGACAATAACTTGACATTTTCTCAAAACACAGATACCATTCACGGATAGTGTCAATCTCACCTATACTTTTTACGGAAACTGAGATCTTTTAACATTGACTCTAAAATAATGTTGTATTCAGTCTGTTTTAACATTCTCTGTGCAATACTGGTACCGTGGCCTCTCACAACAAAACAAGAATAGACTGAAGAAATTGTAGGATTAGGAGGACAGATTGCCAGATGTGTATGCGAGAACCTGGAAGTTTTATACGAAAAGAATGTTGATTTAGCCCCATGAATTTTAGACAATCCATCTCACTTTTTAAACTCTTGTCATTCTATTTCACCATCAGGAAGAAGATATCTCATTTTGAAAGTTCAATCTAAACACTCCAACACCTTTTCCATTCCAGTTAGCATATCACTTTTAAACAAATATTAAATCCTTGTGTGAGCAAATTTTAATTTTGGAATGACAACAAAACAAAAACTAAATGAATATACCTACAACTCTTTCTCTATAATAATATACAAATTTCAGATCACAAACAATCGTAATTTAGATGAGATTCACTTAGTCTTTAGATAAGGCGGCACTGAGTTTTCATGAACATACCCTCGTGCAAGAATGGTCACTGAGCGTGAATTACGAATTTTGAACTTTTTCTAGTGGCCAAACAGCAAGTTGGATTTAGATTTTTTAGAACATACCACGATTCAATTGTTTCCAGAGTTGTCCAAAAAACTTGAAAACTGTGACTTAATCTTTCAAATGTAATTCATAAACAACGTGAATGTCAACAGTCTTTTCAACTTCCGGTGACATTTCTGGCTGCTGCACATGGCAAACACGCCACCTTCTGCGGGAAGTAAATGACTTAATTGTTGCCAATTAAACAAAAGGGTGAACCTGGAGCAATAGTCGTCGTATACTGAACTGTCACTTCTAATTAATTGAAAAGTCCATATTGATAAGATATAATTTGATATGGTCAGAGACCCGGTCTCTGATACAGTACACACGACAGAAGGAAATAAGACAGCGAAATTGGCGAATGCACTGGAATGTAAGTAATGTATTTTTTGCCAACAAACTGTCGCTACTTCATTTCATCATTTTTAAATATATATTAAGTTACAATATAAACACACATTGTCGAAATTTGGTAACTGCAGATTGTCTCCTGCATGCCAACGAAATGAACTGCTGATGGTGGTCAACATGCCTCCTAAACGATCTATAATTGTCCTCACGAATAATTCCCAATAAAGTTGACAATGAACAGAAAAACATAAATATTAGTGTAATTTCTCCAAAAGTAGACAATCAACAGAAACATAAGTACTAATGTAATGTTTTGTTAATACTAATGCTAATATTTCTAAATATGCGCAGTGGAATAATTTATGTTCGAAAATAGGATATCCGAGGATATATCCATATAATCTTGTAACATTAATTGCAACATTATTCGAGTCACAAGTACCGAAAATTAAATACAGTTTCCAATGTGTCAAGAGAAATATCTCTGAAAATTAGCAAAATTTCACCACACGCCAAAAAATCTCATTGCTTTTGGACTAGGGTAGATTTTCTCCCAAAGGTAAAAATATCAAGGATAATCCTTGAATCCCCTTTATTTATTATGTTTTTTGTGACATTTGTGATGCTCAGATGTAAGAATTCCCTTACAGGCAAAGAAGCATTATCTTATCTTATCCCCCACATCAAACCCTGGCACATACCGGGTAGTTACAAAGAAAACAACTTGGTGAAACAATGGTTAAAACATATCCTAGTGTTAATTCACTTTATACCACTAGGGTGCGTTATTCTTTGTAATGACCCCGCACCCACAACGTGCCAAGGTTGAAATTATTCGATTCAGACAAGAGTGATGCCATCCGTGATTGATGGTGTTGCAATGTTGCATATAGTGCATCACTTATCATGGAGAAAGTCTATCTCACCCTTGAGGAGAACGCTAACCTACCTTACTGTCACTCTTAGCATCTGGTCATTCTATTATTCAAACATTTTCTTTGACAAAATTTGCCAAACGTCCTCAAACTCTATTGTTTTTTGCATGTTTAGTTGAACATACCATATTTGGTAAAACTATGTCTGCAGCATAGACAAAGATGGCCCCAAGAACAAATCCCACAGCCACAGGGATGAAAGCCCACTCTCCATTCTGCCCATACAGCCCTGAGTGTTCAGCAAACTCTATCGCCGGAGCCAGCAGTGACCAGTAGGATGCTGCTGTCATCACCTGCAACACACATGGATAACATGGTCAACCATGAATAACACTCAGTCACAGAAAACACCAATGCATAACACTCATGCTGCGTCATGCATAACACTCATGGAAAACACCCATGGATAACACTCATGAATGAAACCTATGGCGAACATGGATAACACCTATGGATAACACTCATGGATAACACCAATGGATGAAACCCATGGATGAAACCCATGGATAACACTCATGGAAAACACCTATGGATAACACTCATGGAAAACACTGATAACACCCATGGATGAAAAAAAACAAAAACCACACTCATGGATAATACCCATGGATAACACTCATGGATGACACTCATAGATTATACCCATGGATAACACTCATGGATGACACCCATGGATAACGCTCATGGATGACACCCATGGATAACGCTCATGGATGAAACCCATGGATAACGCTCATGGATGAAACCCATGGATAACACTCATGGATGAAACCTATGGATAACACTCATGGATAACACCAATGGATAACACTCATGGATAACACCAATGGATGAAACCCATGGATGAAACCCATGGATAACACTCATGGAAAACACCTATGGATAACACTCATGGAAAACACTGATAACACCCATGGATGAAAAAAAACAAAAACCACACTCATGGATAATACCCATGGATAACACTCATGGATGACACTCATAGATTATACCCATGGATAATACCCATGGATAACACTCATGGATGATACCCATGGATAACGCTCATGGATGAAACCCATGGATAACACTCATGGATGAAACCTATGGATAACACTCATGGATGAAACCTATGGATAACACTCATGGATGAAACCCATGTATAACATGAACTAGAATGTGTTTTTACTCAAAAACATATGTTCCCCTTCCTTTTTTTATACATTAGTTAATAGCTGTTACCATGGTTACTGTAAATGTGTTTGCAAATCCATAAAATAATAATAGCAAATTTTAGACTGGAAAGATAATGGTTTCATGCAGAAATATTCATTAGCTGTAGAGATTTAGTGGGAAACATACAAGAAATTAAAAATTTGAAAATATGAAAATGCAATAGATGCACATGTTTCATGCAAAAATATTCATTAGTTTGAGGGTTATGATTCAGAAATGATGCCTTGAGTTGTTTGAGGCCCAATTGTTTCCATGGACGAAATAAAATTTAGAAAGATTAAAAAAGGCACTCGTAATCTGATGAGCAATGCATATGCCAAGTTTTGTTGAAAATTATTGAATGGTTTTCAAGTTATGGCTCTGAATAGTATGGGAATGTGACGCTGACACCAAAACCAATGCCAACTGCGAACCAAGCTAAACATGCTAAAAACAAAATGTCTCCCCTCCCTTCTGAACACCTCCCTTCTGGACACCTTCCAATAACATTCATGGACAACACCCTTGGATCATGTGGATTGATTTAAGATAGAGATGTAACCAGTGTTTGAAATGAAACAAATGTAAAACTACGGGACTGACACAAGATCTACCTCCACAGGCCCGAGGGCATGTGCTTATTTCGAACACTGGGTGTAACTAACTTACCCGGTACCACAATCTCATACAAATCAGATCTTAGTTCCTGCTAAAGCTGAACAAAGATCTGAAGACATCCCATTATGGGTCACGTCAGATTGGGAAAGTGACAGTTGAATGTGTTTTCTAACAATGCAACGTCGAAAAGCATAACGCAGAGTAGTCTGTATGACAGTTAGAGGCTGTATGGCTGATTCTGTTAAAATCACTGTCTATCTCTCGCTCAGTGGGATAAACTTTTGAAGTGGAAGAGACTTTTCATAGCCCTGGGGAGTATTGCCATACAAGCTCGGCCATCTATTAGCATGATTAGACATTTCAGAATTTTCCTAGTTCAGTTTTCAAATTTGGAATCGAGAACTTTGTCAAAATATAAAAGTGTAGCCTGGAATGAAAGTTGCCAGTTTGAAACTAGTGCCATAAAGCTCAAGAAAGCTGCTTTATGATTGGCTAATGTTTGCTTCTTGTTAGTAATTTCACTGGTTGGTCAAAGTTTGCAAAAGATCATTCTGATGTAAGCTGGAATGGGATGTCCTCAGATCTTTGTCTAGCAGTAGCGAGAACTGAGATCTGCTTTTTATGAGATTGCCCTGTATCATGATACATGTATTGTATCAGTAGGTCATGCATCGATACAAATCAATACAAGAGCCAATATATCATGGTATGTATAGGCATTATAATGATGACATGCAAAATGGCATGCACAAAAAATGAAAAATACTATTTTCTGGTTGTGTCATTTGTAAGGATCTCAAGACAATGTACAGTCAAGTCTCGTTAATCCGACACTCGTTAATCCGACACTCGGCTTTATCTGACACAAATGATGGGAACCGATTGATTCAGCGCTATTTAGTCCCGTTAATCCGACATTCTCGCACTCCGACTCCGACACACCTAATTTGCAACGAATTACCGAAATCACTCATTAATCAGTCTCGTTAATCCGACACAGTGGTCAGCGTACTCCGTGGTCATCTGCCCGCGAGTACACAACCCCGTGTTTTGACACGCACCGGCTGCAGAGATTAACTTTAACAATTAACACTAGATGCTGGGATCATAAAGAATTTCAAGCTTTATTATAAGAAACAAATGAAATTACACCTCGACAATGTTGATGCTGAAGAACCACCAGCCCTAGACGTCAAGCGAACAGGGGACTTTGAGAAATGTGCCTTCAAAATGTGAGAAACAGAAAACACTGACAGACTATTTTAAGTAGATGAAGCAAGTTGTTAAGACAGTAGCACTTGCATTTACACGAGGAAACACACGGTTATTATCTATCGTGAAGATGTCCGATTTTCGATCACAAATCACTTAATTTCGTTAATCCGACATACTCGTTAATCCGACACAATCATGTGCAACCAACGATGTCGGATTAACGAGACTTGACTGTATCTGTAAATGACTAAAAAAATGTCAGGTGTCGCATTATGTATCATGACATGACCAGATCCAATCTGACAATATGTTGAGATATCAGAGTCCTGCACCAAATCCACTTCACCCAACCCTCTCTGGATTCAATCTGATATGTTTTACTGTAAAGTCACGAGCCCCTAAGGCCAATTGAGGAAATATTCAAATTCATTTTCAAAATATTCACATAAATACTTACCCCAGCAGCAAATCCAAGACTTCCATCAAGTATTTTTCTCTGAAATTAAAAATGCATATTTTACACATTTCTAGTGAAAGATGTATATCGTCGTATTCATTGTATAAAGAGACCCGAGCACTAAGAAAATGGGAGATGGGAGCTTATTAACATGTAGCCTGACTCCTAGGCCCTAGAGAATAAATTAAAAAAGGAGTCCAGCTCAAGTCTAGAATGATTTGGCATGTCTACACTGCCTCAGGTGAAAATAAGGATTGTTCTGGGCTCCAAAAATAAAACAAATTCTTTTTGTAGATATATGCTTTTAAATAAGAGAACTTTATTTCTGAGACTAAATGTCAATCAATATGATACACAAGTTAACTTTGTCATCAGAGATTGACAAGTAGAGAATAAATTTAGTTCAAACGATGATGGAACCAAAACATTTCCAATAATAGTTACAACTTACAAGGCAATTATTTACACCTTCTACACCAATATGTCTTCTCCAAATAGTCTATAACATACACAAGAAAAAATGGACTGTCGGTTCTATTTTGAGGCTAAGTATTGGGCACTTGTCAACGTATGGTGACGATTACTCACAGATTGGTCTAGCAGTTGGTCATGGCGGGTACAGTGAAATGGTACACCAACTTTTTGATCCGAAACGCATCATGATACCTTGCTCATGATCCGATACCTATCACGACACATGCATGTGCTCATATCTGTGGTGAGTATGCCATCTTTTTCATAGACAATATGGCCAACTACTTGGCACACTGATGACTTACAGTTGGTAGTGTCAAGTATGGCGCAATGGATGACTTACAGTTGGTAGTGTCAAGTATGGCGCAATGGATGACTTACAGTTGGTAGTGTCAAGTATGGCACAATGGATGACTTACAGTTGGTAGTGTCAAGTATGGCGCAATGGATGACTTACAGTTGGTAGTGTCAAGTATGGTGCAATGGATGACTTACAGTTGGTAGTGTCAAGTATGGCGCAATGGATAACTTACAGTTGGTAGTGTCAAGTATGGCACACTGATGACTTACAGTTGGTAGTGTCAAGTATGGCGCAATGGATGACTTACAGTTGGTAGTGTCAAGTATGGCGAAATGGATGACAATATTTACATTTCACGACTAATGTCACTAATTATTAGTGTTTGGTGAAACAGTTATTCAAGCAAATGTTGAAGGTAAGAATCAATATTTTTTACTTGGTGTGTGACAGTGATCGATACTTGTATTGAGAAGTAAAAAATCGTAATCCACCGATGCATCACCGACTAATCAATATAATAGTTAATCATTACCATCATTATTACAGAGTGACACAGTTTCATATTCATAATTCCATCCATAATTGTAATTCTAAATTACACGAATGTAAATATAGCAGTTGGAGCAAGGAGCAGTTTGGATTCCTAGACAAAACTCTGAGCTAAATGTGTCACGTTTAATAAGCTTAGAGTACGTAGGCCACTGGTTCACATGTGTCCCACCATGGTTAGATCTAATACAGTAGAACACGGATATAACGAACGCGGATAGAGCGAACAAACGGATAGAACGAACAAACGGATACAATGAACTGTTAAAAAATTCCCGATTTATCTCCTATATAATATCATATAAAATTTATGTATATAACAAACTTTCTACAGCGAACTAACGGATAAAGCGAACTGATATCTGATCACCGACAAACCCATCTACCACTAATTAGTGACGTGTATAGCGAACTGAGAAATCTCACTCAGTGTCAAGTGTCACTGACAATTGGCTGCATGCAATCAACGGTGAATCAACACAATCGAGGCCAGAGCAAAATCACCGACTACACATCTCCCCAGATGTAAATCATAAAATGTGAATATGTTTACATGTATTTGATAACAATGTTCCAAAAATGTTATGAATTAAATGATATTATATGAATGTCATAAAATGTTATCAGTTGAATGCTATGAAGTGATCATTGCTAATACAAGTCAATGCTGCAAGATTTTATCCAAGATGACAGACGTTTCCGAGCGAAAAACTATAAAGTGAACAACAGATATATGGAACCGATTTCTCTGGTCCCTTGTAGTTCATTATATCCATGTTCTACTGTAATCACAAAATGCCTATCATTGTCTATTCTAAATGTACATGTTACCATGGTTACATGTGACTTAAGCTGCACTTGTACACGTTTACTTTTTTAGACAAAATAAAATGATGAATTAATTCAACTTCCAATGCTACACGTTCAGCGTCTAAACACTGCTAAGTCAACACTGACAGCAACAGCTTGCTATCAGCAATATACTCTTTATCATGGTAGTAAAGCAGGCGTAGCAGCCAACTTATCCATGGTTAAACATGATCTATCTTTGTAATTTGTTTTGAGGCTGCAGTGATCTTTTCCCCATTAATGTTCTGGCAAAACTAATATTATTATCACTGAATACAATGAATTGTCTGTTCTTTAAAAATAATAATGATAAACTGCAGCAAATAGGCAATTTGGTGACAGCTGACATTACATACAGGCTAAGATCAGAAATATCTTATAAATAAAACACATTAATTTGTTCTGATTCATCATGTGTTCATAGCACATGGTGTTCATGGTGAATCATTTGACATGTCTGCTGTTATTTCAATGTAATGTTACCAGGCACACCAACAGCATGAACAACAGCCTTGTCACTCCTGCTGTTGATCTCACAGCTGTGACACAAGCCGGGACAAGGTGTGGGAAGGAACACGCTAACCTGATACAACATCTCAGAACACAGACAGATTTATTTGCAGTGCAAGTTTCTTTTTTTCTGAAATACATTATTCATTTCTTATTGGACATAAGATTGATTTACATCATCAGAATAATTCAATTTATAGGAGTTCACAGAGACACCATGACTGGATTATTCATGGAAAGTACAAGCATAATTTTCCAGTGGAGATGTCGTTGAAAACTGCAGTAACACTTGGTTTGATTGTTTGATTGATTGTTTGTTGTTTAACGCCGCACTCAGCAATATTCAAGCTAAATGATGGCGGTCTGTAAATAATCGAGTCTGGACCACACAATCCAGTGATTGACATCATGAGCATCGATCCACGTAATTGGGATATGAGGACATGCATCAACCAAGTCAGCGAGCCTGACCACCCAATCCTGTCAGTTGCCTCTTACGACAAGCATTGTCACCTTTTACGGCAAGCATGGGTTGCTGAAGACCTATTCTACCCCGGGTAAGTAACACTAGGATAAACGGTGGGTGGAGAACACTTGGAAAACCGAGGGAGGATGGGGCAGGTAATAATATTTTAATTTTGTTTTCAAAACTATAAAATGCTATCAGAAAAAAAACCATAAAATGGTCCTGCCATAGACACAACTAGAGAATCAACACTTGTAACTCACATGGCTCAAACTTCTAGGAAGAAGCATTTTATACAATCACTACCTAAACTGTTCAAACATCTGCCAGATGTGTCAGGTGTGTTGAAATAGAGCCACACACCATATTTCAGCATCACATAGATCTGCTTATATGCCCACCATTATCCAATCAGCATGATCAGTTTACAGATCAATTATGCCCATGAATACTGTTCAAACATTCAAATGGATTTGCATTTGCACAGGCAATCCCATGGCAAACCTTCTCAGTCTGATTTGAGTTCTATTTGCAAAACTGACATTGTAATACTTTGGTTTGGCTTAAAAGAGTGATTTTGTGGATAATTTTAATAATAAACTACACCATTTGTAAAAGGTACTTAGTACCTATCCTATTTAATCATAATTTGAACAGAATGCAATATAAAATAGAGGTAATTAGGAATATGTGTGATAATTGGGGTAAACATAAAGTAATAAGCAATAATCAGTAATCAGTAATCAGAATAAGCAAGTTTGACTAAAGTTTTGACAAAAGGAAGTAATAACAAGGGCTGACTGGTCAATTATAAACCTCATTTTAGAAGGAATAATGTCACAGTAAAATCTTTTGTTGTGGACATGAGATGATGTCATAGAGGCACCATATCAACAAATACTTGAGTCAATTGAGCAAATTGATTCAAGTGACAAGTCAATAAATAATTAGGTTTCTGTGACCTTTGGAAAATGGATACACTTGAGGAATGTGCAGTGATTAAGTACTTGCAGAAAAAGGGATTAACTCCAAAAGCCATCCATGGAGATATGAGTACAGCACGAGAGAAGGCTGCCCTTTCCTGTGCCACCATAAAGATGGCGGAATCAGAGGTTGAGCATGGCATGGAGAGCCTTGAAGATTACCCCATTCTAAAAGTCTTGTCAACAACAGAAATGAACCAGAAAATCCACAATATTATGCTGCCTGACAGACGACTGACCGGCCATTGCTTGTTCAGTGGGCATTTCCCAGGAGAGAGTACATTTCATTATCACAGGAACTTTGGCAATGAAGAAAGTATCAGCTCGTTGGAATCCAAAACTTCTGACATCTGATCAAATATGCGCCAGACACAACATGTCTCGTGATTATCCAGCTGTCTGAAGCTGATCCAGAAAGGTTCTTGCAATGATTTGTGACTTTGAGTCCAAACAACAATCTGCTTACTGCTTTTTATTGCAAAAGGCGACTAACAGGATCAGGTTTATTTACAGACCGCCGTCATATACAGTAGCTGGAATATTGCTGAGTGCGGCGTTAAACATCAAACAAACAAACAAAACTGCTTTTTGTGGATATACCTCTATGACATAAGGTAATGTCCATAGCAAAAGACCCCACTATTATGTAAATCCTTCTATATGAGGCTCATCAATCAACCATCTTAACTAAAACAATGCCGTTTAACTCAAATGAGACCCCTGTCTACATAGTTAATGCCTTGAAACTCTGAATACAGTGATTCCTCACTAGAGCGCTACCTTCGGGGTCCAAATAATTGATGAGCGTTATAGATGATCAGCGGTTTAACGAAGTTCGAGTCGTGGGTGGCAGATGACCAACAAAACAGTATACATGCTCTGCCAACCTAACACGATCTACGTTGCATGTTTCAGAAGTTATTTATGATTCATAGTGTAAAAAAGAATTGATCGAGTCTTAATATGCGCTTTCAAAAAAACCCAACACATCGTATCCCTTCAGGTGAATAAGCAGGTAGATCTATAATATAATTATTGATTGAAATTTTGAATATAATTAAAAAAACATATTGTAAACATTAGTCTAGATAAACAATGAACATTTTTTTTATCACCAGATATTATAATAATAGGATCAAATTGCGTACTTCAGTTCGGTTTCAGTTCAGTTTGGAAAACTTGAGTTTATTGAAAATGTTAGTTAATTTGGGGAGCCATGCTTTACCGTGCGCTATAACCGAGTTAGCGCTATATTGAAGGGCGCAATAACGAGGGAACACTATATTCATGTTCGTAAATTTCATAAACAATGATAAACTCTGGGCAACTTTTGTTTTGGTGGACAAGTTGTTTCCTAGAGAGACAGGTAAAGCTGGATAAATCAGCTCCATATATAAAACCACTAAACCAGTTTGAAAGTAAAAACAGGGTACATTACTCTGATGGTAGAAATTGCATTGGAAAAGCCAGACCAGCTGGAACTGATAATAATGAATTGGATCTTTCACAGTATACCCATAAGCACCTTAAGCATATCAAGACATAAAAATATGTTTAGAAATCACTTCCTTTACAGTATTATTCTGATTAAGTTTGAAAACCCTTCTTTTCAACTGTGGGAAAATGACTTGACATGAACAAATGGTCTCTTCTGAACATCACCAGCATGTGTCAGAGGTTCACATAAATAATTACTTGTGGGAAATATAGAGTACACAAATGTTAAATATACTATAATTATTAATTGTATATTTAGCCTGTTTTTACCCCATGGGTTTATCAATTCCCTCCCTGCAGTATTTTCATTAATGTTGCCGTTACCATGGTTCCAGAACAAACACAAGCAGCGACCCACATCTGTCATGGTGTATGCTCCACTGATTTGATGGCTGGGATGATCAAGATCCACAGATATGGTACATGTGAAATAACCGGAAAATTGATCTACATGATAAAATGGATGCATCATAACAACTTTATAATTTCTTTGCCAGCAACAAATTTTGTACTTGCCCAAAGGATACATTAAATATGAGGTGAATTGCTTTGTACCTGTGGCTGATATTGTAGATAACCCATACTGACAGGTTTGCTGATCTGACTGTGACTGATGGGTGAACATTATGAATGAGGTGTCAATCATTATGCAATAGACAGCTTTAGAAGTCAATGCTAATAACCAGCTAGCTCATTGATGGTCAATGTTCAAAGTTCATTTGGACAAATGTGTTAACAGCTTCATGTATATATGTAAAAAAAGTGTCCTTTATCTTGGGAATGCTTTTTCTGTTCATAAACTATCTGACCTTGAATTTTGTCAAAAATCTAAAATATTTTGATTGTCTTGTTGACCATGTTAACAATTTCATTTCCAGTACAGCACTGTATATTTGAACACTTGTTGTTTAATATTACACTCAGAACCATTCCAGCTATATGATAGCGGTCATTAATGTGTGGAATAGGGTGGAGGTTAGCTGGTATTTTATGACTCAAACATGATGATCCTAATAAAACACAAGTTACTGATTCTTAATTATTATCCTATTTGTTTACAATGTCAAAATTAAGGGTCATTTCACACATTCAATCATGTTTGCAAGGTCAATATTTTTGTGGGATTAACAGAAATAGCAGAAACAGTTTATGTGTGACGGCTAAGAATCAGAACATTGATCAACATGGCAAACGTAACTACCAGTGAAAACAGTGGTCATCCAAATAGGTTTGATTTTTAAGCGGATTACGGTGCGTGTGATTTCGTCTTTTTCACTTTGACATTAAAATACTTCCTACAAATATTATGAATTTTTCTCTGTCAGAAATTGACTAAATAAATCACAATAATTTTTTCACTTTACTTGCCCTTTTAGAGGTTTGACAACTAAGAATTACCAAGAGGCCACATATTTATCTTCATGACATACGGCATTTGAACAGCTTTGGAATGACACCACTGAGATCAATTTGAAAAGACAGTGTCACAATTTCACACAGAGCAATGAACTAGTAATGGCTAGATCTATATTGCTGATGTACACCAGCTTGTGCATTTTGTGGAGAGTTCTGGAAACAGATCAAAGATTACCTTCAATAGCTGTGGTAATCATATCTGTCCTGCCCCCTTATATACATGTTCTGAACAATTTTGATTTTGACTTGTCACTACACAGACCTACAGGCTGTTCCATAGTGTTTTCCTTATAGATACCCTTTTCCAAATCAGCATCGCAATTTGGATGCTTCAGGGAATTGCATGGGTCATGATCTGACAACAAATGCAACATGATTCAGTTCCTAAGACACATCCCTTCAAATACAAGTACTTATATTTTAGATTGTGCAACAATACATTTACCTTTCGAGTAGAGACCGAACTGGCAAAGAAGTTTGATTCACCATTGTGCGCTGTGATGACAGCCAAAAATTTGTACCCTCTCGTTGATTCCAACCCGACAATGGCGACAAGTACATAGAAAGTTGCATGATAAAAAATATAACTACACATATTTGAAGGCAAGTGTTTAGGAAGTGAATTGTGTTTTGTGGGATTACAGTTCATGTACAGTATGGACTTTCTTCAATGTTAAAACCTATTTTTGACTGCAAATGCTGCTAATAAAGATAGAATGGTCTCTCTAAATTGAAATAGATCCTCTGAGATATCAGTCCTTATCACCAGTTTTCATCCAAATGCTTCAAACCACTGCATGTTTTTATCAAGGATGAGCTAGCTGTATTGCTATGGCTTTTCACACTGTAAAAAAAAAGCCTAATTGATTAAATGTCAGTAACTCCATTTTGTGAATTTAAAGCCTTTAATGTTGTTTCTTTATTACAGCAAAGTTGATGCAACTCCTTTTTTTGTGAAACCTGGTCCAACCCAGATCGACGTGTCACCCATTGAAAACCGCTATCAGCTGTCGTAAGTCACTTATGGTGACAGGTCGTCAGGTGTGGGACTGAACCATTCCTTGACATGCAGCATTTCTCGTTGTCAAAAGGTAAGGAAACATTGTAATGGCCCCAGACTTACCTGGCCGCTTTTGAAGACAAATACAAGCCCCGACCCAAGCGCTGTCAATGCCCAGGTAAACAAGGTACCCAGAAGGGCCTGAGCAACAGGACTGTACCCCTGCAACATTGCTTCGCCTCGAAACACACCGGAAGTAAACAACGTGTAAGCCTTTTATATTGGAAAGCTATCCAGGGGAAGTAACTGATAGACGATTTTTAATTACCGCTCATAAACTACTTCTTTTCACCTAAAGTTGCAGGTATTTCACACACGACACGAACAAAATTATTTCTGTGCTGTCATATTTTGAATAATTATAAACAAATGTTATTTCTTTTTATATGTTATAATTACGGAGACTTTTCTTTTGTTTCTCTTATGTTATTTATGAATCTGCCATAAATATGTTTAAAAAATGAATTTAGATATTCAATAAATTTGCATAAATAAAATTCTATTCTTATTGAAAATTCTGCTAAATTTCAACAGTATTTTGTAGAAATATATTGCAAGTAGTTTTCTATAAAAAAAAGTATTTTCCTTCATTCTCAGGATATTAATACTTCTTTCTGTTTGTCACTCAGCAATATATTCGAGCTATGTCAGTGGGGACTATTTCAGTCTTGACCAGACAATCCATTTATTGATATTGTGAGCAACCACCCATCACATCAGGATATGAAGACCGCTACCAACCAACTGACTGAGCAAGACCACCCAATCCATTTGGAAGCTGGGGACCAATTATTAACCGGAATCCTCATGGCTCTTTCTGTTTGTAACTGTTGTGACACTCAGAACTGTCCCTGAATGATGCAATTCAATCGTTTGTATGTACATTGCAATCCAGTTTAGTTTGATTCGATTATGTTCGATTGTTTTACATAGAAGGCTCTGATGGTTTGAGTACCTGGGTTTTAATATCCGACCAGGACACAAGTACCTGATTTCAATTGTAATATGTCGCACAATCAATATTTTCTCTCTTTTTTTTTCAATAGCATCATCTAAAGCAAAATGCATCAAGACACTGTATATCGTTCCTCTTCCATGTCTGCAACACGTGTTAGAGAAGTGACAATGTGAGTTATCTCCCCGAGTCAGGTACATGTACCGGGTACTCAAGTCCTTCACAAAGGACCCCAGTCCATCTTAACCTGCCCCATGCTCTGGTAGCTTACTTGGGTAACGGTCATAGCCTTATTTACATGAGGGTAGATTTACACATGACCTTTTCACATAAACAGATTTTCTTTTTAACATACTGGGTTTTTAAATGATAGAGGAAAATTATGTAGACAGACAGTGAATCCTTAATAAGTCAGACTTTAAATGTGAAAAAGGCAAATGTCACACAAACATTCCGAAAGGTTGAGCAGTAAAATTAGTTCTGCTTTACAACACATTACCTAGTTTGCAATCATTCATGAACAGTGGGGTTGTCGGGTAGCCTAGTGGTTAAAGCGTTCGCTCGTCACGCCGAAGACCTGGGTTCGATTCCCAGCATGGGTACAATGTGTGAAGCCCATTTCTGGTGTCCCCCGCCTTGATATTGCTGGAATATTGCTAAAAGTGGCGTAAAACCATACTCACTCACTCACCCACTCACTCATGAACAGTGAGTGAGTGAGTATGGTTTTATGCTGCTTTTAGCAATATTCCAGCAGTATCACTTAGGGACACCAAAAATTTGCTTCACATTGCACCCATGGGGGGAACAGAATCTGGGTCTTTGGCGTGACGAGCGAATGCTTTGACCACCAGACTACCCAACCATACTTCATTCATGAACAGTCATGTATACTAACAGTTGTTTATGATAGAAGAGACACACAGTTATTATTGTTAAATATAGTCATAGCTAAAAAAGATAGCAACGAGAAAAATCGCTAAGAACAATGAAGAATGAAACATGGTTTATTTCACGATGAAACATTGTTTTATCAAGACATCATTTTTGGAGATTCGAACATATGCTCGCAACTTGATGACATCGTAATTTTGACGTCATTTCTCAGAGGGAAGTGTCTTGTGAGTGAAACCCATGGGTATGGTGCTGACAAATCAAGCATTATGAACAGGGCAATTACATCAGCAGATCCTGGCAGAACTAAAGGATGCAACTCTGAACAGTGTATTCAGGCCCCTTAAATCACTGCGTCGCCAATGTGGTGGAATGTGAAGGACCAAGGTCACTTCAGGTACAAAATCGAAATATGAAAGAGGTAATGGTTGTTATGCTGAATACCACATACTTCCTGAATATCAAATTTCATGATGATAGAAATTGTTGAGTAATGAGTACATGGGTAAACAGAATCTTCAAAATCATATCAGAATATGAATACACAATGCCATTTAGAAAGTGGTCAAATGTAACAAATGTTATATTTGGGATAACACTTTCTTAGTAAAGTACAGATTCTTGTACTGTACTTTACTAAGAAAGTGTTATCCCAAATATAACATTTGTTACATTTGACCACTTTCTAAATGGCATTGTGTATTCATAGCTTTCGGCCATTGGAGCCGTGCCAATTTACACTTGTCAGAGGGGTACGTGATCTAGACTACCAGTTGTCGGACTTTCATTTTTGTGGAAGTCTCGGTGGCTGAGTGGGTTAGATCGCTGACTTTGTGTGCTGGCGATTAGGTGCCTCACTCTGGCAAGTGTGGGTTTGAATCTCGGACGGGACTAAACCCAAAAAAGTACGAGAATCTGTACTTTACTAAGAAAGTGTTATCCCAAATATAACATTTGTTACATATCAGAATATTTTTAACAGATGAGGACACCATGACAAAGATCATGTAGGCCTACAGAAGATTTCAGAATGATATAGCCTGTGGAGATGTCAAAAATCGCCAGATGACGGCTAAGCTATTTCAAAAACTGCAATGGACCTCTGGTTAAGGCGAGTTCAATATTTGTATAGTTGTTCCCAATATTAATATGTGGTGGCATGTTAAGGTAAGCGTTCACAGTCACAGAGAATAGGTGAATGGTTGACCGTGTTGGGCAGCTTGACTTGAGAGAGTATCTAGGGTTTTGATCCTGCACCACATTGAAACACACATTATATGTTGTCTCCTCAGGCTAGAGACTTTGTTCAAAATATGCATCTGTTCACCCATTGGTACCCAGTAGGACAAGGTGGTAATGTGACCCTGGCAACTGATAAAGCAGCTCGAGTTGTGTACTCCTCAAGGAGCTGAGACATTTGCGCACGGATCCAAAGACTGTAATAATAATGTAACGCCATGAGCATTCATTCATTTGGTGAATGAAGTCCAATGCTTTCAACATAGTGGAAGCAGAAATCCTCGCTATAATTCACTGCGACAAGTGGGACAATAAAGGTACGATTCATAGGATCAGAGCAAACCCCAAACATAATATGTATGAATGTAATTACTACCACCAACTGTTACAAGCGATGTATTTCTGTACCCAACATATTTGATGGCTGACTAACAATAGCTGTCCTTGGTAATTTGTCTGAGCAACATATGGTGAGAAATTCATGTTTCAACGTTTAGTTTATCAAACATAGGCAAATTGTGACAGAAGAGTTGTAGCTTGTGTTAACACAATAAGGCTCCTTTGTAAAATTTTGAAAAAATCTCTTCTGCCACTTTTGTTTTCTCTCTATCACTGCAGGGAAGGTGGGTTTCCTAGTGGTCAAAGTGTTTGCTCATCATGCTGAAGACCTGGATTCGATTCCCCACATGGGTCCAATGTGTGAGGCCCAACTGTTGTCCCACAGCATGATATTGCTGGAATATTGCTAAAAGCAGGATAAAACCATACTCACTCACTCATCACAGCAGCCAGTAAGATATCAGCACTTGATCAGAAACAAATAATGGTTGATAGCATGAGCACTGTTTCATGTCATCGATGTCACACAAGCCAAGGACTTGTTGACCCAGACAGGCGATGGGGTAGCCTAGTGGTTAAATCGGTTGCTTGTCATGCAGGAGGCCCGGGTTCGATTCCCCACATGGGTACAATGTGTGAAGCCCATTTCTGGTGTCCCCCGCCGTGATATATTGCTAAAAGCAGTGTAAAACATACTAACTCACTCTATGCCAGACAGTTGTCTGATATATTATGATAAGAACATCAAACAGGGTTTTAAGAAACATTGTTTATTGTGGATGATATATGACAAAGTACTGGGCAAAATATCAAAACAATGCAATGATGGAATACAAAACAATCAAAATCTATGCAAGTACGAGTACATCTAATAAATCGGTATAAAATAACCCTTATTCAAATATGAATAAACAACAAGTTTGAAGGTTAACAATGTGTTCACATTAGATTTAAGCCAGTGAATTCAAAATGAGGCAGAAATCTCTCTACATACATGCACGTATAATGTTAAATCTAAAACCTTAAGGGTCCATTTGCTGGAAACACATGTACATCTGTTATGACTGTCAGTGAATATAACACAGTAAGATCGGCCTTTAAATCACAAATTGGGGACAATCAGCTCTGGAAATTAGAGTTTCTCCATCTATCTTACACAAAACTTTACCTCAGGGATTTAGGTCCAAGTTTTTTAAGATTTGTTTGTTTGTTCTTCAACCCCACCCAGCAATATTTCAGCTCTATGATGGTGGCCTGTAAATAATGGAGTTTATACCTGAAAAATGTATTTAATAACAAGTAATACTCTCTGTAATAGGAGGTAAAAATCATTTGAAACACATCCCATGTTAATGAATAACTGAGTGAAGAAACAGTCATCAGAAATGATTCCGTTCTTCATCACTGTTATGATTTTTACAAATCATGAAATGATATCAATATTTGTTCTCACTCTATCAAATACAAAGGTTTTCTTTATTGCTATTCACAACAAAACAAATGTTACCATGCAGAGTTTTGGACTTCACACTCCAGCAAGCAATCTTTCAGCCAGTTCACATCAAATTGCATTTTGTGTAATCAGTTACGAAATTGGATAACTATAGTGGCCGATGGCATTAGCACCTTTAAGAGGATGTCGTTTAATGCTGGAATCATAACAGTGAGTGAGTAAGTTGGGTTTAACACCGCTTTTAACATTAATTCAGTTATATTGTGGCGTGTCAGCTTAAAGGGGCACTGATCTAACGCAATTCCCCGGGACTGGTTGTTGCCTTTGTTATTGTTTTTTCCCAGTGAGTACCCGGATGTATAGCAGAAATCTAGACTAGTTCGCGACCTCTGCTGCGCCATTCGTAAGCGCATTAGTCGCTTTTATGGGTAGTAATAAGGGCGTATGGTCACATTGATGAACAAAATGAAATACAGTTTTCGAGATAATAAGGAAATGTAGGTATCTTTGTGGGTAGCATCGGTAATGGTGACGAAGTTTTGATAAGTCACTTGCTTGGGATTTTGCGATTTTCGTTTACACTATTTTGACTTGCAACACAAAGTACATATTTCACCTGAGCATTGCTTTTTTTATAGTGTGTATTTTTTTTTACTGTCAAATGTGTAACAAATTTATTAAACGTCTAAATATTCAGTTATATTACAAAGTGACTGAAAAACATTTCCATCTGTATTATTATGATAACGAATTCCAAACATTTTGATGTTTAATGTCATCACCAAGAGACTGAAAATGTTACATTGAGAAAAGTACATTTCTATGTTGTTTGGCTTCTAATCCTACATAATAATCTGTTGTGATGTTTGTAGGCCTTTTTGATCGTCTTAATCAATCTGGACAGATCTTTTAGTCAAAATGACTGAAATATTTACACATTTTATAAATTGCCTGAGAGAATCACATTTTACAAATTGACGGTAATATATACACGCTTACAAAGGAAAAGACCTGTGAAAACAACGTCTATCGCGCATTGAAGGATTTCCCAACCAAGACGTAGAGAAACAAGAACGAATCGGTTCAAAGGAAGGAAAACAAAATGCAAATATCATAAATACAACCTACCAAATTTATGTGTATAAATTTTAGGCAGCGTCCTTGTTCGAGGAATGTATCCGTGAATATCCACACAAAGGAACAATATCCCACTCGTCTGCAGATGTACAAAGAAACTTTTTCGATGTCACGTGTCTCAGTAACAATCAAATATTTTAAAAGATATATGTCGTTTCGGGATATTATAACCCGTGTTCGTTTCTCAACTGATCACTTGGATTGTTTCAGGTGTTTTACATAGGTGTCAAGTCTCAATGGTCGGCTGAGAAAGCCCACGTGACAACTATTTTCATAACGTTCACGGTTCCTAAAAAATCCATTGAGTGATAGATAACAATGATCAATCAATCAACGTATTATAAGTTAACCCTTTGAACAAAGTATGTTGTTTTTACATCAGCACTTCACGCCATGGTATGAGTGTATTCCCTTTGTTTTAGTAAACCTAGACATGTAAACACTCACTCTTGACATATCCACTGTGCAAGATAACAGTGATTAATCAATCAACGTATTTTCTGTTAATCCTTTGATGACTAGGAACGTTCCGTTGATTTACAAAAAAATAAATCAACTGATCATTCATCTCTTGCTGGGCTGCCACGTGCATATTACATAACACACATTTCACCTCACTTCAAACCTGGATTTAGATTGAATAATTACCCCAGACACAATAAATGCCAAATGGGAACCTTTGTCAGGTAATCTAAGTGGTGCTACCACTAATTGTACCTGTAATAAATTCATTAACTGAGCATCAAGTGAATGACGACAAATACACAAGTGAAGGGTTATACGAGAAAACGTGGATGTCAACAAGGGAGTAGTAATCGTATTATCGACGCAAGCCGAAATACGAAAATGCTTTCACTGCATGGATACTTTTTTTAGTATAAAACTATAACCATCTGGGGTATTTCCAAATGACGACATCCGATGAGCTCCGCTGTTCTTTTTGTCTGCTTGTTTAGGCTGAAGAAATTAATTAACATGCGCCCTTTGTCGAAATCTGTATAGATCACAGTTAACCAATCAGTGTTTATGCAAAAATGCGTAAAACAAATATTGCCTCCAGCCTCCAAGTTTATTTAGCTGTCCTTGCAGACAGTAGCCCAGTCTCTGGTCACGCTCAGTTGCGTTGCGTATCATCCGGGTACTCACGGGGGAAAAAACAATAACAAAGGCAACAACCAGTCCGGGGAATTGCGTTAGATCAGTGCCCCTTTAATGTGGGAGGAAAGACTGAAGTGATGCAGGTCTCAGATGTTTACCACTTCGGTGAAACCCATGAGCACGGGTATGGTGCTGACAAACCTAGAAACATAATCGGGACGAACCGGGATTCGAACCCAAAATCATAGGTTTCTGGCGTGCCCAAGGGACGCAACTCTGCACAGCGAATTGCGGCATTAGATGACTGGGCCACCCGTGCCCCCTGGAGTCATTACAACCATATCATGGCATCCTGTAAATAACTGCATCTCGACCAGAATAACAAGTGGATGATAGCATGAGCAACATATTGCAGGCGACAGACAGTGATAGTTTAACATTGTAACCATTAGGGCATAATGACTGATGTGGCCATTAATTTTCATTGTGGTTAATTTCCTAACAAAGCTTTTTCTCAGAACATGATAGGATCTTCAAAGGAAGATATGAACAACATGTCCTGTAGAAAATACATGTACATCTAAATCAAACTGGAAATCTAACGGATGTCATATCACAAAATCAAGTGATTTCCTGATCACAGGTGGCAAGGGCTTTGATGTACCAGAGAACAATGTCAAAGTTAACATCCACAGAGCAGGAAATATACACGTATCACAGTTGCCCCGTTCCCAGTGTCATATAGCATCTGTTTACATCATGGGGAATCAATGGCCACAGAGATTTGTCTGGACCTGCTCAGAGGCTGATATTTGTCCCCAAATCTGCAGCAAATGTCAGTACATATTTACCATATTACCAAAATGTCCCTGATATTCATGTTGTAGTTATGACTGATGTTCTCTAATAGTAGGACTAACGAAGGGAAGAGACTTTACTGCTCAGTTTTGCTTGGTTGCATCGAATGCAATAGTGTAATACAATGTTAAAATACCATGCACTTGGTATGCTATCCCAGATAAATTCCTGCTATATTTAGAATGGAAAACCCAAATACCATGTGTTTGTCATAGTCAGGATATCAAAACTGATAAAACGAATGAATAAGTGTAGAAATTCAGCTGTGGAAAATCTGATTTCAATTTCTCTGCACTAAGCATTGCTTGTGTTAGGAGGAAAAAAATGCAAAAACTGTACGTAACTTAATTCACAATATATTCCTTATTTTCAACAAATCAAACAAAGAATAAAAAGTATGAAAGATAATGAAATTCACTCAAGTCCACATACGATATATAATATTGCTGACAATTTTTAATGCAAGTACCAGTATAAATGATTCTATATTCATATAACATAAATCAATCATATCTACACTTCACCATCCTCGAATAGCTTCACACATCCTGATACAGTCACACCTATTAAATGTCTACCACGTCAATACCTTTTCTAGACAGATGTCACACACATTATACAACCTTCACTCAGCATGGGATGATACAGCTACTACAGGAAGTCCACAACATGTGTCTAAAATACCATACTTGTTCTATAGTTTATTAACTGATACAATACAGTTAATTAAGAAGATATCCTTTAGCATCAAAAGGCCCTTTTAAATTATATTTTATGAGAAACAAATACTTATTTTGTATCTATATATCACATTGTGAAATAAAGACACAACATGTTTCTCAATTGATATTCATGACTCTTCAGGCCCTCATTTAAAAAACTGCAGTTTATTGTGACAAGTTAAATCAACACAAAAGTTTACTGCAGGCCACAAGGACCTATACAAACTTGAAACTACTGGCCCAACACAAGATCTCGCCACAAGCCTACAGGCAGACGCTTATTTCTAACACCATTTTCAAGACAATTTTGTACATGTTTGGACACTTTTGTAGAAAAATGTCCTGCATACATGCAGTAAATACTGGTGCACATATTACTCATACTAATAGTTTACACATTTATGTTCAAGATTTATTGATCTGGCTTATTACGGATGACTTGACCTAGCAATGCATGACCTATATATAAGAAAATCAGTCTAGAGATTAAATTGGATTTCTTATCTATATGGTTCAAGATAAGTAAGTTAATAACAAGCTATATGATGGACATGTGTAATGATTTCAGACACACTAAGGAGCTTCCAACAAAATGAATACCCCAGTTGGCAGAATACAGACACCACTGTTGACATAATGTTATAATAGCAATGAAGTCATATTGTTACGACATGTTCACTGTGTCATCTTCTCCACATGCAATAAAGATACTACCTCTTTACAACAGCTGATAATAAAATGTGGATAATAAAGAGATTATATTTGCTCTTGCTCCTGAAATACAAACACTTGGACACTTGTCTCCTAAAATTAGTATGACACACACACTAATTTTTCTTTATTCTACAGATTGCAATAGCTGACTACTGCCTGATTGTCTGAAGGGATGATTTCACTTGGCTGAGTTGTTAGAATGTCAAGTGGTCAGTATCATCAGGAGGTGACTTCTGAAACGAGACCAGTGTCCTTCACCTTGTCATGAACACCCTGGTTACCCTGACATACAGTGGAGGTCGGTGTCCCCAGTCACATCCACGCTTCCCACCCTATCCCAACCCACGCCCTCCCCAGCAGCAAAGGTCATTGGCCAGTGTCCTTGATCACACCCAGGCCCCACCGACACCCTCCCCAGCAGATTAAGGTCGTTGGATAATATCCCTTATCATACTTAGGCATCCCAATGAAGATTGGTGGCCAATACCCCAATCACATCCAGGCTTCCCAACCAGCCAACACCCTCCCCAGCAGGTTAGGGTCAGTGGCCAATACCCAGATCACATCCAGGCTTCCCAACCCACCCACTACACCCTAGCAGGTCAGGGTCAGTGGCCAATACCCCGATCACATCCAGGCTTCCCAACAAGCCCACACTCTCCCCAGCAGGTTAAGGTCAGTGGTCAATACCCCGATCACATCCAGGCTTCCCAACCGGCCCACACTCTCCCCAGCAGGTTAGGGTCAGTGGCCAATACCCCGATCACATCCAGGCTTCCCAACCCACCCACTACCCCCTAGCAGGTCAGGGTCAGTGGCCAATACCCTGATCATATCAAGGCTTCCCAACCCACCCACTACCCCCTAGCAGGTCAGGGTCAGTGGCCAATACCCCGATCATATCCAGGCTTCCCAACCCACCCACTACCCCCTAGCAGGTCAGGGTCGGTGGCCAATACCCCGATCACATCCAGGCTTCCCAACCGGCCCACACTCCCCCCAGCAGGTTAGGGTCAGTGGCCAATACCCCGATCACATCCAGGCTTCCCAACCCACCCACTACCCCCTAGCAGGTCAGGGTCAGTGGCCAATACCCCGATATCCAGGCTTCCCAACCCACCCACTACCCCCTAGCAGGTCAGGGTCAGTGGCCAATACCCCGATCATATCCAGGCTTCCCAACCCACCCACTACCCCCTAGCAGGTCAGGGTCGGTGGCCAATACCCCGATCACATCCAGGCTTCCCAACCCACCCACTACCCCCTAGCAGGTCAGGGTCGGTGGCCAATACCCCGATCACATCCAGGCTTCCCAACAAGCCCACACTCTCCCCAGCAGGTCAGGGTCGGTGGCCAATACCCTGATCACATCCAGGCTTCCCAGCCGGCCCACACCCTCCCCAGCAGGTTAGGGTCAGTGGCCTGGTCTATGAGGGCAGCCACCTGCTGTTCTACAGAGAGACCCATCCTTGGCAGCTGAGCACGGACATGTTCCTTCTTGTTGCCAAGGAGGACCTCCTCCATACTCTTGATGGCGATGTTCCGGGAGTGGCCTAGTCGCAGTTCTTCTCTGTAATATAAGATGTACATGCAGTAGACATTAAGGAGTGGCTAACCTAGCTAATGGTTGGTTGGTTTGTTCTTTTACGCCGCACTCAGCAATATTCCAGCTATATGACAGCGGTCTGTAAATAATCGAGTCTGGACCAGACAATCCAGTGATTGACATGAACATCGATCCATCAACCAAGTCAGCGAGTCTGACCACCTGATCCCGTTTGTCGCCTTTTACGACAAGCATAGTTGCCTTTTACGGCAAGCATGGGTTGCTTAAGTCCTATTCTACCCCGGATCTTCACGGGGGAATTTTATGAGATGCTACACCAACCTGACTGCAGAGTAAAACAATATCCCCTTTCTTATTAACTCTAAACAACAACATGTTATTATTCAGCATGTCCAAAGGAACATATTTTTATTTCTAGCATTTTCTTGAACATATTATTCATCATTTTCTTATTTACAAACGTCATTCTCTTATTTGTTTAAACTAATCAATAAACAAAGTCAATATGGAGCTATTTGACTGAAGAGTTAACTGGTAACATGATCTTATAATCCTATTGTTTCCAACGCCCAAAACCTTTGGTGTTGTCATAGCATATCTCTCCATATATATATTTAAAGTTATTTTGATAATAAAATACTTCATATAAACAATATGCAAAGTAATTAATATACAAATGTAATCAAGATGCTAAATACATTCAAAATAATATTGGCAACAAACATTTATGGACAGATGACGGAAACGAAAGCTCATATTTAGATTTTGTTTAGCTTAGAGGACCAAAGTCATACTTTCAAGATGGTTACCATAACAACCACAGGGATATATTAAGGTTAAGTTATCTGTTACATAAAAACATTACACATCGTTTTGCATATCCTGGGGTGTTCAAATACCAAATGTTCCCTTGAAATAAACTTAAACAAGTTAACACCAACAATTTTTGTACTTGCCCTAGGGCAACTAAATATGTATTTTCCCTTTATATTGACACTTTATTTTCACAGGTCGGGCAAGTCGGGCATACTGATTGAACACCACTGACTTCCGCATACTGTAATGTTCATTACATTGATGATAAAGGAATGGGTCATACTGACTTTGTCAACATGACCGCAATGGTGGCCATGTTTGAATATCAGAATTCTAGTGTATTTTAAGGACACTATCGAAGGGATTATATATACAAAGTTTCAAGCAGTTTCGGTGTTTTCAAGCACATCCTTCCCAATGAACTGATGTCTTTTCATATGTCTAAATCAGGGAACTATCTGGACACATCTCTATAGTCTCATTAACAATGTTTGGGGTCCATGGTAGGAAAATGTAGGTCCCAGGGTGTCTACCAACACATAGATATAATGTGATGGCAGATTTCCTTGTTTGAAACACAACTTACAGCAGAACCTCTGACACAGAATCTCCAAACTTGATGTTCATACAACTGAATCAACTTCAATGATTCAAACATGAATACTCTTTAACTGTTTGATTGGCATTCTAGAAGTTGGCAAATAAGTAAGGAAAACCTATGACTTTCTGGACAACTCCTGGTTTTATTGCATACAGCGACGTTGGATGTCGATTCTTACACCGTTATCAAGCTGGAGTGACAACAACCAAGTGATGAGAAATCTATATGCATGACATGGTGTGATAAGCAGCAGAATAACATAGACAACAACGGTAACATATACCTCTCATCACTTGGATGTTGTCATTCCAGTGTAAAAATCTGCATTGAAATGTCGCTATATGCAATAAACCAGAAGTTGTTATCCATAAAGTTGTACGTTTTTCTTCTTATGAAAACTCTTTTGCATCCATTGGTGCTTGTCATTTGCACCCATTCTCAATTTTATTATGTATGTTACCCAATATTTTGCGTGTGATAATACCCTACCAGACAAGACCAGCTAAGAGGCCGATATTTGGCCCCAAATCTACAGCAAATGTCCATCATATGAAATTTCTATTCAGAAACTAATAAAACATGTTTTGAATATGGAATTTCCCCAACTACATTTTAGTTCTGATTTCAATTTAACCTCAACAACATTCCGATGCCTCAAACACCACACAATGTCCCCTGAATCGGAGTTTTACATTGTGCTGCATGTAGTCTATTGATTTACACAGAACATCTGTGAAACAGCTGCACCAGATTTGTCATTGATTTTAGGAATAGACTTCTTGTTGAATCAGCCTCCATGAGAACAGATGGACGAGACACAATAGCTTCACTTTACACTTAATCATACATAAATAGTGTTCAACAATCCGTATATCTTCTGGATGGTTCTTGTTTATTTTAAATTTCATGAGCAAGTGTATATAAATATTTCATAATATTTGATCAGATATTGTCAGTGAACATTCAGTGACTGTTTTCATCGTTAGAACATGAGTGAGTGAGTATGGTTTTACGCCTCTTTTAGCAATATTCCAGCAATATCACGGCGGGGAACACCAGAAATGGGCTTCACACATTGTACCCATGTCGGGAAATGAACCCGGGTCTTCGGCGTGACCAGCGAACCACTAGGCTACCCGACCGCCCCGTTAGAACATGAAGCCAGTCATGCTGGACAGAGGTGGTTTTAAACTGAAAATAATGATTATATTTAGTGTTTATATAGTTTTGAGTTTGGAAAAAAAGCTTCCCTTGGTTCAGTACTGTTATTGTCTTGTAGGGAAAAGTTTTATGCATGGGGTGTTTCACTGACGTAGGACAATCTGAGATCCAATCATATATTTGTAAGACAGATATTCCAATTTGATGATGTGGAGTGAATTGGTTTTATAAATGTTTTGTTCATTATTTCTGCTGGTTCAAGAAAACCTGTAAGAACATAAAGTTATCCATTTCCTCCACATTTCCCCAACATCACGCTGAGTAGCATAATGTATTCGGTAATAAAATTCAATGAAATCTCAACACAGTGAATTGATACAAATGTCAAAAACACAATAACCCAAGGACTAGTTTACTATTTAGTTATCCTGACTCATACTTATTGCTTAACTCATCTCAATTCCAAAAAAAGTAGTAGAAACTTCCTGAACAGTGTTCCCGGAGAACAGAAAAAAACCCAGCTCACCTGAACACACCCCTGAGCTGCGCATGCACATAGGAAGCATGTGACCAATCCAGAAGACTTGTCACTCCCTCATCCTCTTTCCTATGTCCAAAACATGTATGAGGGGAAGAGGGGACGCCTTAGCGTGAGTCAGGATAAGTATAAGTGATATTTTTACTTTAAAAAATACATATTTTACCTTATCCGACTCATACATATTGCTTGAATCCAACAGTAGGTGGTGGGTTCCACCAAGTATGTGATTCAGACAGTGAGTGAGTGAGTTTGGTTTAACGCCGCTTTTAGCAATATTCCAGCAATATCACGGCGGGGGACCCCAGAAATGGGCTTCACACATTGTACCCATGTCGGGATTCGAACCCGGGTCTTCGGTGTGGTGAGCGAACACTTTAACCGCTAGGCTACCCGACCGCCCCCTGATTCAGACAGAGATCTGTTCATATAACCCCATGGGATCTTGATAATCTTCTTGGTTCTTCTTATATCCATGTGGGATACCTCCTCCTTCTTGGTGAAATGATTTTGTTTGTTTGTTTGTTTGTTTGTTTGTTGTTTAACGCCACACTCAGCAATATTCCAGCTGTATGACAGCAGTCTATAAATAATCTGGACCAGACAATTCAGTGATTGATGTCATGAGCATCACTCCACGCAATTGGGAAACAATGACATGCATCAACCAAGTCAGCGAGCCTGACCACCCGATGCCATTAGTCACCTCTTACGACAAGCATAGTCGCCTTTTATGGCAAGCATGGGTTGCTGAAGACCTTAGTGAAATGAGGAGTACATCTCTTTGATTTTGTGGCTTTGTAAAGTGAGCTCAGAAAAGATTTTCCCGCCTACTTTAAATGATTATAATGTTAAGAGAAGGTCGTAATCTTAAACACAATCACTGTCACTCATGCTCTGAATTACATAGTAAAACAGAGGACACAGACTCTAGGTCATTGGTTATGGGACAGTAACCTGATGTCATCAAGTCTGTACAAACGTGGGTGAGTGTTGTAATAGGTTCATCTTCTCGTAGGCATTGTCAGTTGCTGTGCAACTACTATAGTAATTTGCGAAGACATTGTCCGATCTCAAAAAACAACCTTATCTGGAGCTTGTTCTTTGAAGATATATATGCGTAAGGCTCTGACTGGACATAGCAACAAATCTGCAGTATCCTCTGATCCAAGGATGGATGAGAGTGGTAGGACGTAGAATTGTACGTCTGTGTGGTTGCCCTGGCGGCTGGTTCTTGGCGATAAAGTCCCATCTTAGACAAAGAGAGCTGATGCATGATCACCATTGTCAAATCTGGTACGATTAAAGTCGATAGCATGAATCTCTGACATTCTGGTTGCTGTGGAAAGTGCCAAAAGAAACAAGGCTATCTATGCATATGTTCATCATTACTTGAAAGATGTTTGAGCTTTGTGTACAGGTCCCATGCTGGGGCCTTGAATTTCTTTTGTTGATATTCAAGACTGTAAGATCTTACAAGTGCTATCAATTCTGAAACTTTGATAAGCTTGATTCTGTTGTACATAGCTAGCGGCTAGATATGTGCCCAGTGTTTAACCTTTCTGGTTTCTTCTGCTTCTCAGGTGGCATAAGAATTCTGCTACTTGTGGTGAAGTGGTTTTAGCTGCTGAAAAAACCCATAGGTCAAACAGGTCAAAACTCTTCCATTTATCATCATATAAATTCTGTGCAGATCTGCCTTCACTGCACTGGCTGAATATCCTCTGCTAGTGAGGCTGATTATAATATGTTCCGTGAGTGAGGCTTGTAGAGATCTGGTCTTGGAGGAACTTGCTTTGTGTGAGGATGCAGAAGAAGATTTGGCCAGTGTGGAAGCTTCAGGGTTGGCTACTCTGCTATTATGACGAGGACTGGAAACCTAGTTCTTGCCTTGACGTCATAGTAGAGGAAGTCCTGCAGAAGCTCAACTGATATGGTCAGAGATGAATTCTTGATATTTCTTCTGACTGACCATTGCTGACAGAAGCATTCTCTCTGTGTCGGTCTGTGGGTTCTTAAACTCTGCCTCATTGACATATCATGTAACGGCAAGGCTGAAAGAAGACCGTCTGGTGATGGTATCTTGTTTATCCAGCTTCTTTCGTCTACTCTGTAAGTCTTGCTCTTTGAATCTGAAATCAGAGTGTAGTCCTTGTCTATTTCCAGCATCCATAGGAAAGGCGTCATGCCATGCAAGGGAAATTTCCTGGGGTTGAATGGAGGAGTTCTTGTAGCCTTGGCAAAAGTACTGTTCAAGTTCTTTGCCATTTGTGAAATAGGTGTGATTGACAGAATGTTCAGAGTGTCGGTATCGTCACCTTGGATACAATAAGTATCAGAAAGGGACAAACCTCTGTCTGGTGAAGAGATGGGAAGTCTGTCTGTGATCCAGGTCATGAACTTGTGGTCTGCGCAGATGGAGGGGTGATCCTCCAACTGGCATGACTCTTCATCAGGGATGGGCTCAAACACATCCTCATCCTGTAATAGGTAAGAGGCATTAGTGTTTGGAGCCATAGCAGAACATTAAGAACTTTCTTCGGAAAGTCTAGTTGAAGGGGTGGTCTGCGTGGAGGGCTGCTTCAATGACTGTTGCTTCTGCATAGCAAGTAGAACCTGCTGTGTAATACTGCTTACAAAATCTGAACTAGATGATGTAGTATGCTGGAAGACTGCAGGCAGTGTGAACGTTGAAGGCTGTGTGAACTCTGAGGGCTGCTTGAAGGAATGTGGCTGCGCGAAGGTCGTTATCTGCGTGAAGGTCGTTATCTGCGTGAAGGTCGTTAGCTGCGTGAAGGTCGTTAGCTGCGTGAAGGTTGTGGGAGGTTCATGAAGGTCTGGAGCTGCGTGGAGGTCGTCAGCTGCGTGCAGGTATCTGTGTTCTGCGCTATAGCAGCTGGCTTCAAGAACTCCTTCACGGATGATGATGCCAGAGGCTTTGTGGAGGTAATAACCTTGGCGAAGATATGCTCTCATGAAGTTGAAGGTGACTTAAATGAAGAGGAAGACGTATTGTTCTTCTTTGCCAAGGCCTGTAGCAGTCAGAGATTCTTGGGTCTGGATAAACTCTTCATAAGAGTGTCGACCTTTCTGTTGACCTGAGAAGACTTTAATGTAGGCAGAGCCTTACTCTGTGATGAAGGGGGATCAACATCTCTTCAATAATATCAGATGGTAAGTCTCCCTCTGAAGAAGGTGCAGGTGTTGCCTCACACTTCCTTCTCTTCATGGCTGGCATAAACTTTAAAACATAAACTATAAGTCCAAATCTATAAAACAATTTAAGCCAAATTAACAAAATAATCATTAGATACGATAGACAGATGTCAGAAGAATGTATTCCAAGCAAATGGTTTTACGAAAACAGATAATTTTGAGATGATGACTAAGATTAGTCCAGGAAAACATTTTCCAACTACTCATTTGGAGCAAAAATAAGAGAGTGACGAGTCTACCGGTTTGGTCACATGCTTCCAGTGCATATGCATGGCTCAGGGGTGCGTTCGGGTGAGCTGTTTTTTCCCTGTTCTCAAGGAAGTTTCCACTACATTTCCAACATGAGATGAGATAAGCAAAAACTATGAGTCAGGATAAGGTCAAATTTACATCACTTTTGTATCTGTACTGATCTTGATATGAATTCTGCTCTTTCAATGGTCACAGTCCAACTCATTTCCATGGTAAATCCAAACATAAAAAACACAAGAAAGCAAATTGCATCAGACATATAAAGGGTTCTGAGGTCCTTGAGGTTGTACATACAAATGATGAGGAAATAATTGTTTTTTAGGGTTGCTTCAGATGGTAACACTCAACTTTATCCTCCAAAAACTTCTAAATGCCATTTGGTGATCATGTGACAAAGGGCATGGTAAGGCTACATGGTTACTGTCAAACTCAAGTCAATGTGACATCTCAAAACGTATGCAAAGTCAACATCCCCCAATTACCATGTCTCTTGCAGGGTCTTTTTGTTTCCCCGCGTCTGCCACAGAATGAAGGCCATTTAAAAAGGACAGTGTATCCTGTGTCACATATTTAGTAACAGTTAGAATCACAAGAAGCCCCACAGACCAGAACACACACGTACTATTCCTGTGTTAACTGCTGTCTCCAGCCATAGAGTCGAGGGCAGTTTGAAGCATAACACACAGCAGAGACACAGGACTACTGGTAACTGTTCACATAGTGTATACTGGAATGTGTGGGATACCAAAATCAGGTCCATTGAAGGAACAATAAACAATTAACCTACCTGGTAATGAAGCATGGGTTGTCTCCCCTTAGTTTCTGCTGAGCAAACCGAATCTTCTGCTTTGGGTACCAAGCTGCATCCACATCAGCATCTGGAGACAGACAACCTCACTTCAAACAAAATTGTTTTGGACAGGCTTTTTATTTCACTTGGAACAGGTAATAATACCTTCTACAAATAATTTTAAAACTTTTGTATTTACGTCGCTTTTAGCAATATTCCAGCAATATCATGGCGGGGGACACCAGAAATGGGCTTCACACATTGTACCCATGTCGGGAATCGAACCCGGGTCTTCGGCGTGACAAGTGAACGCTTTAACCACTAGGCTACCCGACCGCCCTGAACCCTGTATGGATTTCAGGGATGAATAGGTCCCCAGAGTCTCATATTTGTGTCGACTAGAGTGGATTGGTTGCCGACAGCATGTCTGTTGGCATGGCGTCTGACTGCATGGTGTCTGACTGCATGTCGTCTGACTGCATGGTGTCTGACTGCATGGTGTTTGACTGCATGTCATCTGACTGCATGGTGTCTGACTGCATGTTGTCTGACTGCATGGTGTCTGACTGCATGGTGTTTGACTGCATGTCATCTGACTGCATGGTGTCTGACTGCATGGTGTTTGACTGCATGTCATCATACCCCAATGGCATCGCATGTTGCTCATTCTTTCTGTCACTGGCTTGTCTGGCCCAGATTTGATTATTTCCCGACCGGCCTGAAATAGCTGGAATATTGCTGACTCAAATCAAACATTCATGCATTCCATCTCCAGTCTGATAATAAACTTTACCTTCCGTTTTCATTCCTGCCTGAACTTGTTTCTCGGCAAATTGCTGAAATACACAAAATACAGTTAGCCAAATGTTCTTATTTCTTCATATTTCAAGGCAAAAGACAGCAAAGAAACATGTAAAATTATAAAAGCAAGTTTTTGTTTAAACTATCTGAATACCCAAATCTCACCATCCAGTCCACTGATGGCTCCTTGACGAAGACGTCCATGGTGCTGAGGAGGAGGTCGTAGTCGTTGCGGAGGGCGCGGAGGACGTGGACCATGGTGTTCTCCAGCAGACCCTTCACCTGCAGCGGCAGCATGACGTTCACAATCTGGCGGGTCAGTCGAAACGGCATCAGCTCAGGCACTGGCAGGAACTGAAACACATTACACACAGCTAATAACAACAATAGGCACAGCAACTAACAACACAATAGACACCTCATATTAACACAATAGAGACCTCATAACAATACACACCTCATGACAACACAATGCACACAGCTAATAACAACTCAATAGACACCTCACAACTACACAATAGACACCTCATAACAACACAATACACACACCACACAGTCGATTGCATGAGTTGCATAGCATGGGTACCACCAGCTTGGAGTCAACAGATATTTTCTAAGTTTTCTCATGTTTTTAATCAAGATGCTCACATGATTTGATGCACTTCGTGAAGTAAGACCCATTTTATGACAATGTAGATTTTGATTATCGATCACATTGTCTTGATTTTGTTTTGTTTGAAGCAAATGCAAGTGATATGAGAAGTGACAATTGATTGATCAATTAGCTCGAATTTCTGGGCTTGATCATAGCGCCACCAGATTCCATCTCTCATTTCACTTGCATTTGCTTCAAACAAAATGGCGTCACCCACTCAAGATGATCTGACCGATAATTAAGATCAATATTGTAATAAAACTGGTCTTACCCTGCAAAGTGCATCAAATCACTTGAGCACATTGATTAAAAACATGAAAAGATTTGCTCATAATCTGTCCATGTCGATGTTTTGCAAATTCTGCGGTCGACCGAAATCTGCATGTTGAAATCCATGTTGTTTAAGTACAGGATGTCTAGTTCGTTATGTGATTTTGACTGGATAATGCATACACTCTTTGTCCAGCCAAAATATAACTCCTTATTTCCAGCCTAGTTCGGCAAGGGTGGAAACTGGACCTTTATAGTCAGTTAACTCACTTGCCTCAGGAAGAGTGAGTAAGTGAGTTGTGTTTAACGCCGCTATTAACAGTATTCCAGTTATATCGCGGCGTGTCAGCTTAATGTGGGAGGAAAGCCCCAAGTGATGTAGGTTTCAGACGTTCACCACTTCGGTGAAATCCATGAGCACGGGTATGGTGCTAACAAACCTAGAAACATAATCGGGCGAACTGGGATTCGAACCCACAATCATAGGTTCCTGGCGTGCCCAAGGGACGAACTCTACACAGCAAATCGCGGCGACTTAGACGACTCGGCCACCCGTGCCTCCTACCTCGGGAAGATATCTGTATATGCGTGAAAAGCAAATGATACAAAAATTCAGATACTAACCTGTGTCGCTGAGCCAAATGCATGGCCAAAGTCAATCCCCACCATGTGACCAGTTTTAAGATTGACCATGAAGTTGGAGAGATGCCGGTCACCGATGCCGAGGATGTACTGACAGATGCTGATGACGGCATGGGACGTCGCCAGTCCACATCTCAGGACATGGAAGGCTTCAGGTGATGTGCTCATCTGATGGAATGCACGTCTGGACAGGACAAAGAACATGACATGGTATTCAAAGTAAGAGGTAGAAACAGAAGCATAAGGTCATACTTGTGATAAACTTGGAGAATCTACAGCAGTCTGTAAATTCTGTTAGGTCAAGTAAGATCAGATAATAATAGTACATATATGGTAACACTAAACTCCTACAGTATACTGTATCCAATATCCCATATCCAATTTGACAATATAATTGTTGAATTTGGGATGAAAATAAAAACAATCGCTATGGCAATGACTTGAAATACCTTCCAACTTTTTTGGGAAAAATACAGGGATCAGAGTTAAAACTTTGTATTGTCTTAAAGAAGAAAAGAAGGGGAATATTATTGGGGGTTAATTGCCTCAGACAATTATAATTTATCATTTTATCCTAAAATGTATAGGACATAATATCCTCACCTGGAGAGACCCCAGGGGACTTTGCTTTCCTTCAGTCGAAACTCTCGCTCCGTCTCCGTCTTGTTGTACTTCATGTACACCTGAGAGTACATCGCAGCCACGCCCTTCTTGGGATCAAAAAACTTACCTGTCCAGCGCTGGTGTACTTTACTTGGCCCCTGACTGAAACGGTGACATAGTGAGTGAAGTGAACAGTCCTAAAGAACTCCAACAATTTCACTGCTACGATTATGCTAAGATAGTAATGTGCCTGATGAGAGAAGCAATTAGCTCAAAACATGGACATCGGACTTGTATATAGAAGTTGTAGTCATACGCTCACAGAGTAATCTTCACAATTACCTACATTCTCAAAGGTCCTCTTAATTCTCACTTAATACAAGACCCCAACAGCACTCAAGGTCATTTATCATGTATTAGTCGGTTATATATAAAGTTTGACAGTTAAGGATTGAAATTTAGATAATATGTATTTAGTATGGCAAAAAAATCCTAAAAATGTGTCTAGTTTAATTTATATGTTTAGCAAAAATATTTGGCATTTGAAAATTTATTTTCTACCTTTCTTACTTTATTTTCCACAACAAATTTTACATTATCAGAATCCATATATTGCACAATATTTTACAAAAAGTTCAGACCAAGTATATTTCATATGTGTACAATTAAAAAATGGTTTAGAAATAGGGTTGGTACCAAGCAACTGACTTAATGTATTTCATTAATGCGACATATGAGAAGGAATGACTTACTCAGAGTTAATAAACTTCTTCTCCTCATCAGTGAGAGCATCCAGCAAGAAATCCTTCAGAGGGCAGGTGTTGTTCATCCACTCGATGAGACCCACTCTGTTACACAGCATGACAAGAGTGAGTGAGTATGAGACCCATTCTGTTACACAGCATGACAAGAGGGAGCGAGTATGAGACCCACTCTGTTACACAGCATGACAAGAGGGAGTGAGTATGAGACCCATTCTGTTACACAGCATGACAAGAGGGAGAGAGTATGAGACCCATTCTGTTACACAGCATGACAAGAGGGAGACAGTATGAGACCCATTCTGTTACACAGCATGACAAGAGGGAGAGAGTATGAGACCCACTCTGTTACACAGCATGACAAGAGGGAGTGAGTATGAGACCCATTCTGTTACACAGCATGACAAGAGGGAGTGAGTATGAGACCCACTCTGCTACACAGCATGACAAGAGTGAGTGAGTATGAGACCCATTCTGTTACACAGCATGACAAGAGGGAGAGAGTATGAGACCCACTCTGTTACACAGCATGACAAGAGGGAGAGAGTATGAGACCCACTCTGTTACACAGCATGACAAGAGGGAGAGAGTATGAGACCCACTCTGTTACACAGCATGACAAGAGGGAGAGAGTATGAGACCCACTCTGTTACACAGCATGACAAGAGGGAGTGAGTATGAGACCCATTCTGTTACACAGCATGACAAGAGGGAGAGAGTATGAGACCCATTCTGTTACACAGCATGACAAGAGGGAGACAGTATGAGACCCATTCTGTTACACAGCATGACAAGAGGGAGCGAGTATGAGACCCACTCTGTTACACAGCATGACAAGAGGGAGAGAGTATGAGACCCACTCTGTTACACAGCATGACAAGAGGGAGTGAGTATGAGACCCATTCTGTTACACAGCATGACAAGAGGGAGAGAGTATGAGACCCATTCTGTTACGCAGCATGACAAGAGGGAGACAGTATGAGACCCATTCTGTTACACAGCATGACAAGAGGGAGCGAGTATGAGACCCACTCTGTTACACAGCATGACAAGAGGGAGAGAGTATGAGACCCACTCTGTTACACAGCATGACAAGAGGGAGTGAGTATGAGACCCATTCTGTTACACAGCATGACAAGAGGGAGTGAGTATGAGACCCACTCTGCTACACAGCATGACAAGAGGGAGTGAGTATGAGACCCATTCTGTTACACAGCATGACAAGAGGGAGCGAGTATGAGACCCACTCTGTTACACAGCATGACAAGAGGGAGAGAGTATGAGACCCACTCTGTTACACAGCATGACAAGAGGGAGAGAGTATGAGACCCACTCTGTTACACAGCATGACAAGAGGGAGTGAGTATGAGACCCACTCTGTTACACAGCATGACAAGAGGGAGAGAGTATGAGACCCACTCTGTTACACAGCATGACAAGAGGGAGAGAGTATGAGACCCACTCTGTTACACAGCATGACAAGAGGGAGTGAGTATGAGACCCATTCTGTTACACAGCATGACAAGAGGGAGAGAGTATGAGACCCATTCTGTTACACAGCATGACAAGAGGGAGACAGTATGAGACCCATTCTGTTACACAGCATGACAAGAGGGAGCGAGTATGAGACCCACTCTGTTACACAGCATGACAAGAGGGAGAGAGTATGAGACCCACTCTGTTACACAGCATGACAAGAGGGAGTGAGTATGAGACCCATTCTGTTACACAGCATGACAAGAGGGAGAGAGTATGAGACCCATTCTGTTACGCAGCATGACAAGAGGGAGACAGTATGAGACCCATTCTGTTACACAGCATGACAAGAGGGAGAGAGTATGAGACCCACTCTGTTACACAGCATGACAAGAGGGAGTGAGTATGAGACCCATTCTGTTACACAGCATGACAAGAGGGAGAGAGTATGAGACCCACTCTGTTACACAGCATGACAAGAGGGAGAGAGTATGAGACCCACTCTGTTACACAGCATGACAAGAGGGAGCGAGTATGAGACCCACTCTGTTACACAGCATGACAAGAGGGAGCGAGTATGAGACCCACTCTGTTACACAGCATGGCAAGAGGGAGAGAGTATGAGACCCACTCTGTTACACAGCATGACAAGAGGGAGCGAATGGAAGGTGTATATGTTTTATGTACCAACAAAGCAAACTGTAACATAGTAAATCAGCATCTTAAACTACCACCGTCCTTCAGTCAGCACCTGCAGCCGATATGTTGCAGAGAAAGTGAGTATGGTCTTACACCACTTTTAGAAACATTCCAGGAATATTACGGCGGGAGACAACAGAAACAATAAATAAGATAAAATCCAAAAGTCAGATTCAAGGTGAGGTGAGGTGAAATTGGGTTTAACGTCGCGTCCAAGATTATTGCACTTACATAGCGACGTGCATGTGTGTGTGTGTGTGTGTGTGTGTGTGTGTGTGTGTGTGTGTGTGTGTGGCTGCTTGTACTAGTCCGGACTGAAGCCGATTTATAGTCCTAGCACACTGAGATACCATGCCGCAGTTTAACATAAATACCCCCGTCAGACACAGTATACTGACTCCGAGCCGGCCAGTCCTTGTTTTAGCCCTTTAATATCGAGCGCCAGACAGGGTAACAACAAGTACCATCTTTTAACGTCTTTTGGTATGACGTGGCAGGGGATTGAAGCACGGACCTTCCGCTCTCCAGGTGGGCGCTCTACCACCAGACCACAGAGGCGGTCTCAAATTCAAGTTTTGACAGCAAAGATATTTATTCAAGTCAGTATACAGTATCTTTAATGTATTTATTAGGAATTGATTAGCTGCTGAGAATGAAATGGTGGAAAGCAAATCTGATTGTAAACTTTAACCTGGAGCCAGCAAACCATTAGTTAACAGTCTGAGCATCGACACAAGAGGAGGGTGTACAATGACACTAATCAGCCAGGTGAGAGTACGTCCTAGGTTATGTTATATTCATACTCAGCGGACTAAGTGGCCAACCAATACGCGTTTCATCATCTCTTTTACAAATATGGGATGCCTGTAATCCCATTTAGAGTGAGTGAGTGAGTGACTTTGGTTTTACGCCGCTTTTAGCGATTTTCCAGCAATATCACGGCGGGGGACACCAGAAATGGGCTTCACACATTGTACCCATGTAGGGAATCGAACCCAGTTCTTCGGCGTGACGAGCGAATGCTTTAACCACTAGGCTCCCCGACCGCCTGAATCAAATTTAGAAAATGTCACAATTTTGGAATGAAATACAAAACAATCTAATATAAGAGCCTGTTAGCTATAAAAATTGTAGAATTTTCCTATTCGGAATATTCTATAAGTAATACGTTACCACTGTTATACCGAGGCTGTTGTCTCCCACAACTGCTGCTATAGCGAAATCTACCACAGAGATCTCAATTACCTCATGCAGCACGTGCGTAGCCACCTAGCTGCCATGTGACACCCTTCACTCTTGTCTCCTGCGAGAGCAAGTGCTCGGGGGACGGACGGGCGGGCAGCAGCCCAGTGGTAACGTATTACTTATAGAATATTCCGAATAGGAAAATTCTACAAATTACATTAAGTAATACGTTACCACTGTTATACCGAGGCTGACTACCACAGTAGGCGGTGGGGAGCACCTACAACCCGAATCCTGACTGCTAGCGTTCCTTCCGACCAGCGGAAGTAAACACCAAGGCGGAAGCACTCAATGCACATGCACCTAGCTAGGCGTTACCCTATAGGAATACCAAAGCACTGTCAAGCGCATACCGTAAGGCTCAATCGTCATTGCCAAAACGATTGGTGACTCCAAACGGCCCCACTGGATAGGTATTTCATCGCCGCAGCGGATGAGAACACTGTATCCGCGTGAGCTTAATCTTAGATCAGGTTAAACAGTCGAAAAGAGGGAAATTAATTTCCTTCAGACCGTATATCCCAGAGCAAGCCTACTTAAAGTATGCATTAGGCGCGTGACCTAATTCCAGTATTTGTAAGCATGCATCACAAGGTTGGGATACACGACAGACAATTAAAGACATAATTGTCAAAATACAAATAAGGACAAAGCACACAAAAAGCCGCCCTCACCTGTGGTGTGAGTGCGCTGGTTTGCGGGACCCCAACTCCTGTACCCACGGCAGTGGGAACATTGGAGACGACCCAGATTGACCACCGTGCAAGGTCAGACGCCTGAGGAGTTCGGAATTGCGCTGGGCACACCCCTTAGGTGCCCGCTTGCGCCGCGATCCGCGGGCCAAGACGGTGCACACTCTCCACGACGGCATCAGCGACCTGTTTGAGGTAATGATTGGCAAAAACCGAGTCAGAACGCCAGTAACAACCTCGTAATATTCTGCGAACAGAGATATTCGAGTGTAGGGCAAATGTTGCCGCTAGCGCCCTGATCTTGTGCGGGTTTGACCCCGCTACCGGTAACCCCCGAAACCGGTACGCCAGATTGATGACAGAACGAAGCCACAACGCAATCGAGTTGCGAGTTATGTCAACCGTGCGATTAGGGTTACACGATATGAACAGACGGTCACGCCCTTGTCTACGTTCATTCGAAGCCTTAAGATAATACTTAAGGGCCCTAACCGGACACAGCGCTCTGTCCTCAGTATCAGCAGGATGTAAGATTTCTTTGAGTGATCTTACAGTGAATTCTCTCTCCGTATGCCCGACTCTCTGATTCTTGGCGACGAAGCCCATGAGCAGGCCCAGGCGGACCGCTCCTTCGTCACCCCTATCGAATCGTACCTTGGCGACACCGAGTGCATGAATTTCGGATACACGTGCCGCCGTGGCAAAGGAGAGGAGAAATGCTGTTTTCCAAGTCACATGCCGGAACGAAGCACTATGCAAGGGTTCATACGGAGCTTCCGTAAGTGATTGCAACACTAGGGAAAGATCCCAGGCCGGTGCCCGAAGGCGGCCCTTCTTAAGATCGTGCTGTTTGAAACCCTTGATAATACCCCGTATCACCGGCTCTTTGGAGAGACTGGTACCCATAGCAACGCCCCGTACCGTAGCAACGGACGAGACATAGTTGGCAATGGAACCCCCGGAGAGTTTCCGGGTCTCTCGCAAGTGAGACATGAAACGAGCAATATCCTGCACAGATACCTTATCTGGCGAATGAATGTGATGTTTACAACACCACTTCGTGAAAATAACCCAACGTGTATTATACACCTTCTGGGTAGAATCACGATGCATACTAACGTATGCCCGAGACGCCCGGCGAGAAAAAACTTTACTCCTCAGACGCTTGGTGACAACATCCACGTGTGCAGATTGAACTGCCCTGCGTTTGGATGAAGCTGACGGGTGTGAGGGTGGATCAAGAGATCCGGTCTCACAGGCAGTGGAAGTGGCGACTGCGTGACCTGGGTCAGCAAGTCGGGGTACCACGATCAGTTCGGCCACATGGGCGCGATCAGTAACATTCGACAGCGAACTCCTCGGAGCCGGCTTAGAATGTGTGGTATCAACGCTGTCGGCGGGTAAGCATAAGCGTCCAAGCCCGTCCAGTCTAACGCGAGAGCATCGTGATCGATGGCCCTCGGGTCCGGGACTGGTGATACAAACAACGGGAGTTGATTGTTGAACCGCGTTGCGAACAGGTCGACCATCGGACGACCCAAACGTTCGCACAGCCACTGAAACACTACTGGGTTCAGCATCCACTCTGTGGGGCTCGGATCCTGAGGCCTCGATAGAGCATCGGCCAGTACGTTCCGCACACCTGGGATGTGACGGGCGCGTATCTGGCACGGGACACCAGAGCGTAAAACTCGAACGTGAGATCGAGTAGCGAGTGACTGTGGGTTCCCCCCAGTTTGTTCACATAGGACACTACCGTCGTGTTGTCGGTCGCCAGCATGAGCCGGGCGTCGACGAGACGATGCTGCCAGTGATTGACTGCGTTGATCACTGCCTTGAACTCGAGACAAGTGATGTGAAGACCTAGTTCGTCTACGCACCACAGCCCCGAGCTCACCTCCCCCTTTAGCTGGGCGCTCCAGCCCACTAGAGAGGCGTCTGTATACAGGGTCAACGTGGCCCGGTAGGGCCGCATAGAGACTCCTGATAAGACCATGTAAGGGACCGTCCACCACTCCAGATGCGGTCGGAGCCGATCCGGGAGGGCGACGGTCGCACTGTTCACCTCCGTTGCTAACAACTGGATTAAAAACCGTTGCAGCGGGCGGAGTTGGAGACGACCCCGTGCGGTGCAGTCCTGGGCTGAAACAAGTAGCCCTAACAGCTGTTCCCAAAAGTGAACAGTCTGTTGCACCGCTAATACTTTGGCAATCATCCCCTGAATTTTGTGCCACCGGTTTGGGGGGACAAAGAGGCGATGGGACACCGTGTTGAACCGACCTCCGATGAACAGCAAGTTCTGAGAAGGGGTTAACTCGCTCTTGGGGAGATTGATAATCCACCCAAATTGCTCCAAGAGCCGACGTGCGAAAACGAGATGGCGTGACAGGGTGTCCGTCATTCGATTTGCTACTAGCGAGTCGTCCAGGTACGCGAAGTACCGGACACCCCTCCTGTACCGAATCGTGTTGACCACCCACGGGTCGTCGAACACTTGTTCCCAATTCTCCCAGTAAGTCTGGAGTCTGGCTCCCACTGGGGAAGGAGAGGGGGCCCTGACAGGTTGCGGCAGGCGCAACTGTCCAGGGCCAAGTGACTCGGGTTCGCCTAAGGGCCAACCGAAGTTGGCGCTGTCGGCATACGAACCCCTCCAATGAGAGTCACCTGGAGGGGCCCTTGCCGTCCGTCGACGACTTGGGCTTCCCCCAGTTCCCCGTCTTCCCGCGAAAGGGCAGCTGATTGCCCATACCGGAGCCCTCAGGGCGGGGCTACTTCCCAGAGGAAGAAGAACCCGACCCCTTAGACCTACCGGCCGCAGCAGCCTGGGGTGCGCTCCGGTTAGGAGCGGCACCCAGGCGCCTATGCAGGGACCCAACAAGAGCAAGTGTGTGCCGAGAGTCCTCGGCAACGTACTCCAGGGAAGCATTTAAACTGAGCAGGCAGTTGTAAATGCGCTGGTCACGGTCCGTGGGAGAACCTTCGACCAGACGGGCCGCTGCAGCCAAGTAAGTGTCTCCGTGAGACATGGAGTGCCGAGCGAGGGCGTCCAGCTGGTGCAAGGTAGCTTGCGTTACCGTAGCAGCCGGTGGGGCACGGACACCCAACCGCTCAACATGGGCCTCCGCGGTAGGACCAGCCTCGGGAAAGGCAAGGTCATGTACCGGGAATAAACCCTTTCTCCACGACGTCGGAGGCAACGGGAGACCCCGACCGGAGGCCGCCGCGAAGGCGTTCTCCAAGGAAGGCTTGAAACCGCGCAGCAAGGTTGATGTGGGGAAAGCCGTGTCGGAAGACTCATCGTATACCTCGGAGGAACCCACAGTCGTGGATTCCCCGCGGTACCGGCCGGGGCATGTCCTCAAAGAGGTCATAAACCATGGCCACGCGGTCCTAAACCGATAGCGGGAGCAACGGTTCGGGGGAAGGACCGGTGACCACGGGAGCCGCCGCCGTACCGGTGGACCCCGCGTCCGACCCCTGCGGCCACCGAAGTGGCCGGGGACGGAACAGCCAGCGGCCTATCCTGAGATAAGGCCGCCAGCTTGGAGTCCACAAGTTATGCAAGTAATGCAGCGACGGAATCCCCGGACAGCACACGGGCCGCCAAGAGATCCGCCGCTTTACCGGTGGACCCCGCGGCCACCGAAGAGGCCGGGGACGGAACAGCCAGCGGCCTATCTTGCGATAAGGCCGCCAGCTTGGAGTCCACAAGTTTCGACAACGACAACGAGGGCCGCAAGGGGATCCGCCGCAGCCGAGGAGGTGGTACCCGCACGGGGACCCCGACCGGACGAACCGGCCACCACAGGGGTGGAGACGGACTGTACGTACAGCCGGTACCGCTCAAAATCCGCAGGCCCCAGACCTTCGCACAGGATGCACCGGGTGTCCCCGCAAGGAACCCTGCACCGCGGGCAACGATCGTGGGGATCCCGGGACGACAAAAACTTTCTGCACACCCCACAACTCCGAGGAGCAGGGGCAGAGGGGGTGGATACTGGGGACATATCCATGTCAGACATTGATTGTTTGCTATAAACAAAGAACAAAACATGGTTACAACGCACGCACCACAATGATTCACAAACGAACATTTTCACAAGAAAATAAACGAGCAATGTGAACATATAACATATACATATAACTTTTATTAAAGAAATAAGTTATGTTAACCCCCAAAACATACAAGAACAGGGGAAACGTATAACACAACGTGCATACGCGAACCCCGCAAGTATATAGAAAAAAGGGCGGGAAAATTATAACCAAGCGTAGCTACCGCAACGCCCCATAAAAGCACAGTTTATTAGAGAATAAACTATAATAAATATCACCAAATCTTCAAGGAACGCTTCAGCAGGAGAAAACACGTCTTGCTAAGCAGACGAAGGAGACAAGAGTGAAGGGTGTCACATGGCAGCTAGGTGGCTACGCACGTGCTGCATGAGGTAATTGAGATCTCTGTGGTAGATTTCGCTATAGCAGCAGTTGTGGGAGACAACAGCCTCGGTATAACAGTGGTAACGTATTACTTAATGTAATTAATGCTAAAACACAGCGATTCAACACAGCAAATGTGTCTCTTTATGACAAATATGCGACATTACGACATATGTTCAACATTATGACCTACCTTGGTGTCATGGGAATGACCTGGTAGGTCTTGAGCTTCAGTTTGCGCTGTCTACATGCCGGGTCCTTGGCCATCACTTTGTTCATGATAACAAACAGCTGCTCTATTCTCTGGTCCTGGCGGAGATCTTCCCCTCCCTTCACCAGGTAATGATAGTCCTTCTCATCGTTACCTCGGATCGTGATCCTCTTTGGTTTACGAATTGAAGACATCACCAGAACCTGTAGAGTTAAACACCATAGGGGTTAAACATTTTCAACAACCCTGGACTCCAAGGCGAAAAGTCCCTGTTTTATCCCCTTAATGTCAGTGTAAGGCAGGGTGAAAACAAGTACCATCTTTAAAGTCTTTTGGTATGACGCGAGTAGGGGACCAAACCACGGACCTTCCACTCCTCGGGTAGACACTCCATCCAGGGGGTAGTTGAACCTGATGAGGCAATGCTGTAACAGTCCTCAGAGAGGAGTAACCTGTATCATCTACACATTTACCTCACATCAGAGAGATTAGAGAAGCAGACGTATTCAGCTTGGTACTCACTCGATCATCAAATCCTGCCACCTTGACATGGTATTCTGGCAGTGGTTTGGACAGTCCGTCATACTGGCCTGCAACACAGAGAATATCAGGTCAGCCATGGGAAGCTTGAATCTACCATGGGTGAGGCAGATCGAGGTGAGGTGAGGTGAGGTGAGGTGAGGTGAGGTGAGGTGAGGTGAGGTGAAATTGGGTTTAAAGTTGCGTCCAAGATTATTGCACTTATATAGCGACGTGCATGCACGTGTGTGTGTGTATGGCTGCGTGTACTTGTCCGGACTGATGCCGATTTAAAGTGCTAGCCCACTGAGATACCATGTCGCAGTTTAACATGTTTAACTCCGAGCCCACCAGTCCTTGTTTTAGCCCCTTAATGCCAAGCGCCAGACAGGGTAACAACAAGAACCATCTTTTAAAGTCTTTTGGTATGACGCGGCCGGGGATCGAACCCCGGACCTTCTGCACTCCGGGCGGACGCTCTACCACTAGACCACGGAGGCAGTCAGATCAAGCTGAACACTGACAGTGACACAATGAGTGCGTCATGCACAGCCACAGTCCCTTTCCTGCCATGTCTCTGGCTTTGGCAATTTCTGGTCAACTACAAATATCGCCAGAAGTTCAAACTCCCAACAATAAAAGGACACATGCTCCTCCATATCTTCACATCCTCCATGCTAGCAACTGCACTGAAACCCCTACAGGATCACATGCTGACATGCAGGAGATCTGTTCTGCAGATAATCAGACACCCAGTAGACAATGGTTAGCTCAATATCATCAAATAGGAATGTGTATTTACTCAAAAACATGCCTCCATCCTCTGTTTTTTAATACAATAGTTGTTTCTGTAAATGTAATTGCAAGTCCGAAAACCAATATCATATTAATTACAGCCTGGTAGGATAATGGTTTCATACAGAAATTTGAGACAAAGTCAAAATTGTTTCCATGGAAACATAAAAAAATACAATTTTGAAATATGAACAAGAGTCATCCGAAGATGACATATCCCCCCGATGTGGCATGTAGGTAAACTGTGTGTACCTTCAAATGTATTTAGATTGGCAAGGAAATCTTTTTCTTTGATGCCAAAACCAGAAATATAATGAAGGTTATTAAATATTGGTTCATGTAGCTCACTTTCTGATGATCTCATGAAATTGTAATAACAACAAGAGTTTGCCACTAACGTGGCTATATCCCCAGCCCCTGTTGCAGAATTTATGACATAATTAAATCTAAACAAACCCTAACCTTTTTTAACCGAGGTGGAACTTGGCATGGAAATTGTAAAAAAAAGATGAGTTTGGAACCTAAGTCAATCTTGTTGCCATGGAAACGTAAGAAATAAATATTACTAAAATTTCTCAATAGCAAAAGGCACCAGTTCAACATGTACCTGACAGACCTGCAAAGTTTGATGAAAAGATATTGAACGGTTTATGAGTTATGCTCCGGAAACGAACCCTACCCTCTAAGAACCTAAGTCCATCTTGTTGCCATGGAAACGTAAAAAATAAAAAATTCTAAAATTTCTCAATAGCAAAAGGCACCAGTTCAGCATGTACCTGACAGACCTGCAAAGTTTGATGAAAAAATATTGAACAGTTTATGAGTTATGCTCCGGAAACGAACCCTACCCTCTAAGAACCTAAGTCCATCTTGTTGCCATGGAAACGTAAAAAATAAAAAATTCTAAAATTTCTCAATAGCAAAAGGCACCAGTTCAGCATGTACCTGACATACCTGCATAGTTTGATGAAAAATTATTAAACGGTTTATGAGTTATGCTCCGGAAACGAAACGTGACGGACGGACGGACAGAGCCCGTTTCTATATCCCCCGCCAACTTCGTTGGGCAGGGGATAATAACTTCGCAGATTCCCATACGAATAGCTCTGTAGTAGCCTCATGACACAAAGGTATAAAGAGAATGTACTAGGTTATGTAGCTCACATCACATATAGTATATGATATCGGTAAATAGTACACCTTAGAATTATATGTCAGGGGCTACAAATTAAAAAGATTAAAATATAACAAACTGCACTACTAGTGAACATGATTGATATGTGCATAAAGTTTGGTGAATCTCTGTTGCATGGTTTAGAAGATATACTCCAGACGAGGACATTACCCTAAGTTCATCAATTTTCAATTTAAATTGAAAAAAGAGAAAAAAAGAAAAAATCTGTTAATAGAAAAGGCACCACTACATAACCTGCTTGATAGGTGTAAAAACTTTTGAGAAGCTAAGTTGTATGGTTCGGGAGATGTGGTCCGGACAAGAGCACTACCCTCAAATTTCCTCAGTTCATCATATTTCCATGGAAACAACAAAAATATAAAATTCTAAAAATCTCTAAATAGCAAAAGGCACTTCTACTGAGCCTGATTGTTAAGTGTACCACGTTTTGCGAAGCTATGTTGTACGGTTTAGAAAATATGCTCGGGACAAGAGCAGTTGCCTCAAATTTCTTAAGTTCATAATATTTCTATGGAAATGACAAAAATATAAAATTCTAAAAATCTCTTAATAGCAAAAGGCACTTCTACTGAGCCTGATTGTTAAGTGTACCAAGTTTTGGGAAGCTAGGTTGTAAGGTTTAGGTAATATGCTCCGGACAAGAGCAGTACCCTCAAATTTCCTAAGTTCATCCATCATATTTATATGTCGGGGGGGGGGGGGAAATAACAAAAGGCATCAGTTAATCTGATGAGCAATGCATATGGCAACTTTTGTTGAAAAACACTAAACGGTTTTCAATTTATGGCTCAGAAAAGGATGGGATCCCTGACACCAACGCCAATTGGAACCATGCCAAAAACAATATGTCTCCCCTGCCTTTGGTGGGATACATCACAAGTTCAGACACTCAGAGGAAGTGTTTACTCAGTTTGGGTTCTTCTGAACATTATTAATGATTCTACAACAGATTCAACAATCTTATCATGATCCTTTGGTTTCAAGCAGGGTGCCTGCAGGGTGTATCTACAGTGTAGTATCCAGCCAGCCATTTATGTGTCCCAAAAATCTGGAAGATTTAACTGGTAACAGTAATGTCCAGATTAATAAGGCTGGGATCTCGAGGTCCCGGCTCTCTCTGTTGGGGTTGAAGTCGGACATCCACTGGCAGTACAGCCTCAGTGTGGTCGGGGGGTTCAGCATCGCGCCACGTCCTTCCTTCAACTTGTCAAACTCATCATTAAATGTTTTCACGATTTTCCCAAATTCCTGTAACAAGAGATTACTGAAATTGAAGAACTTCTTCTCTGAGAATATGGAGACAACTCCTGATTGGTCAGTCCAACTAACTCACTCACCTTGTAGCTCATGCTAACCAGTTTGCTTCCTTCCTTCCCAAAGTGAGTGTCCATTTCTTTCTTGAATTTCTGAAAATAACAATTACAGCACATTAAATAACTAAATTTCATTGACCAGTCGTCCTTCTTTAGTTTTCACAAACATAATGCACATGAAAGTGTATGACCTTGAGATTGGCTATAACCTTTAATATCAGTGACAGGTATCTCACAAACATTCCAAGGGGCGATCGGGTAGCCTAGTGGTTAAAGCGTTCGCTCGTCACACCGAAGACCCGGGTTCGATACCCGACATGGGTACAATGTATGAAGCCCATTTCTGGTGACCCCCGCCGTGATATTGCTGGAATATTGCTAAAAGCGGCGTAAAACCATACTCACTCACTCACAAACATTCCAAAAGGCTATCCAGCACATAAACCAATTATGAAGTTCCCAGGTGGAATTCACCATGACAATGAAAAAATGTCTACTCACTTCAACTTACTCACAGTGACTGACAGTGAAGTGACCACAGTGATGTATTCCAACAATATAACTACTACATTCTTAAGATTGAACAAATTCTGAAGTGAAAATGGCAAACATACTTTACGAATGATCTTCACTGTGACCTTGACCTTATACGTAGGTCACTCAAAATCTTTTTGGATCATGGCCGAAAGGACTTGTACAAAGTTTTATTGACATACAGTAAATATTTCCTGAAATAATGTTTTAACACATTTCTTCAAGCTATGAACTTGATGACGTCTGGTCATCATGGCCCTTGACCCTTGACCCTTGACATGACTGGTCAAAGTGTCAAAAACACTTCCCTGGGCTCTACAGGGAGATCATAGATGAGGTGTCCAAGCATTACATGATTTCAAAAACAAAGAGAGGTAACAGTTGTCAAATTGAAGTTGGACAGTTTGAATAGTTTTAATGAAATCACAACTTAGGAACCTGCAAGTTGCATCAATGTTTCAAAATGGCCTGAGAAACACTAATTTTTAGTTTTTCAGCTTGAAATACAGCCTAACTAGCAACTGTATTGACATACATCAGCAAACTTCTTGCGGTACTCCCCGAAACCGACCGATCCTGTGCCGGTCAGTATAGACAGCTGTGTTCCAGAGGGTTCCAGTGATGACGCTATGGTCTTGTGTTCAATCAGACCTTCATACATTTCCTGGTACATCTCCAGGATCTTTTCCTTCGTCTTCTTGCTGGAATGAAGCAGCTTGCTCATGTCTGTCGCCCAGTCCTGCAACAGGGAAACATAGAACACTCGTTAATTCTACATCTTGCTGGAATGAAGCAGCTTGCTCATGTCTGTTGCCCAGTCCTGCAACAAGGAAACATAGAACACTCCTTAATTCCACATCTTGCTGGAATGAAACAGCTTGCTCATGTCTGTCGCCCAGTTCGGGGAAACATCTACACTTGTTAAAACTATTGTTTGCAGGACTGAATCATCAGTTTTCCGAATCAGTTTACTTTGATTTGGACTTACCTTAAAAAGCATTTCTGGTTGTCCGAACTGGTTGAGAGCACTGATGAACTTGGACACCAGTGGCACTCTGTCTTCAGTCAGAAGGGAGGAAATCCTGGATACAAATCATCCTACTGTAGATATGTTGTTTCATATCATCTCAATCAAAATAAACTGATTGGAAACAGCACTCTAATCTGACAACTTGATCTTAAAATATGATGAAGTCAAACTTCACTCCGATCATCATAAATCTACACAATGAGAATCTCTTATTCTGGTCACATTCCCTACCATACTTTTATAAAATATAACTGTCCAGATTAACAGGGTTCCACTACATAGAGGACAGTGGTCTGAACGCTAGGCCCCACTTTGCAAGGGAGTTGTTCTGAGACAAGTTAACACATCAGACTTCTAGCTATCACATCTGCATGTATCATAGCTCAACATTGAAAATGCCCTAGACATCTTGTCAATGTTTGAATGGACCGACTCACTCTTCAACTGCTTGTTTGTTCTTGGTGTCCTGGGGCGTCTTCCCAAACACAAACCCTTCACAACTGATCCTGAAGGGATAGATCACAGCCTGGCAAGAAGAAGGAGTAAGCTTGTAACATTTGCCATAGCAGCAACTTCACAGGATCTCTAGATCTGTGTGGCATGTAGAAGTCGGATAGTACTTGATGATAATATAGTTAGAATGACATCTTTATTACAATTTAAACTATGTATGATTTCAGATCACCTGTACTATTACATTGTAAGTTTAATGCGCACTCAGCAATATTCCAGCTATAGGAAGCCAGCCTGTAAATAATCGAGTCTGGACCAGATGTGATTGATGTCACAAGCTTCTATTCACGCAATTGGGATATGATGACATGCATCAACCAATTCTCTAAGCCTGGCCAACCAATCCATTTCATTGCCTCTTACGACCAACATAGATTGACCAATTCTAGCAGGGATGAGAGGGAAAAGGCCTCAACCTAAAGTGAGAAGTGATTTTCTCTTCTTTATAAATCCCCACAAACAAATACAAAGCATTTACTTCTCGATTTCTTAAAAGAACATACAGCTCTAATCAGTAACCGGCCAAATGTCATGAAACTGAATGAACATGAGGCGAGGATCACGCGCAAAATGTGGCTTATAAGCTGTTAAGCACCCCATGGTTTAAACCAGTCTTCAGTTTTAAAGTAAAACCTCATGTTCCTGTGTTTTGAAGAACCCATCTGCACAATGGCAAACATCCACTCTAGGTTTATAGTGAAGAGTCATGCATCAGCTTAGCTAATGTTAGTTTTCAATACTGTGACATTCATGGAGCAGTTTAAAAGTTTCATGTCTGATAAAAAAATTGATGGTGGAAGTTAACTGGTCTGCAAGTTTTCCATCAGGCAAAATCAAAGTTTCAATGGCTTTACAAGTAAATAAATAACAGCTCTAATCCATTTATAGGGCGTTGGGGGTGATATATGTCTCATGACTAAAGGAAGTCATATATTTATCCTTCATTGAACTTTAAAGTTGCTCATACCGACAGCACAGTAACTCTACCTGTGGATAGTCCGTGGCAAGGCTGACGACGATGGGCTGCACAGCTGGGGCCTCCTTCTTGTCCAGGAGCGCCATCATCTGGGCCAGCCACAACATGAACATCCAGTTGGGCACCTCCCGACTCTACAACACAGGGCATTCAACCCCAGGTCAAGTGCTCTATCTACTGCACAACCCACCCTTAGAAAATATTTTTTGTTTTCAGGCTTGAATCAGTAAACACAGACAGTGACAGCTTTCAATTCTGCCATATGAAACCTTAATATGTACATACATATAGCCCCAAAAAATATTTCAGTCTCTTCGGTGGTACCAAACAAGTCTCATGGACCAAGAATTTAAAACCACAACCTGGAAGAATATTCTTATAGCCAAATTTGTGTAACAGGTATCAGGTTTGTTTATGCATGACCCAAACACAACTTGAGACCTAAGTTCTAGTTTGGTCTTGGTGTCTTCCACATGTAATTTTGCTGAACACTATATAATTGCTAAAGGTCATCTTAAACACCCCAAACTATTTGTCAAGACTTCAAACCACAATACAAAACAGGAATCTTGAATAAAACCAGATTTTAAATCAAGGGGTTCTTGTATGACCCTAATGTTAAATATACCACTACTAAGATTTAAGGGGGCACAGGTGGCCCAGTCGTCTAAGGCGCCGCGATTCGCTGTGCAGAGTTGCATCCCTTGGGCACGCCAGAAACCTATGATTGTGGGTTCGAATCCCAGTTCGCCAAAATTATGTTTCTAGGTTTGTCAGCACCATACACGTGCTCGTGGGTTTCACCAAGTGGTAAATGTCTGAGACCTGCATCACTTCGGTCTTTCCTCCCACATTAAGCTGACACGCCGTGATATAACTGGAATACTGTTAAAAGCGGCATTAAATCCAACTCACTCACTTACTCACTCACCAAGATATAAATACCATAGCAGCTAACCTTAAAGACAAGAGAAATGCACTTCATTTTGCACACTGATCTAGCAACTTGAAACTACCACTCTCAAATCTGTGCCACTGAAAGACATTCATGACAATAACTTTATAATGTTTCAGTTACAAATTCTGCATCCCACCTTCTCCCTGAATGTTGCCATGGTTTCTGGGTAGTACTCCACCAGCTGCATGAGACGAGGGAATCTCTCCCTGGCCTCCACGGAACCCAGCTTCATCGCCTTCAGCATGCAGACCACCACTGTGTCCGGGAACGTCTTCGCTACTGCCGGGGACAGATCAGCCTCCTCTGTCACAACAATTCACACAAATAAGACAAGAAGACAAGAAGACTTATCATTTTCTGACCATCTTTTCACCATATAAAGGTTTGAAGTGAACAACATATCAAAATGATATAATGCACAGAGTTTGTGAGTGTTGTTCCTGGCAGTAGTCATCAATAATATATCTCCTCCACAGGAAAAATTACTTTCCCTCAGCATTTGCCTCAATAGATAACATACACTGAGAGAAACTATAGAAAATAACAAAATTACCCATGAACACCATGGGCCAGATGGCTTCAGATGAGTGCACTATTGCTGGATGGATGGATGGATGGATGGATGGATGGATGGATGGATGGACGGACAGACAGACGGACGGACGGATGGATGGATAAGTGCACTGGATGGATGGACGGACGAGGGATAGATGGACGGATGGACAGATTTAATGACACTTTGAACAGTATTTCATAAGCATCGTGGAGTGTCATCTTGATGTGGGAGAAAAGCCTGAGATGATGCAGGTCATAGGGGTTTACATCTTTTGAGTACCCGGGGCGGTCGGGTAGCCTAGTGGTTAAAGCGTTCGTTTGTCACGCTGAAGACCCGGGTTCGATTCCCGACGTGTGAAGCCCATTTCTGGTGTCCCCCGCCATGATATTGCTGGAATATTGCTAAAAGCGGCGTAAAACCATACCCACTCACTCACTCACTCACTTTTGAGTACCCACTAGAAACAATTAATCAGTGATCGGGAATTTGAACCCACAATCTCCACAGTTACTTGCGACAGCTTAGATGTTTGGGCCACCCGTGTGCCCCGCCTGGGTAGTGTTCTCCATGATATCAAGATTGACAATACTTTCAGGTGGTGTGAATTATTTCTAGGGCAGTACAACACAACACAACAATTCAACTGCTGAGGTTTGGTGAACATCTGACTTATTATTTCCCACCCCTCCATCTTCCAGGTCCCTCAATAAGGCTGACTCACTGATACTTACCATCTTCCAGGTCCCTCAATAAGGTTGACTCACTGATACTTACCATCTTCCAGGTCTCTCAATAAGGTTGACTCACTGATACTTACCATCTTCCAGGCCCCTCAATAAGGTTGACTCACTGATACTTTCCATCTTCCAGGTCCCTCAATAAGGTTGACTCACTGATACTTACCATCTTCCAGGTCCCTCAATACTTTATCACAGTATTTAGCCACGGCCAGATACGCCTCATCACATCCGTACTTGGACTGGCGGACCTCCCTTTCATTGTCTGCACTCACAGATGACTTCATCTCACGGTAGCCTCGCTCTACCAGCTTGTTCTTCATCTGAAGATATTACACAGACTTAAACATTTCCAAATACATATATAGCTGAGAAGCTTCACCACACACTAACTTATCTATGACATTTAGACTTGTTAGAAATACTATACTACTCAAAAAATATTTATGACCATCTGATTCTTTCATATTATTATAAAAAAACAACAACTTTTCTGTTGTAGTATACATTACATGTAATATTTTGAAACCTCTTTCCCATACAAAATTCGCCATGTTTTCCTCTTATTTTTGTCACTTTGGTTGCTATTTTGTTCATACATAAGTTAAAAACTATGAGGAATATGAAAATGATTTTCTACAGAATGATCCTTAATGTCAAGCAGTGACAAGCACACCCTCTGCACTAGTCTTAAAATACAAAGACTATCTAAGCCTGTACACCCAGAACTTCTTCCAGTAAACCACCCACCTCTTCAAGAGAAACTTTCTTCCCTCCACAGTATTCCAAGAGTTTATCACTGGTCTTCTGACTGAGGTCCTTCATGTCCCCCAGGGAACTGAGTCCCTCCCCCAGCATCTGGAAGGCCTGGCCAGTCAACACACAGTGGCGGCGCCCCAGGTCGGACCGCTCAGTCAGGACACCACTGCCGGAATACTTCCCTGCAAAAGATGTGTTTTATGTCCAATCATGAATGAGTGAGTCAGTATGGTTTAACACTTGTCTTTCCTCAAACATTTTACTGAGAGGCTGCATAACTACTAAAATTCTGTTTAAAGCAGCGTCAACCCCATCTCACCATCAGTCAAACCTGTTTCATACCCGGTATGTCCTTTATTAGTGTGCCATTCCAGTTTGACCTTGGCCTGCATGTGAGTTTGGTTTAATGCTGATTGAACTGGTAAAATCTGGATATTTTTTATATTTGTATACTTACCCTGCATTACTCCCTCATGCATTTACTGCTTACTTTTGACAGAAATGAGGCTGTGATGGGTTCAGCTGATGAGAAAACACTGTTCCAACCAGAGAAGCAGGGCCCCAATCAACAGCTGCCACGTCATACCGAAGGGGTGACGTTATGGAATCTTCATATTACTGCTCGTCACCAGACAGACAAGTTATACCAACAAAGTGGTCCCCAGTTATTTGGTGTTTTTGGCTGTGGCCTGCGTGTTAGCATTCAACAAAGTCTATTCTTCCCTGTGACGGGTGGTCTCTGGGTTTGATGTTGTTTATATGCAATTATATTTATAATAACACGTTTTGGTCAAAAGTAAGCAATAGTGAGTGAGTGAGTAGGGTCTTAAGCCGCTTTTAGCAATATTCCACCAATATCACGGCAGGGACACCAGAAATGGGCTTCACACATTGTACCCATGTCGGGAATCGAACCCGGGTCTTCGGAGTGTCGAGCGAATGCTTTAACCACTAGATTACCCAACCGCCCCTAAGTAAGCAATAAATGCATTAAGGAGTAATACAGGACAAGCTAAAAAATAACAGAATTTCAGTTGTATCACAGTATTTCAGCTTGACGTGTGAGGAAAGCCCAACCTTATGCTGATCTAAGTGGTGGGTCTCTGGCCTAAGGGACACAATCCTTCACAACAACTTGCAGTGCCTGAGACGACTAGGTTACCTGTGCCCCTGTACCAAGAAGCATGTGACGCATACCTAGTTGGTCGAGAGTGGTGAGTACATTGTTGAAGGTGTCATCTGTCCACTGATCGAGAGAGCTGGTGGCCTTCCTGTGGTGTGTGCTGGCGTACAGTTGACTCCACTCCACCAACAGTCTCTCGTCACCACCACGCTTACACCGCTGAAACAGAAATTAGGAAAAAAGTTATACATCAACATTTAGATATTTAAAAGCACAGTGATACTTGAAATTAAGCTCTCACTGACAGAACATCTCTGAAGTAGAACAAATGCATGTCAGATAGAAGAGTCTCCTTCAGTATCCGGAGTGTCAGGCTAAAGTTGTTCCACCTACCCCGTGAGAGTCCTTCAGTATCCGGAGTGTCAGGCTAAAGTTGTTCCACCTACCCCGTGAGAGTCCTTCAGTATATGGAGTGTCATGCTAAAGTTGTTCCACCTACCCCGTGAGAGTCCTTCAGTATCCGGAGTGTCAGGGTAAAGTTGTTCCACCTACCCCGTTAGTCTCCTTCAGTATCCGGAGAGGCAGGGTAAAGTTGTTCTACCTACCCCATGAGTCTCCTTCAGTATCCGGAGTGTCAGGGTAAAGTTGTTCCACCTACCCTGTTAGTCTCCTTCAGTATCCGGAGTGTCAGGGTAAAGTTGTTCCACCTACCCCGTTAGTCTCCTTCAGTATCCGGAGCGTCAGGGTAAAGTTGTTCCACCTACCCCGTTAGTCTCCTTCAGTATCTGGAGTGTCAGGGTAAAGTTGTTCCACCTACCCCGTTAGTCTCCTTCAGTATCCGGAGAGTCAGGGTAGAGTTGCTCCACCTACCCCGTGAGAGTCCTTCAGTATCCGGAGTGTCAGGGTAAAGTTGTTCTACCTACCCCCGTGAGTCTCCTTCAGTATCCGGAGAGTCAGGGTAAAGTTGCTCCACCTACCCCGTGAGAGTCCTTCAGTATCCGGAGTGTCAGGGTAAAGTTGTTCCACCTACCCCATGAGTCTCCTTCAGTATCCGGAGTGTCAGGGTAAAGTTGCTCCACCTACCCGGTTAGTCTCCTTCAGTATATGGAGTGTCAGGGTAAAGTTGTTCCACCTACCCCGTGAGTCTCCTTCAGTATCCGGAGTGTCAGGGTAAAGTTGTTCCACCTACCCCATGAGTCTCCTTCAGTATCCGGAGTGTCAGGGTAAAGTTGCTCCACCTACCCGGTTAGTCTCCTTCAGTATATGGAGTGTCAGGCTAAAGTTGTTCCACCTACTTCGTTAGTCTCCTTCAGTATCCGGAGTGTCAGGCTAAAGTTGTTCCACCTACCCCGTGAGTCTCCTTCAGTATATGGAGTGTCAGGGTAAAGTTGTTCCACCTACCCTGTTAGTCTCCTTCAGTATATGGAGTGTCAGGCTAAAGTTGTTCCACCTACCCCGTTAGTCTCCTTCAGTATATGGAGTGTCAGGCTAAAGTTGTTCCACCTACCCCGTGAGTCTCCTTCAGTATCCGGAGAGTCAGGGTAAAGTTGCTCCACCTACCCCGTGAGAGTCCTTCAGTATCCGGAGTGTCATGGTAAAGTTGTTCCACCTACCCCGTTAGTCTCCTTCAGTATCCGGAGAGTCAGGGTAAAGTTGCTCCACCTACCCCGTGAGAGTCCTTCAGTATCTGGAGTGTCAGGCTAAAGTTGTTCCACCTACCCCATGAGTCTCCTTCAGTATATGGAGTGTCAGGCTAAAGTTGTTCCACCTACCCCGTTAGTCTCCTTCAGTATCCAGAGAGTCAGGGTAAAGTTGCTCCACCTACCCCGTGAGTTTCCTTCAGTATCCGGAGTGCCATGGTAAAGTTGTTCCACCTACCCCGTGAGTTTCCTTCAGTATCCGGAGTGTCAGGGTAAAGTTGTTCCACCTACCCCGTGAGTTTCCTTCAGTATCCGGAGTGCCATGGTAAAGTTGTTCCACCTACCCCGTGAGTTTCCTTCAGTATCCGGAGAGTCAGGGTAAAGTTGCTCCACCTACCCCGTGAGTTTCCTTCAGTATCCGGAGTGTCAGGGTAAAGTTGTTCCACCTACCCCGTGAGTTTCCTTCAGTATCCGGAGTGCCATGGTAAAGTTGTTCCACCTACCCCGTGAGTTTCCTTCAGTATCCGGAGAGTCAGGGTAAAGTTGCTCCACCTACCCCGTGAGTTTCCTTCAGTATCCGGAGTGCCATGGTAAAGTTGTTCCACCTACCCCGTGAGTTTCCTTCAGTATCCGGAGTGTCAGGGTAAAGTTGTTCCACCTACCCCGTGAGTTTCCTTCAGTATCCGGAGAGGCAGGGTAGAGTTGTTCCACCTACCCCGTGAGTTTCCTTCAGTATCCGGAGTGTCAGGGTAAAGTTGTTCCACCTACCCCGTGAGTTTCCTTCAGTATCCGGAGTGCCATGGTAAAGTTGTTCCACCTACCCCGTGAGTTTCCTTCAGTATCCGGAGTGTCAGGGTAGAGTTGTTCCACCTACCCCGTGAGTTTCCTTCAGTATCCGGAGTGTCAGGGTAGAGTTGTTCCACCTACCCCGTGAGTTTCCTTCAGTATCCGGAGTGTCAGGGTAAAGTTGTTCCACCTACCCCGTGAGTTTCCTTCAGTATCCGGAGAGTCAGGGTAGAGTTGTTCCACCTACCCCGTGAGTTTCCTTCAGTATCCGGAGTGTCAGGGTAAAGTTGTTCCACCTACCCCGTGAGTTTCCTTCAGTATCCGGAGTGCCATGGTAAAGTTGTTCCACCTACCCCGTGAGTTTCCTTCAGTATCCGGAGAGTCAGGGTAAAGTTGCTCCACCTACCCCGTGAGTTTCCTTCAGTATCCGGAGTGCCATGGTAAAGTTGTTCCACCTACCCCGTGAGTTTCCTTCAGTATCCGGAGTGTCAGGGTAAAGTTGTTCCACCTACCCCGTGAGTTTCCTTCAGTATCCGGAGAGGCAGGGTAGAGTTGTTCCACCTACCCCGTGAGTTTCCTTCAGTATCCGGAGTGCCATGGTAAAGTTGTTCCACCTACCCCGTGAGTTTCCTTCAGTATCCGGAGTGCCATGGTAAAGTTGTTCCACCTACCCCGTGAGTTTCCTTCAGTATCCGGAGTGTCAGGGTAGAGTTGTTCCACCTACCCCGTGAGTTTCCTTCAGTATCCGGAGTGTCAGGGTAGAGTTGTTCCACCTACCCCGTGAGTTTCCTTCAGTATCCGGAGTGTCAGGGTAAAGTTGTTCCACCTACCCCGTGAGTTTCCTTCAGTATCCGGAGAGTCAGGGTAGAGTTGTTCCACCTACCCCGTGAGTTTCCTTCAGTATCTGGAGTGTTAGGGTAAAGTTGTTCCACCTACCCCCTGAGTTTCCCTCAGTATCCGGAGTGTCAGGGTAGAGTTGTTCCACCTACCCCGTGAGTTTCCTTCAGTATCCGGAGTGTCAGGGTAGAGTTGTTCCACCTACCCCGTGAGTTTCCTTCAGTATCCGGAGTGTCAGGGTAAAGTTGTTCCACCTACCCCGTGAGTTTCCCTCAGTATCCGGAGTGCCATGGTAAAGTTGTTCCACCTACCCCGTGAGTTTCCCTCAGTATCCGGAGTGTCAGGGTAAAGTTGTTCCACCTACCCCGTGAGTTTCCCTCAGTATCCGGAGAGTCAGGGTAAAGTTGTTTTGATCCCGAGCACTCTCAGCCATTGCCAGCTTCAGCCTCAGTTTGGTATCCTCAAACATGTCCTCCTCTACCATCTCCTCCATGGAATCGTTCTTCATCGTCTGCTGCGACAGGCGGTTACAGATCAAGTCAAGGAAGACATTCCTAAAACAAAATCCTAATCTTAGCTCTAAGGATGAAACTATGCAAAATGCATCAATGTCCAACTACATTAGACACAATGGTAACAACATGCTCTATTCTGAGATATATTCTTTCACAAATTGAATTTAATTCTGCATCACATTTCTGTAAACATTTTCATACGAATTCAATTAATAATACTGATATTTAGTTTTGTCTAAAAATGACCCAGAAGATGATTTGTGAAATTAAATTCGATTTTGTAATATAAAATCAGTGTACTGTGATATTCACGCCTCATATCATGTCATGAACAAGTCAGTAGCAAATAAACAAGTTTCACAACATACAAAAAGAACAGCACTGTAGCTCACCTGGATGCATAGTCAACAGTTTAATCTGTCAACAAAGGCAGACACTGTCAGCATTGCTATTCAAATATTTTCTGAGAACTGAAACTAACCCTAAAATCTAATGATTGGAATAAAATAGGACATCATCATCAGGACAAACATGCCCGAGTTCAGCTTCCTCAGTTAACAGAGCCAATATGCTTTTAAGAGAATATACAAGCATAGTCAAAACAAGGTCAAAATCTAAAAATATCGAGAAAAAGAAGAAGAACCCTCTTATAACAACATACACACCAAATTATTTTCCATTTTGAAAACAACGGCCATAAATAGGTTTTCCAATATGGCTGCCATGGTGGACATATTGAAAATCTGATTTCAACCTCTTGAACAAATCAGGGTGTCAACATTGGTGGGAAGAAGCATGTGAAGTCTTAGCTTCATTGGTCAAGTGGTTTCTGAGAAGAAGATGTTTAAGATGGATGACAGACAACAGAAGACAGACAAACAGGTCACGACATAAGCTCACATGACTTTGAGTCAGGTGAGCTAACAATTAAAACATGAGAGAGACACCATTATTGTATCAAACACACTAAACACAACTCTGTGATCACCTGTTAGTGACGATATCATCCCAGGTGTCCGTGGTGTCAAGTAGGAGATGAGGGGAACGTCTCTCCCACTGCTGGGCCAGGCGCTGGGCGGGACCAGTCGATGAGAAGTTGCCTGGAAAGAATATGGCATTCCCAAAGTATGTCAAGAGCAAAAATACAGATAACAGTAGTCATATGCAGTATGACAATAAAAAAAGAAAAACCCATGCTTTTAACCACGTTAAAAAGAAAGTTATGTGCACTTCCAGTTTAAAGACTGCTAGGGAATGAGATGTATAATGCGACATTAAAACAAACAAACATTCCTATGCCAATGTATACCTTAATAAGGAAGTAACATGCACTTCTGGTTGTGGAAAACACGTCTTATGAAGCACATGGACCACATGGAGCTGGTTAATTATCAGTGAGGGAACAGCCACAGATACTTACTCTCCGTGCTGCGGAATGCGAGGAACTCTTGCAACTCCATGAGGGGCTGCAGTCTCTGGAGCTGACACGTCCGACTGGAGGCCATCAGAGTGTCCGTGCTGCTCCAGTCCTGGTGTACATAGAAGCAGGTAGACACAGGTAGATAGAAGTATTACAGGTAGATATAGGTAGATATAGGCAATGACAGGTAGACACAGGTAGATAGAAGTATTACAGGTAGATATAGGTAGATATAGGCAATGACAGGTAGACACAGGTAGATAGAAGTATTACAGGTAGATATAGGCAATCACAGGTTGACACAGGTAGATGGAAGTATTACAGGTAGATATAGGTAGACACAGGTAGATATAGGTAATCACAGGTAGACACAGGTAGATATAGTCAATAATATATAGTCAATCACAGGTAGACACAGGTAGATAGAAGTATCACAGGTAGATATAGGCAATCACTGGTAGACACAGGTAGATAGAAGTATCACAGGTAGATATAGGCAATCACTGGTAGACACAGGGAGATTCGTAAATTTCACATTGAATTATATATCTATATACTTATCCTATCTCACACTATGCATTTCTTGCTTCTTCTTTCGACCTTGGGTAGAAATGTAGAAAGTTTCGAGTTTCTAAGAACATTTCGCTCGAACTCATCACAGCATCACCATGATCACCACCCAAACAAATGGGTACTGCACTGTACATGTAATCCTGTGCACTTCAAACATGAAGTAATCACAGGTAGATACATGTAAACATAGGTACACAACATTTCATCTTCATTAAAGGGTAAGTGTTTTGTACAAAATGTGGGGTAAGGTGCAAGTGTCTACCTGCAGGAACTTCTGTGACGCCATGGTGGAGTAATGTCTGGCTCTGTCGTAATCCTCCTGCCACAGGTACATCAGCGCCAACTCAAAGCAGTAGCGACTCTGAAAACAACATGTTAAATCCTGGCTATGTTGTCATGTGATAACAGAGGCGACATCAGGTTGCTATGTTGTCATGTGATAATAGAGGTGACATCAGGTTGCTATGTTGTCATGTGATAATAGAGGTGACATCAGGTTGCTATGTTGTCATGTGATAATAGAGGTGACATCAGGTTGCTATGTTGTCATGTGATAATAGAGGTGACATCAGGTTGCTATGTTGTCCATGTGATAATAGAGGTGACATCAGGTTGCTATGTTGTCATGTGATAATAGAGGCGACATCAGGTTGCTATGTTGTAATGTGATAATAGAGGTGACATCAGGTTGCTATGTTGTAATGTGATAATAGAGGTGACATCAGGTTGCTATGTTGTCCATGTGATAATAGAGGCAACATCTGGTTGCTATGTTGTCATGTGATAATAGAGGCGACATCAGGTTGCCATGTTGTCATGTGATAATGGAGGTGACATCAGGTTGCTATGTCATCATGTGATAATAGAGGTGACATCAAGTTGCTATGTTGTCATGTGATAATAGAGGTGACATCAGGTTGCTATGTCGTCACGTGATAATGGAGGTGACATCAGGTTGCTAGTTGCAAGATTTTAAAATCATATTCTGTGACCACATTACAGCTGACAATTCATACACCCATATCAGGTGCGCCATTTCAGGTTTGCAATTGATAAATCAGCTGCAGTTAAAAAACGTCTTTTAGTTCAGTTTTAGTTTAGTTTCGGTGTTCTACAGAGCAATGTATGACATGTATCTTACTGACACCTATAGAAATGATTGTGAACTCCTCAGCAACAAGACACACAGACACGGCAGCTTGTCAATACTGTTTTATTACTTGCCCGTGAAGAAATCATCCGTTTAATAAACATACAGCTGTATTACACATTGTGTAATACCAGAACGCGTGCTTATGTACTCTCGGGACACGTTTCACGAACAAATATTGAAAGCTCTCAACATCCCTTGGCTTATTCAACGACATTGCGTGTGGAGATGATAGATCACTGAGAGGAGCTTATGCACACTCGATGACTCCAGCAACCTTGTTTCAACTTTTGATGTGTTTGAAGCATTTTTATGTTAAACTCAATTGGATTATGCCATGGATCGTGTAGGTGTCAGCCTATTCATACTCAACAGTATAATTCTAAAAACATTATAAATGACAAGTAATAAATAAAATACTAAACTCGCTCCGGTGTAAAACCAATTTTATGAAACTCGTGAATAGTTGTGGTATCTGACTCGCTTTCGCTCGTCTGATACCACAACTATTCACTGGTTTCATAAAATTGGTATTACATGGGAGCTCATTTAGTATTCTATATGTAGCCTCATGGATAGGTGTCTAGCCTAGGTGACATATTCACATAATTCTTAATGCGTGATTGTGTCATTTTCAATGAAGACCATAACTTAGTGAGCCAAAACTAGAGAGACTGTCCTTTTAACGTTCTTTTTATTGAGCTAGTATTCATATTCCTCAAGCACTGTTAACTGCAGTGCTCTACAAAGCTTACACACTCCATAGCCACACGAACCTCCAAAAGTACTTTCCGCTCCACGTCCTTCATGGCATCATCAATGAATGTGAGCAGAGACTGCTGCTTCTCATTTCCCTGCAGCATCAGCTTCAGCTTGCTACGCAGGAGGTAGGGCAGGTAGTGTTCCTGGAACAGACATTACACACATACATCTCCCTGCAGCATCAGCTTCAGCTGGCTACGCAGGAGGTAGGGCAGGTAGTGTTCGAGGAACAGACGTTACACACATACATCTTGCTGTGCAGATTCATCGTGGAATGATTCTTATAGATGTTCATGGGTTTCACCAGTGTTAACAGCACTATATAGGTGTTCATGAGTTTCACCAGTGTTAACAGCACTATATAGGTGTTCATGGGTTTCACCAGTGTGAATAGCACTATATAGATGTTCATGGGCTTCACCAGTGTTAACAGCACTATATAGGTGTTCATGGGTTTCACCAGTGTTAACAGGTCTATATAGGTGTTCATGGGTTTCATCAGTGTTAACAGCACTATATAGGTGTTCATGAGTTTCACCAGTGTTAACAGCACTATATAGGTGTTCATGGGTTTCACCAGTGTGAATAGCACTATATAGATGTTCATGGGCTTCACCAGTGTTAATAGCACTATATAGGTGTTCATAGGTTTCACCAGTGTTAACAGGTCTATATAGGTGTTCATGGGTTTCACCAGTGTTAACAGCACTATATAGGTGTTCATGGGCTTCACCAGTGTTAACAGCACTATATAGGTGTTCATAGGTTTCACCAGTGTTAACAGGTCTATATAGGTGTTCATGGGTTTCACCAGTGTTAACAGCACTATATAGGTGTTCATGGGCTTCACCAGTGTTAACAGCACTATATAGGTGTTCATGGGTTTCACCAGTGTTAACAGCACTATATAGATGTTCATGGGCTTCACCAGTGTTAACAGCACTATATAGGTGTTCATGGGTTTCACCAGTGTTAACAGGTCTATATAGGTGTTCATGGGTTTCACCAGTGTTAACAGCACTATATAGATGTTCATGGGTTTCACCAGTGTTAACAGCACTATATAGGTGTTCATGGGTTTCACCAGTGTTGACAGCACTATATAGGTGTTCATGGGTTTCACCAGTGTTAACAGGTCTATATAGGTGTTCATGGGTTTCATCAGTGTTAACAGCACTATATAGATGTTCATGGGTTTCACCAGTGTTAACAGCACTATATAGGCGTTCATGGGTTTCACCAGTGTTAACAGCACTATATAGGTGTTCATGGGTTTCACCAGTGTTAATAGCACTATATAGATGTTCATGGGCTTCACCAGTGTTAACAGCACTATATAGGTGTTCATGGGTTTCACCAGTGTTAACAGCACGATATAGGTGTTCATGGGTTTCACCAGTGTTAACAGCACGATATAGGTGTTCATGGGTTTCACTAGTGTTAACAGGTCTATATAGGTGTTCATGGGTTTTATCAGTGTTAACAGCACTATATAGGTGTTCATGGGTTTCACCAGTGTTAACATCCATGAATTTCATTCCTTTGTGATATCATCCAACAGTTAGTTGACACCCAGCAATATAACTGACATGGCATTTAACTCTCTGAATCACTCCCAACACTTTGGTTCAAGTGTTCAGGGAACTGATATCACCCAACAAATCCAGCATACAGTACCTGAGCAAATGAGTCGTCCCAAACATTGTTGAGTGTTCCAGATCCAGTGCTGTCAATGCCGTTGTTGCAGACTTCTTGCAGAGCTTCCCACTGTGTCAAATGGTCCAAACACTGGAGACAGATTTCACATTAATACAGATCACCCTTTCGAGTCAAAGTTAATTTGGTGTATTCAGGGACAATTTTCTAAACTTGAACGGCTGTGTAAATTTGTAAAGTTTGTTTGATGTTAAACATCGCTCTTAGCAAAATTCCAGCTATATGACATCAGCCCGCAAATATAGAAAGTCTGAACCAGACAATCCGGTGATTGATATTATAAGCATCGATCCATGCAGTCAGTGCAGAACACAGAACCTGATCAACTGATCGCTTACATCGCCTCTAACGACATGCTGGGGACCAAGATTTACCAAGATTACAGCATACACTACCTCCATCCTAGCATCATCCCACAGATCCACCTCCGCATCTGTGGGTTCCCCTCCTTCCCAGTCATCACACGACAACGCCTGCAACAACACAATTCAGAAGCCACATTATACTGTTTGATCCAGTAGAAGCCAATATTATAACTGTGTCAATCATTAAGAGATCAGGCCTGTAACACACAAACCAGTGGATGATATCATGAGCATTAGTTCATTACACGCCAAATGTTCAAGTGGTCAGCCGCTTTTAGAATATACACTCCAAAAACTACCCATACTGCTCTCATTTTGTCCAACTGAGCCCTATTCATCAAGTAATCTGATACATGAGTGAGTGTGTTAATGTGTTAAGCTTCACACAGCTTCAAGCAATTATCCAGCCATATATCACGGCAGGTAATACCTACAACATTCTTCAAACATTCTACCAATGTGGGAAATCGAATGCATGTCTTGTTGGTGACAAGCCAACACTTTAACCACTAGGCTACCCCACCACCCCCATCACTGTAATACATGCTTGAAATTAAAGACTGAAACAGTCTGAACAATGGTTTGTCACTATCAGCCAGGTCAGGGTCTTCAAAGATAGTATCCTAAAGGGTGATCTTAGTGCTACATCTATTCATTGTAAATATATATCAAGTATGTGTGTTGTGATAGTTGCAGTGCTGTTGGATTAGTGTGGCGAAGATCATAACAATAGAGATGAAGTACCAAACTATTCCATTTACATCAATTTCAATAACCAGCTCAGAGTAAGGTAACATTTCAGTATTGAAGTCTCTAAGGAGGATTTGTCCAAGGAACCCCCCTTGTCCCAGGTTCTGCATCAAAAGCACCTCCTACCTCCTCGTAGAGTTTCCTGGCTCCCTGGTAGTCCCCTCTAGCCTCGGCCTCCAGAGCCTCGCGGGTGATGGGCTTGGTCTTGATCTTCCCGCTGAAGATGCCCTGAAGAACGTCATACTCATCCACTGACTTGTACAATCTGTGGGTCCAAGATGTCATACAACCTTACCAAACCCAGTGTCTGAGCATTTATATACAAGTAGTTGCCTGTAGATATTCATCACTTAAATGAGAACTTGCGTATACTTTGAAAAAGTCTAGCATGATATATAATTCGCAAGTGTGTCCTAAAACCCTGAGGACAAGAGCGAGGCACTGCTTGTTTCCTTACTGCTGACCTTAAACTTCAAAGTATTCAATAGCATTCAAGTCCACCAAGGTTATAAACTAGACTGAAAGCTTTACCCAGAGCTCCAGATAAGCTGCGTATCTGCGTGAAATACGCATAAAAAATGCAGAAATACGCAGTAAAATAAAATCCAAGCGAATCAAATACGCAACGAACATTACAGATATGCTTCAAAAATAAAACTTGTGCGTATCATCAAAAGTGTTAAGTAACCCTGCGTTTTCGATTAGCAAATCAGCAACTTATTTTGAAATTATAAACGGGCATTCCGTCAACCTTGCCAAACTCCACAATGACAGTTACATCATGATCATTTGCCATCACACATTCTTGTGGAAGTATCGTGGTATTTTTGAGTCCTATAAAGCTCTCGAACCCACACGACACCAGTTTGCAGGGACTAGATGAATAGTGTTTTTAAATATTTAACTTAAATACCCACATGTGTAAAAACTAGTGGGTAACAGAAATTTGAATACCCAGATAGAATTACTGATACCCAATGATTTTAAAATGCATGGGTAAAATACCCACAACACCAAAAGCTTATCTGGAGCTCTGTTTACCAAATTTTCAAAATGAAATTGGTCAACAGTACACCAAGCAACTACTGGTACACACAGACGTGATGACAAGACCTGCATTGTGACCACAGTGAATATCTGGAATGGTCCAATTTCTGCATGGGTGTTCCAGCTGTGTATATTGCACACATACCCTGACTGCAGAGCCAAACTACCTGTTAAGAATATTGGAACCTTCACAAGCATGTGTTGTGCCTACTTTTCACAAATCCATCCTCTCATCAGCACATCGGTTTACCAGTAGTCTCTGCCTATAATATAAGCCTGACCTGGCCATCTCTATCCACAGACTGGTGTCGAGGGAGACTGTCGTGGCCTCCATCTTGCCGTGCTTACTGGGACGGGCTTCCTCCGTGTTGCACTGGATCAACTGCTCCTCCATCACAGTCAGCCCTGGCAACATCGCCAACATTCACAACATGTTCTCATGCAACAGCATGCCTTGTCCTTCCAGCAACAAAGTTGGCTGTGAGATCATATATGGTCATGTATAGCCCAGGCATAATTGTACTATCAGATGACATTTTCACAATCTGGTTCATATTTTTTCATTATTTACAGTCTAAAAATTACAAATAAATACAATCACTAGATTCACTTTCTTAGTTCTGATTTATACAAAATGCCCCACATTGCATAAAATGCAACTAACTGATTAGATATACGAACACATTGAAAGAATTATCTCTACAGTAAAGACTTTTGCAATACTCGATATATTTTCTTTCTTATATACCTAAATTGACATAAAGACAATTAAAGATCACATTGAAAATTCATATTTGTTCTTTAAAAATATTTTTGGTCTGATAAGTAAACAAAACTGAAATAAAGGAAAAGTGTTGATTTCATAAAGGGAAGGGTCCTTACGTAACTCCCTTAATAATCTTCTTTGGAGCTTTTTCATTACTCGCATTTCTCATGTATGTGAGTGAGTGAGTGAGTGAGTGAGTGAGTGAGTGAGTGAGTGAGTGAGTGAGTGAGTGAGTGAGTGAGTGAGTGAGTGAGTGAGTGTGAGTGAGTGAGTGAGTGAGTGAGTGAGTGAGTGAGTGAGTGAGTGAGTGAGTGAGTGATTATGCTGCTTTTAGCAGTATTCCAGCAATATCCCTCTTTGGGGAATCAAACCCAAGTCTTCGGCATGACATCCGAACGCTTCAACCACGACCCTACCCCACTGCCATAATTATCTTAGTGCAAAGATCTCTGTGTGGAATAGGCCTGGTGAGCATAATGCTGTCTCCAGTTCTCACCTAGGGGCTGCAGGTTGCTGATGACAGCACACACTCCGAGGTTGGCCGGCTCCACCTTCAGCGTGGTCCTCAGGTCGTACAGGATGTCCTGCAGCAGGGAAACATCATCACTTACTATCTATGTAGGTCATATTAACAAAGGATATGCTTTGAAATGGTCCTAATCATTGTAGACATTTATTTATTATCCAACTATCCTATATTGAGATAGAAGATTAAAGGAATTTTTAAGTACTGGGAGGACAGAGAGAAGATGGAGTCTCACCATGATGCAGGAGAGACATGGAGGGAAGTACTGGGAGGACAGAGAGAAGATGGAGTCTCACCATGATGCAGGAGAGAAATGGAGGGAAGTACTGGCTGGACAGAGAAAAGATGGAGTCGAGACTTTTGTTGATTTGCTCATTCATTTCCTCAATCTCTCGTTCTGTCTTCACGGTGTCCATCTTGGCAAATATAGCTTTGAAGAGTGAAGAGAATAGTAACTTGGCCACTGTACTGTCTCGCTGAAAAGGTAACAAATATAATCAAAACATGCACGAAAACAACATGAATTACAAACAGTTATACCCAAACACAGCTACATCAGTAAACACAAACTAAAAAAGGGTGTAATCTATTTCAGCTTAATGATGCACAATGGCTCTTCTGAGCCAATGGTAGCATATATGAACCTATTTTTGACTGTTTGAATTCTTTTTCATTAAAGTAAATAGTTCCATGTTCTCAGTTCAAGGACTTACATGGGCAACTGCCTGTAGTGGTGCTATGATATAGGAGTACTTGATCTGGATGTCCGGCAGGTCTCCAATACGATACTTGCGGTACATCGTCACTTGGTTCTCACGCCGCTTCTGTTGTTCTAGGCGGGCCGTCTAGAAAGACAGTTCACAATGGCTGACCATGAGATAGAATCTAAACCACCAACTAGAGAATACATATTCTTTTTGAGTAAGTAATCAAGGCTGACAACGTGTCCAGCTTTCGGTACCTATAAGAGTAAGTGACAGTTCAAGTTTGTTATCGCCCTACGTCTACACCTAATGTCAACCAAATGAACCTAAAATGAAGCCTTGTGAAGGTCATGGGGTCATGATGCGTGTTTTCCCAAAGTTACAAAAATGTTCAATATTTATTACTCAAGCCCCTCTTCCTGGACCTCCATGGGCAACGGTTTCTCTTTATTTGAAGTTGCTCCCTGTGTTTCTACATGTCAACGGTAGAAAATAACCAGTCTCGATTATTTGCCGAAACAGATTCCATTGGGTGTAAAAGGCAGAATATTAGTGAAAATTGTATAAACGGATCTCTGAAAATCAATCACACCAGGTGTTCACGAAAAGGATAAACATGTCCTGCCCTACCGGTAACACACGCCACCCACACAATTTGCATAAGAAAGTCAGTGTTTGTTGCATGAGATCACACAGCAGTACTCCTACCATGCAATGGCAGCCTGTTAAAAACCCATACAAATCAAGTGATGGACTATAAAATCCAGTGACATGATAGCCCATATACTAACAAACACTTCCCTTGATACCCGATATCACTACACAGATTCAGACAACTTTCTCCCCAGGCAGATAAGGGACCAACCATTTGATATTCTGGGTCAGGGGCCCAGGATTTTTGTATTTGACAGATCTTTTTCAGTCAGCTATGAAAACATATAATTGTTTTTTTATTTTTACATATTTCTTTTCATCTACATGATTTCCACCATACACAGCAGAATATCAAATGGTGGGACCCTAGTGTGTGAGTTTGGCAAACCTCTCTCATTTTGTTCATCCTTGATGCTTTCTTCACAAAATACAGCCTGGATGCTTCCTGGTCTTTCAGGAATCGACGCTTCAGTCTCAGAATGTCACTCTGCTGACTAGACCCTACATACAGAAAAATATTCATCTTATTCCTTTGTGAGCTATAACATTACAGCCATAAAATGGCAGCCTTCAGTATCAAGTGATAAATGTGGTCAATGTTTGTTTGTTGTTTAATGACACTCACCCATATTCCAGCAGTACGATGGCAGCCTGCAATTAATCAAGTCTGGACAAGATAATCCATTGACTGACATCATGGGCATCAATATACACTATCAACCAAGTCACAGAGTCTGGACACCCGATCCATATGGTTCCCTCTTACGACCAGCATAGGTTGGTGGGGATCTATTCTTACCTGGAAAACCCACAGGGTTGTTTGTTAGTAGCCTGTGCAACAATTCATATTGTCACATGGGTGAGTCACAGCTAACAGGTTCTTTTCCCTAGTTGTCACCTACTGTTCTTTTTCAGCAGCCACTGCATGTAACCTCTTATTATGTCAAACAGGATCTCTAGACAAAAAAAAAAGTTGAGGTTGTCTAACCTGGATTTTCTTTCTTTACATCTGCCCCTGCTGTTGCTTGAGAAGGACCTGGTCTCTGGCCAAACCCTGGCCCTGGGCCCTTGGGTCTTGGTCTTCGTGACTTTGTCCGACTGTCGCCCCCACCCACAGAGAAGAGGAGAGAACTCTGAGTCTGGGTCTCTCCCCCCAGGGTGAAGGCATCAGAGAAGGAGTCCAGGCTGCTCTGGGTCAGCCAGTTGAAGGGAGCCCGAGACCCTGCAACATTGGTAAGTAACTAACGACTGACAAATTATATTCTCATGGTTTAAGACTGCCTACGAGCTTAATCAGTGATAGTGATCATAATTATACATAACATAGTAGGAGTGAGTGAGTTAGGTTTAATACTGTATTTCAGTTATTTCACAGCGTGTCAGTACAATGTGGGAGGAAAGTCCGATGTCATGCAGGTCTTAAATGTTTACCACTTTGGTGAAACTCACGAGCACGAGTATGGTGCTGATAATCAGGGCAAACAGGGAACATAATAGGATTTCTTGCTGTTTAATGTTGCAGTCTGCAATATTACACCTTTTTCACAGTGTAAATAATTGAGTCCAGACGAAGCAAACCTGTGACTAAATGCGAGACAAGTCTTGTCTACCTAATACATGCTGGTCGACTCTTACAAGCATAGGTTATTGGCGTCAAATTCTATCTGTGAATCCCTATTGATTTTATCACAATGTATGACTTCAAATCACCTCGCAATAATAATCACTTCTAATAATGTCATCATCAAAACATCTAAACTCATTCGACGTCAGTTGTGCTGAACCAACCTGCTTCCTGTGTTTGTGTGAACTGAGCTGCATCCACAGTTGCTCGGACCCCTCCATCCAGACTGTCCTCCATCATAGTGGTATCCATTGTCTGTGTAGCCTGGGTGCTGGCGAACAGCGGCGTCATGACGGCATGGCGCTGTCTCCAGGAGGAGTGGATGGAGTAGTCCTGAGAGATGAAACAGTCATTAATCTGGGTGTTATGGCAGCCAAATTTACAAATCATAATCCTTAGTTTCAGTCTTACCAGCCATCCACATCATTGTTGGCTCGTGATCTTGTCAGGGGACAGCACTAATGAAGGTTCTATATAAACCTTTCAGTAATTTGTACCCGGTAGGATGAAATGGCAATGTGGTTGTTAACCTTCTAGCACCTAACAGGAAGCTTGGATTGTTTACTCCCCAGGGAGCTGAGAATGATTCTTGAATGCACATTGATCAAGTGACCGGGGTAAGAATAGCGCTTTGAGCATGCCCCTGAGTGGTGTGGAAATATGCACAATATAAATAGCCTATTATTATCATAATTGTTTCCTACACTTCTTCAATACAGAGTGAGCAAAGAATAGTTGTTTCAAGCTACATGGAAGATACCTGAACCAGACAATCCAATGATTGACATCATGGGCTTCCATCCATGCAATTTGGTTATGATGCTGGTACACTATCAACCAAGTCACCGAGCCTGACAACCCGATCCATTTAGCCGCCTCTTGTGACAAGCATAGGTTGCTGGGGACCTGCATTCTTACCTGGGATCCCCATGGGTTTCCTACAGATTGAGGTGGGATTGAGAACATTGCAGTCATGCTCCAGGCATCTCCCCGAGGCAAGAGAGTTAACTGACTATAAAAGTCCAGTTACCACCCCTGCCAAACTAGGCTGGATTTCCTGGGCTCGATCGCAGCGACACCAGTGGCTATTACGAGTTATGTCCCTTCTATACCTCTCCTATGGACCAATCAGATTCCACCTCTCGTTTCACTTGCATTTGCTTCAAACAAAATGGCAGCGCCCAGTCAAGACAATCTGCTCTATAATCAAGATCTATATTGTGATAAAATGGGTCTTACACCGCAAATTGCATCAAATCATATGAACACCTTCATTAAGAACATGAAAAGATTTGGTAAATATCTATTTACAACGAGTTGGCGGTGCACATGCTTTATTAATCATGCAATCGACTGAAATCTGCACGATGGTTTACGAACCAGATTTTGATTTCGTTGCGCGATTTTGATTGGACTATGCATAGACTCGTTAGTCCAGCCAAAATGTAACTCCATAATACCAGCCTAGTTCGGCAAGGATGGAAACTAAACTTTTATAGTCAGTTAACTCTCTTGCTTCGGGAAGAAGTGCTCCAGGACACATCCTGACCCTACCTGAAACTTGCACTCTGACAGAGCATGTTCAAATATCTCCCTCTGGTAGTCGGGGCTCTTGGAGGTCATCTCCAGCAGGAGGTTGGTGGCGTAGCTGAGATACTGCTGCTCTGTGCTGGGGGAGTACATGGCCTCCAACATGGCCACCATACGGTCCAGGGTTCCTGTGGGCAGACGGGTCTCACTGCTCCAGAAGTTCTGCACCAGCAATCTGGAAAATGGAATAATTAGATTATTTAAACAGATTTTCTACAAAAGGATGAAATACAAAACTAGATCAAGGCCCTGAAGCTCACCTGAATAATAATGAAATAATAAAGACATGCATTAACCAAGTCAGTGAGCCTGACCACCTGATCCTGTCTGTTGCCTCTTACGAAAAGCATAGTTGGCAGCAAGCATTGATTGCTGAAGACCTATTCTAACCCAGATCTTCACCGGGTTGATGAAATAATAGTGGCAGTGTTACCAAATTGTCAGAACTGTGTTGTCTTTATGTGTAAAATATATGTGGTCATGACATATGTAGTATAGCCTTTAGAACCAAGAATATTATTTTAGGATGAAAGAGACTGTACTGGAGAAGAACCTCAATCAACTTTTTACTTCAGGGACACACAGTAAGAACCACGTCAATGCAAATCAAGTCCACTAAAAGAAATATAAATGGTGAATGAGGACATCTTTTATTACAGGGTCCAAAGTTATATTACTATAAGGGTAACGCTTTTTTTCAGGGCATTATCATTTGCAGAAGCCAAAGGTCTTCCATTAGGAAGGAGGGCAGTTGAAAAGACCGAGGGCTTCTGCAAATGATAATGCCCTGAAAAATAGCGTTACCGTTTTTATAGGTAAAATGGATGGAATTTGTTATCTCTCAAAAGGAAACAACAATATCGGTTTTGAAACATTTACTGCAATCAACACGAATGTCACTGACCCACTTTTACAAATAAGGAAAAGTCATAGAACAAACCAGATGATGTCACTATTGAACGTGACATCACCTATCCCTACCCTATGACGTCACCTAACTTGGCGTGATAATGGCCCGTCAAGCAATACGAGGGCATTATCAAGTTACAGTGGCCCGCTCATTTCTGATAACATGCTGGCGGTTTAATGATAATTCTATCCATTTTAGCTATAATGAGATGCAGTAAGATTGTAAAGGGGCCAACAAATTGATATTCAGGGGGCTAGGGGGGGGCCTGATGAAAAGACTGTCCTAAATAATTTGTCCTCATGATTGACAAAAAGAAAACATTTGTTTACTGGACATGCTTGATGTTCTTGAAATAATGTGTTGTGGGTAAAAAAAAACACTTTTCAGAGAATATATCGTATGTCTTAAAGTGTGGACTGAAATATATTTCTATCTCAAACAAAAATCACCCAGTATCCTGAATATCAATTAGTCAGGGCCTCCTATATCTGCCTGCTGTAAGACCGACCTGCAGTGGAGGTCCTCATCTCCCAGTCCCAGGAGCAGAGTCTCCTTCGTCTGCTGCATGATCTGGTGACCTTCCTCCGACTCATCGTCCCTGGCAACAGGAAGCAACACAAGAATCTTCAGATTCCAGACTTGCAATCTAACTTTTGGCTAATCTCTCAAAAGAGAGGTCAGAATGTGGTTGTAAACATTTTCCTTTGTTCATCTAGGCATACAATTATCCTCAGTCTTCAAGAATAGCTCTCATGTAAATCAAGAGTACTAAAACACCAACCCATCATCTCCCATCACAAACAAGACATCCACATTCACTAAACCACCACTCATCATCTACCATCAACACAAAGACACTCACTGATCATACACAGCTATTTTCTATTCCTAAACACACTCCCTAAATGAAAGTATTCTCGGTGGGATGTAATGTACAAGGGCCCTGTTCCAAAAAGGGATCTTAGCGTTACGATGGTTCTTAATGAATGTTAAAGTATGGGAGTTAGATCATCTTAGCACTTACGTTGCTTTGACATACAGGGTCTTGTACCAGAGAAAATGACAAAAAAACGGCCCCATGCACTGACTTATTCCTGGATTACCATGAACCTTGTTCAGTCAGAGCTTGAGTCATCAACGCTGACAAGGCCGTACCTGTAGTTGTCGTATATCCACATGAGTATCTCGTACATGGTGTTACGGCAGGAGGTGCTGGGGTGCTGGCTGATGCTACACACAGCAGACATCAGCTTGGACAGTTCCTCGGGCTTCAGCTTGGCTGCGATTGACTTGACAATCCTCAGAGACATCTGTTGGGTGTCCTCATCCCTGGCAACATAACACAGATGACGATAGACACTTGAGCTGAATGCTGGGAGCTTACACTGCAGTGACCTACATTCCTACAGTGACCTTATGGCCTGCAAATAATGGAGTCAGCCGAGTAAGGAGCTTTATTGAGTGTGAGCAATGTGAGCAGGGCTTTGTTATAGAGTTCTAGGTACACCTACCTGAATGTAAGATGGCCTGTTACTATGGCATTCTAGGTACACCTACCTCTGTGTAAGATGGAGTGTTACAAATGGAGTTTTAGCTACATCTACCTGTGTGTAAGATGGACTGTTACTATGGCATTCTAGGAACACCTACCTGTGTGTCAGGAATTTGAGAAGGCCTTTGCTATGGAGCTCGAGGAAGACATTCTCAACCTGGTCGATCCCACTGTGTATCACTTCCAGACACTGGGTGCGGAACTCTCCATGCAGACTTGGCAGCATAAACAGCAGTCGGTTCAGGAATCTGAGCAGGCAGAGTATTCATGTCTTACAATACAATACTGAATACAAGGCAACTAAATACAACAAAGTTAGCTGACAAATAAGTTATTATGTTTCAGGACATCGGCTTACTTTGAGTACATCAGCTAACTTTGAGTACATTCTAACTCTGAGGACATGCTTACTCTGTGGACACGCTTACTCTGAGGATACGCTAACTCTAAAGATACGCTAATACTGAGGATACGCTAACTCTGAAGATACACTTACTCTGAGGATACACTAACTCTGAGGATGCACTAACTCTGTAGACACACTAACTCTGAAGATACACTTAATCTGAGGATACACTAACTCTAAAGATACGCTAATACTGAGGATACGCTAACTCTGAAGATACACTTACTCTGAGGATACACTAACTCTGAGGATGCACTAACTCTGTAGACACACTAACTCTGAAGATACACTTAATCTGAGGATACACTAACTCTAAAGATACGCTAATACTGAGGATACGCTAACTCTGAAGATACACTTACTCTGAGGATACGCTAACTCTAAAGATACGCTAATACTGAGGATACACTAACTCTGAAGATACACTTACTCTGAGGATATGCTAACTCTGAGGATACGCTAACTCTGAGGCTACGCCAACTCTGAAGATACACTAACTCTGAGGATGCGCTAACTCTGTAGACACACTAACTCTGAAGATACACTTAATCTGAGGATACACTAACTCTCAAGATACGCTAATACTGAGGATACGCTAACTCTGAAGATACACTTACTCTGAGGATACGCTAACTCTAAAGATACGCTAATACTGAGGATACGCTAACTCTGAAGATACACTTACTCTGAGGATATGCTAACTCTGAGGATACACTAACTCTGAGGATACGCCAACTCTGAGGATACGCTAACTCTGAGGATGCGCTAACTCTGTAGACACGCTAACTCTGAAGATACACTTAATCTGAGGATACACTAACTCTAAGGATACGCTAACTCTGAAGATACACTTACTCTGAGGATATGCTAACTCTAAAGATACGCTAATACTGAGGATACGCTAACTCTGAAGATACACTTACTCTGAGGATACGCTAACTCTAAAGATACGCTAATACTGAGGATACGCTAACTCTGAAGATACACTTACTCTGAGGATACGCTAACTCTGAAGACACGCTAACTCTGAGGATACACTTACTCTGAGGATACGCTAACTCTTAAAAGTTTCTAGTGACCTGTTAGATTGTCTAACACCAGGGCTAGAGCTGCCCACCTGGTAGCAATGGTGGGGGGTATGTTTATAAGTTTCCGGTGACCTGTTTGATCGTCTCACACCAGTGCAAGAGTTGCCTATCTGGTAGCATGGGCAGTGGGGTAGCCTAGTGGTTAAAGCGTTCACTCATCACTCCGAAGACCTGGGTTTGATTCCCCACATGAGTACGAAGCCCATTTCCTGTGTTACCCGTCGTGATATTGCAGGAATATTGCTTAAAACGGCGTAAAACAATATTCTTACTCACTCACTCACCTGGTAGCAATGGCGGGGTAGTGCCTCTGCATGTGGTGGACACACACAATGAAGTTGTCCGGCTTGCTCTGTTGTATGGAGGACATATAGGTAACAACATGGTCATGGAAGGAGCCCTCAGTCTGTCTCTCCTTCTCAGCCAGGTACTTGAAGATCATCCCCACAACCTCTGCCGCAGGGGCATACGTCGCCTTGTAATGGTTGCCCATGGCATTCACAACTGCACTAAAATATCTGCAAGAAAAATATAATCCAAAATATACCGCTTAAATTGAATTGACATGTTAGCAAGTGGGAGTTGGAGATAGTCACCCTTCAAATACTCTTCTAAAAAGGACACAAGATCGCAGACTTACTTTTCTCTATCTACAGGAGCCGATGGACCGTATGGTGAGAACTGACAGGCAATGATCACTCCAAGCACCTGTATGCCAGTCAGGCTGTCCTTGGACTTTGGGTCAGACGTCTTCAGCTGCTTGTATATAACACTGAAATAATGAGTAAATGAGTGTGATATTTAGCACTATACCAGCATTAACACACTGGGAGACATAAAAAATGGGTGAGAATCACGGGCCGTCTCCGTGACGAGCGAACACTATAACCATCTGGTTAATCCAACCACTCCAACACTGAAATGTTGGAGGCAAAATAGAACATATCCTTGGTTGTCCTTGGTCTTAGGTTCGGTCAGACATCTTCAGCTGCTTGTATATAACACTGAAATAGTGGTCTTAGGGTCAGACATCCTCAGCTGTTGGTATATAACACTGAAATAGTGGTCTTAGGGTCAGACATCTTCAGCTGCTTGTATATAACACTGAAATAGTGGTCTTAGGGTCAGACACACTTCAGCTGCTTGTATATAACACTGAAATAGTGGTCTTAGGGTCAGACATCTTCAGCTGCTGGTATATAACACTGAAATAGTGGTCTTAGGGTCAGACATCTTCAGCTGCTGGTATATAACACTGAAATAGTGGTCTTAGGGTCAGACATCTTCAGCTGCTTGTATATAACACTGAAATAGTGGTCTTAGAGAAACCTAGAGAAACAGAAATGAACTTCATGAAGTAAGATGCTGCTGTAAAGAGACTCAGACCAGGAGGAACCTCCTTTAGAGCATTCTAAACTATTAAAATACACAGAGACATTGCTAGGTTATCATTATACACTACTGCTAGGGACTCACTGATAGGGAATGTCTACTCTGGTCTTCCAGCACTCCAGCAGGGTCTTCAGCAGGTCCAGGTTGTTCCGGAACACAAACCTTGTGTCATGGTGGATGTTGGCAGTGAGGAACTCCACAAGGCGAGAGGCCATAGCTTTCTCCTCGGCAGAATCCTTTCAAATCAAAGCATAGCCACTATCAGCAACCTTCTGAACAATTTTGCAAACAGATTTGACTGTATTTCACTTTAAGGAAATGGGGTCTAAGGATTTTAAAGTAAAGCTATCCCATATGAGTCAAGGTGTCCTATCTCAGCTATGACTGTTGTGTCAGTACAACATGGGACCTATCTAAGCTGTGGCTGTTGTGTCAGTACAACATGGGGCCTATCTCAGCTATGGCTGTTGTGTCAGTACAACATGGGGCCTATCTCAGCTATGGCTGTTGTGTCAGTAAAACAAGGGACCTATCTCAGCTGTGGCTGTTGTGTCAGTACAACATGGGGCCTATCTCAGCTATGGCTGTTGTGTCAGTACAGCATGGGGCCTATCTCAGCTATGGCTGTTGTGTCAGTACAACACGGGACCTATCTCAGCTATGTTTGTTGTGTCAGTACAACACGGGACCTATCTCAGCTATGGCTGTTGAGTCAGTACAACATGGGGCCTATCTCAGCTATGGCTGTTGTGTCAGTACAGCATGGGGCCTATCTCAGCTATGGCTGTTGTGTCAGTACAACATGGGGCCTATCTCAGCTATGGCTGTTGTGTCAGTACAACATGGGGCCTATCTCAGCTATGGCTGTTGTGTCAGTACAGCATGGGGCCTATCTCAGCTATGGCTGTTGTGTCAGTACAACACGGGACCTATCTCAGCTATGGCTGTTGTGTCAGTACAACATGGGGCCTATCTCAGCTATGGCTGTTGTGTCAGTACAACATGATGGCCTATCTCAGCTATGGCTGTTGTGTCAGTACAACATGGGGCTTATCTCAGCTATGGCTGTTGTGTCAGTACAGCATGGGGCCTATCTCAGCTATGGCTGTTGTGTCAGTACAACACGGGACCTATCTCAGCTATGGCTGTTGTGTCAGTACAACATGGGGCCTATCTCAGCTATGGCTGTTGTGTCAGTACAACATGATGGCCTATCTCAGCTATGGCTGTTGTGTCAGTACAACATGGGGCTTATCTCAGCTATGGCTGTTGTGTCAGTACAGCATGGGGCCTATCTCAGCTATGGCTGTTGTGTCAGTACAACACGGGACCTATCTCAGCTATGTTTGTTGTGTCAGTACAACACGGGACCTATCTCAGCTATGGCTGTTGAGTCAGTACAACATGATGGCCTATCTCAGCTATGGCTGTTGTGTCAGTACAACATGGGGCCTATCTCAGCTATGGCTGTTGTGTCAGTACAGCATGGGGCCTATCTCAGCTATGGCTGTTGTGTCTGTACAACATGATGGCCTATTTCAGCTATGGCTGTTGTGTCACTTCAGCATGGGGCCTATCTCAGCTATGGCTGTTGTGTCAGTACAACATGATGGCCTATCTCAGCTATGGCTGTTGTGTCAGTACAACATGGGGCCTATCTCAGCTATGGCTGTTGTGTCAGTACAACACGGGACCTATCTCAGCTATGGCTGTTGTGTCAGTACAACATGATGGCCTATCTCAGCTATGGCTGTTGTGTCAGTACAACATGGGGCTTATCTCACCTATGGCTGTTGTGTCAGTACAACATGGGACCTATCTCAGCTGTGGCTGTTGTGTCTGTACAACATGGGGCCTATCTCAGCTATGGCTGTTGAGTCAGTACAACATGATGGCCTATTTCAGCTATGGCTGTTGTGTCAGTACAACATGGGGCCTATCTCAGCTATGGCTGTGGTGTCAGTACAACATGATGGCCTATCTCAGCTATGCCTGTTGTGTCAGTACAACATGGGGCCTATCTCAGCTATGGCTGTGGTGTCAGTACAACATGATGCCTATCTCAGCTATGGCTGTTGTGTCAGTACAACAGGAGCCTATCTGAACTATGGCTGTTGTGTCAGTACAGCATGGGGCCTATCTCAGCTATGGCTGTTGTGTCAGTACAACATGACAGCCTATTTCATATATGGTTGTTGTGTCAGTACAACATGGGGCCTATCTCAGCTATGGCTGTGGTGTCAGTACAACATGATGGCCTATCTCAGCTATGGCTGTGGTGTCACTACAACATGGGGCCTATCTCAGCTATGGCTGTTGTGTCAGTACAACATGGGGCCTATTTCAGCTATCGCTGTTGTGTCAGTACAACAGGGGCCTATCTCAGCTATGGCTGTTGTGTCAGTACAACATGGGGCCTATCTCAGCTATGGCTGTTGAGTCAGTACAACATGATGGCCTATCTCAGCTATGGCTGTTGTGTCAGTACAACATGGGGCCTATCTCAGCTATGGCTGTTGTGTCAGTACAACAGGGGCCTATCTCAGCTATGGCTGTTGAGTCAGTACAACATGATGGCCTATCTCAGCTATGGCTGTTGTGTCAGTACAACATGGGGCCTATCTCAGCTATGGCTGTTGTGTCAGTACAGCATGGGGCATTTCTCAGCTATGGCTGTTGAGTCAGTACAGCATGGGGCCTATCTCAGCTATGGCTGTTGTGTCACTACAACACGGGACCTATCTCAGCTATGGCTGTTGTGTCAGTACAACATGGGGCCTATCTCAGCTATGGCTGTGGTGTCAGTACAACATGGGGCCTATCTCAGCTATGGCTGTGGTGTCAGTACAACATGATGGCCTATCTCAGCTATGGCTGTTGTGTCAGTACAACATGGGGCCTATCTCAGCTATGGCTGTTGTGTCAGTACAACATGGGGCCTATCTCAGCTATGGCTGTTGTGTCAGTACAACAGGGGCCTATCTCAGCTGTGGCTGTTGTGTCAGTACAACATGGGGCCTATCTCAGCTATGGCTGTTGTGTCAGTACAACATGGGGCCTATCTCAGCTATGGCTGTTGTGTCAGTACAACATGGGGCCTATCTCAGCTATGGCTGTTGTGTCAGTACAACATGGGGCCTATCTCAGCTATGGCTGTGGTGTCAGTACAACATGATGGCCTATCTCAGCTATGGCTGTTGTGTCAGTACAACATGGGGCCTATCTCAGCTATGGCTGTTGTGTCAGTACAACATGATGGCCTATCTCAGCTATGGCTGTTGTGTCAGTACAACAGGGGCCTATCTCAGCTGTGGCTGTTGTGTCAGTACAACATGGGGCCTATCTCAGCTATGGCTGTTGTGTCAGTACAACATGATGGCCTATCTCAGCTATGGCTGTTGTGTCAGTACAACAGGGGCCTATCTCAGCTATGGCTGTGGTGTCAGTACAACATGATGGCCTATTTCAGCTATGGCTGTTGTGTCAGTACAACATGGGGCCTATCTCAGCTATGGCTGTGGTGTCAGTACAACATGATGGCCTATCTCAGCTATGGCTGTTGTGTCAGTACAACATGGGGCCTATCTCAGCTATGGCTGTTGTGTCAGTACAACATGATGGCCTATCTCAGCTATGGCTGTTGTGTCAGTACAACAGGGGCCTATCTCAGCTGTGGCTGTTGTGTCAGTACAACATGGGGCCTATCTCAGCTATGGCTGTTGTGTCAGTACAACATGATGGCCTATCTCAGCTATGGCTGTTGTGTCAGTACAACAGGGGCCTATCTCAGCTGTGGCTGTTGTGTCAGTACAACATGGGGCCTATCTCAGCTATGGCTGTTGTGTCAGTACAACATGGGGCCTATCTCAGCTATGGCTGTTGTGTCAGTACAACATGGGGCCTATCTCAGCTATGGCTGTTGTGTCAGTACAACATGGGGCGTATATCAGCTATGGCTGTTGTGTCTGTACAACATAGGGCCTATCTCAGCTATGGCTGTTGTGTCAGTACAACAGGAGCCTATCAAACTACCTGAGGTATTGCAGTGGTGTGCCAGGACATCATGGTGACAACCAGGTCCACAATGAAGTAGTTGGTGCCCCCAGACGTGACTGTGTCAGTGAAGAGAAACTGGCACAGGGGCCGCAGCCAGAACTTGGCATAGGGCTGGAATAGCTGGAACAGATACAAACATACTGAAACATTGTTTAAGTTTCTAATAGTGAGCAAGTTGGGTTTAATGCACGCTGAATAGTAGTCAGCCTGTGATGCAGGCCATAGATGTTTACCACTTTAGTGATGACCGCCTCCGCCCAGAGAGCGGAAGGTCTGGGGTTCGATCCCGGAAGCGTCATATTGAAAGACATTAAAAGATAGTGCTTGTTGTTACCCAACCTAGTGCTCGGCATTAAGGAGATAAAACAAGGACTGGTCCGCTTGGAGTCAGTATACTGTGTCTGATTTGGGCAGTAACATTAAACTGTGGCATGGTATCTCAGTGGGCTAGCACACTATAAAATCAGCATTAGTCCAGACTAGTACACGCACGCAGGCACACACGTGTGTACTAGTGCTGACTAATGCTGATTTTATATTGCGCTAGCCCACGCACGCACGCATGCTATAAAATCAGCATTAGTCAGGACTAGTACACGCAGGCAGGCACACACTCGTGTACTAGTGCTGACTAATGCTGATTTTATAGTGCGCTGAGATACAATGCCACAGTTAAATGTGACTGCAAAAATCTTGGATGCGAAGTTAAACCCCATGTCACCTCACCTCACTTACTACTTCAGCGAAACCAGCAAACATGGGTATGGTGCTGATAAACCAACAACCATTACCAGAGTAAATCTGGGATTCAAACCAATGATCACAGGGATGATGATTCAGGTGGGCTTAAGGATACAACTCTACACCGCAAACTGTGCTGCCCTTGAGAATCATGCCCTCAATTTCTTCACACAAATTTCAGTTCACAAAACTGACTGACAATTTCTGAGTAGTCGACTTACATCTGCTGTGTTGATGATAAGTTTGGCTATGAAGAGTTTGATGTTTTTGTGCACTGTGGCCTTCATCATCTTGTTGTGGAGGTATATCATCCATGAGGGCATCTCCTTGGGCAAAGTACCCTGAAACAAAACAGGACATTCCTTGAGTGTCAGCAGTGATTCTATAACACGTGGGGGACCAACTAACTAACGGGTGTCCAAATATCTAATGATATCTGAGTATATCCTCAAAAAGGAATGTCCAGCATGTACATAAGCAACTGCTGGTGTGATCTCTTCTCTCTGCACGTGTCTCAGCAGGGCAATGACAGACGCCATACACTCGTGCTGGTTCAGTCCCTACCTGAGCTACTGCTGGTGTGATCTCAGCAATGACAGACGCCATACACTCATGCTGGTTCATTCCCTACCTGAGCTACTGCTGGTGTGATCTCTTCCCTCTGCATGTGTCTCAGCAGGGCAATGACAGACGCCATACACTCGTGCTGGTTCAGTCCCTACCTGAGCTACTGCTGGTGTGATCTCTTCCCTCTGCATGTGTCTCAGCAGGGCAATGACAGACGCCATACACTCGTGCTGGTTCAGTCCCTACCTGAGCTACTGCTGGTGTGATCTCTTCCCTCTGCATGTGTCTCAGCAGGGCAATGACAGACGCCATACACTTGTGCTGGTTCAGTCCCTACCTGAGCTAGTGCTGGTGTGATCTCTTCCCTCTGCATGTGTCTCAGCAGGGCAATGACAGACACCATACACTCGTGCTGGTTCAGTCCCTACCTGAGCTTGTGCTGGTGTGATCTCTTCCCTCTGCATGTGTCTCAGCAGGGCAATGACAGACGCCATACACTCGTGCTGGTTCAGTCACTACCTGAGCTTGTGCTGGTGTGATCTCTTCCCTCTGCATGTGTCTCAGCAGGGCAATGACAGACGCCATACACTCGTGCTGGTTCAGTCCCTACCTGAGCTTCTGCTGGTGTGATCTCTTCCCTCTGCATGTGTCTCAGCAGGGCAATGACAGACACCATACACTCATGCTGGTTCAGTCCCTACCTGAGCTACTGCTGGTGTGATCTCTTCCCTCTGCATGTGTCTCAGCAGGGCAATGACAGACGCCATACACTCGTGCTGGTTCAGTTCATCCATCTCCAGCTCCACATAGTCATCCTCGACAGTCACATTCCCCTCCTGAAACATCAGGTGCTCTGTAATTATTCAGCTGAACTTCCTACCTGACAAACAGACGCAGATGATGTGAGGGACATGCTGTGCACATTGCCATCTGGAATTTCTGAGAATTTCACCTCCATCTTTTTCCTATGACCATAACAGAATGTTACCACATGTTAGTTCATGCTAAATGCAGGCATTTTATAAGCAGACCGCACAAAGTGCAGTTGGTAACAAATTCCACAAACATGCAAATAAATATCACTTCAATTAAATACCATATGTACAAAACCTAAACAAATTAAAATAATATTACTTTCATCACATTCAATATTCATGACTATATTCTGTTCATTGTGTACTACAGGTCGCTAATCTTAAATTTATACACATTAGCCAAACAAATCACTCTTCGTCACTAATTAACATACACATTAATCCCCCCCCGTTTGTGAGATGATCATGACTAATTGGAACAGGATAATCATCATGAGGGGATTATGATTATGAATGAGAGTTACGTTAAAGTGTAAATGTCCTTGTGCCAGGACACTGTCACTGCTTTGTGTAATATTAAATAATATATTGTGTGACATCATGTCTTTTGTGTTTCAATCTTCCAATAAAGTATGAGGTTCAGCCAGTTTATCTGCATTTTCCCGAGGCGAAGGGAGTTAACTGACTATAAAAGTCCAGTTTCCACCCTTGCAGAACTAGGCTGGAATTATGGAGTTATGTTTTGGCTGGACTAACAAGTCTATGGATTGTCCAGTCATAATCGTGTAACAAAATCGACATCTAGTTTGTAAACTGCCACGGCAGGATTTGCAAAGCATGTGTACCGCCAACTCGGCATCAACAGATATTTTCCAAATCAATCCAAATGTTTCTAATCAAGTTACTCATGTGATTTGATGCACTTGCGAATTAGGACCCGTTTTACCACAATATAGATTTTGATTATCGATCAGATCGTCTTGACTGGGTTCCACCATTTTGTTTCAAGCAAATGCAAGTGATACGAGAGGTTGCATCAGATTGGTCAATAGGAGGGACATAGAAGGGACTAACTCGTAATAGCCACTGGTGGAACTACGATTGAGCCTAGAAGTTCCAGGCTAGTTCGGCAAGGTTGGAAACTGGACTTTTATTGACAGTTAACTCCCTTGCCTTTGGAAGATGGTCTTATCTGTTGTGCAGTCAGTTGTTAGCTGCAGCCTGCACTGCAGTGGAGAAAACAACAATGAACATGCACCCTGCTAAAGCACTGAATACCTTTAAGCATTGTGTGGCTGAGACACAAGTCTTATTTGTTTAACTGTTATTTAATACTGCACTCAGATATATGATGGAGTGAGTGAGTGAGTATGGTTTTATGCCGCTTTTAGCAATATTCCAGCAATTTCACGGTGGGGAACACCAGTAATGGTCTTCACACATTGTACCCATGTCGGGAATTGAACCCGGGCCTTCAGCGTGATGAGGGAATGCTTAAACCACTAGGCTACCCGATATATGATGGAGTCTTGACCACACAAACCAGTGATTGTCCCACATCGCTGAGGTATGATGACACACAATCAAAGCAGTCACCGAGCCTGATCACCCAATCCATGAAGTCACGTCACACAAGAAAAGTTTGCAAGGGACAATTCTAATCTGCAGTCCCCATGGGTGGGATACAAGTAGCCATACAGAGCAACGTGTCATGGCGTCCATCATCCCATCATCATCTCACCTCCTCCTTGACAGCAGTGTAGCTGGCCTTCCTCTTGAACTGACCTCTGCCCCTTGACCTATCTCCAGTCACGCTCTACAGGAGCAAGGAAATAACACATCGTTATTTTTCAATGCAATGTATGTCTGTTCAGTTGCTTTCGTATAGGTCACCAAATGAGTTAGTCATAGTGTTGCTATATGTTTATTTATGGTAAACTTAATCTTCAATATTCTTTGGGGTACTACAAGAACACTTGCCTGTGTGTAACACAACTAGAATATATGCTTGTGGAAAGACAGCTAGAAACTTGCCTGTGTAACACAACTAGAATATATGCTTGTGGAAAGAGAGCTAGAAATTTGCCTGTGTAACATAACTAGAATATATGCTTGTGGAAAGACAGCTAGAAATTTGCCTGTGTAACACAACTAGAATATATGTTTGTGGAAAGACGGCTATAAACTTGTTGCCTGTGTAACACAACTAGAATATATGCTTGTGGAAAGACAGCTATAAACTTGTTGCCTGTGTAACACAACTTTAATACATGCTTGTGGAAAGACAGCTGGAAACTTGCCTGTGCGGAGCCTGACATGGAGAAATCGTACTGGCTGACATCCTCACTGAGGCTGCTGTCGGCCAGATACTGAGATGCCAGGTGGTATGAGGAGCCGTATGTGATGCTTGTGTCGTCTTCCTCATCAGCCCGCTTCTCCTTCACTTCATTACGGATGGACACAAACTTTTTCTTCCTTTCAAGTGGGTTCTACAAGAAAATAAAGAAAGTGAAGATTAATATTTGAGGAACGTGTATTCATCATGCAACTATATCTTATTAAGGAAAAGGAAGACTACTAATACTGACCTAGAACCTTTCCCTTTGAAACTTATCACAATGAATATCTTGTAATCTTGAATCAGTCTTAAAGCATCAATTTGATTAGGCTGACTTCCAGGCACAGTTGTTTGAAAGGTTTGTATGAAGAAAGTCTCTCTATTTCTATACAGGACATCAAAACATACAATTTCTTCTCTGAACACAATTTCTTTCTTTTACACCACACATTTTTATTTAAGACATCCCGCATATCCAATGATCTCTCTTTTTAAACCTTAGGCACCAACCTGCAGCTCCACGGTGAACTCATATGTCCTTTCCTTGTCGACGATGTTGTCCAGCAGGAACTGACCCTATGCAACAACAGCATCACAACGGTTACTGTCATACCTACTGGGGTAATGGTATTGTATGGAGTGGAGACAAATGCCATCTTTCTGGTGTAGTGGCCATAAAATTTCCAAGTCTCGTAATGGGATTCGAAACACAAACTTTCTGATACGAGGTTGAACGCCTTGTCCTCAAGACCAAAGAGGTCAAGGATGTCATCTGTGGGATGACTCCATGCCCTGCTACACAGGCAGCCACTGCACCAAGTTAGTGTGACATGTATGGTCACCCTCCCTGCGGGAGTTACATGAACTGTCCAAACTAAAGTTGTGGAACGACGTACAATCAAAAGAGAAAGTAGCTCTGAGTTTAAAGGAGGGAGGGAGGGAGAGAGAGAGAGAGAGAGAGTTACATACACTTCATACTAAAACACGTACACAAATATAAATAATAATATAAAAAAATAAATATATATAACATGCGACCAGGTATGGCCTATGAGACACTGTTTAAAGTTAAGTTAAGTCAGGAATTTCGTTGAATATTTACCCACCTTTGCTTCATCATCATTGAAGAGGAATCCCTTGAAGAACTTGACATCGGACTGTGTGCAGGAGATGACGGCTATGAGCAGGTTGTATGCTGCACAGTGATACAGGCGACGCTGTTCCACCAACGTGGTCTCACCTCGGACATCTTCACTCTTGGCTTCCTGGGAAGTTCTGCCACAACACAACACAGACTAAGGATGGCTCAACCAACACAGAGCCAAGAGGCTTGCAGCTCACATGCAAATCCAGAGATTGACAGTTTGAGCAACGATCCAAGCCAATGGAGTAAGATAATATACAATCAACCAAGTAATTGAGCCTCAACAACCAATACATGAGGGGTTTTGTTTGTTTGTTTGTTGTTTAACGATGCACATAGCAATATTCCAACTATATGACGGCGTTGTGACAATATTCGAGTCAGGACCAGACAATGCAGTGATTGACATCATAAGCTATTGGGATACAATGACATGCATCAACCAAGTCAGCGATCCTGACCACCCAATCACATGAGTTGCCTGTTATGGCAATGGGTAGCTGAGGACCTATTCTACCCCCCATCTTCACAGGTCCAATCCTGGAGGTTGCCTCTTACAATGAGCACATGCTGTTGGGAACCGATTCTAACCTGGAATTCCCATGGGAGCTGTTCACTAAGGACTGGTCACAATGTTACATATAAGGCGTGATCAGTTCAACATAGAATGACTAGCGCTCTATGCCCACAAACCTTGGTTTCTATAGCAACCTACTTGATAATCTTCTGTGTCAGCTCTTTGCCTGTTGTGGCATTGCCAGAGCAGAACTTGTCATTGATGGTGGAGTTCTTGGTGTTGATCTCATCCTTGGACATGCGTGAGTACAGGAGCTCCAGCAGCTGGAAGCAGCACTGCTTGCTGGTCAGCTGCGTCTCCATCTCCGCCACGGCCTGTGTGGTAGATACAGGCTTGAGTGTCAGATACAAGCTTGAGTGCTAGATAGAGGCTTGAATGTTAGATACAGGCTTGAGTGCTAGATACAGGCTTGAATGTTAGATACAGGCTTGAGTGCTAGATACAGGCTTGCATGTTAGATACAGGCTTGAGTGCTAGGTACAGGCTTCAGTGCTAGATATAGGCTTCAGTGTAAGATACAAGCTTCAGTGCTAGATACAGGATTCAGTGCTAGATACAGGCTTGAGTGCTAGATACAGGCTTGAGTGTCAGATACAGGCTTGAATGGTAGATACAGGCTTGAGTGCTAGATACAGGCTTCAGTGCTAGATATAGGCTTCAGTGTAAGATACAAGCTTCAGTGCTAGATATAGGCTTCAGTGCTAGTTACAAGCTTAAGTGCTAGATACAAGCTTGAGTGCTAGATACAAGCTTGAGTTCTAGATACAAGATTGAGTCCTAGATACAGGCTTGAGTGCTAGATACAAGCTTGAGTGCTAGATACAAGCTTGAGTGCTAGATACAGGCTTGAGTGTAAGATACAAGCTGCAATGCTAGATACAGGATTCAGTGCTAGATACAAGTTTGAGTGCTAGATACAAGTTTGAGTGCTAGATAAAACCTTGAGTGCTAGATACAAGCTTGAGTGCTAGATACAGGCTTGAGTACTAGATACAAGCTTGAGTGCTAGATACAAGCTTGAGTGCTAGATACAAGCTTGAGTGCTAGATACAGGCTTGAGTGTAAGATACAAGCTACAATGCTAGATACAGGATTCAGTGCCAGATACAGGATTCAGTGCTAGATACAAGCTTGAGGGCTAGATACAAGCTTGAGTGCTAGATACAAGTTTGAGTGCTAAATACAAGTTTGAGTGCTAGATACAAGCTTGAGTACTAGATACAGGCTTGAGTGCCAGATACAGGCTTGAGTGCTAGATACAGGCTTGGGTGCAAGATACAGGCTTGAGTGCTAGATACAAGTTTGAGTGCTAAATACAAGTTTGAGTACTAGATACAGGCTTGAGTGCCAGATACAGGCTTGACTACTAGATACAGGCTTGAGTGCCAGATACAGGCTTGAGTGCTAGATACAGGCTTGAGTTCAAGATACAGGCTTGAGTGCTAGATACATCAGTGTTTCTGGTTACATACAGATAGACAATAACAATAATACAAAAACATCGGTCCCTACAGCACTTTACACTGGCTGAATATCAAAACCTTGTTTTCTGAATATAAAACATGTAACAGACACTTTTATACCTTCTATTTTTACCCTTTTAAACTGTCTGAATTTTTGCAAACCCGAAGAAAGAAAAAAGTCACATCTGCTTTGATATTCCCACTATAGTACTTCATGTATGATTTTCTCAAACAAGTTGGTCTTACGACTGAAACAACTCAAGAGTACATTAGCCAATAACAACAAACCTTTGTATTCAATGCGGAATGGCTTTATCTCCACTGCATTTACGACTTCTCCAAGCTTACCTTGATCAACTTTGTCTCGACCACCTTCATGATCTCTCCAATGTGATCCAGGTAGAACTCGATAAAGGCAGTCTTCTGGCACAGCCGGAGCATCGGCAGACAAACACGCTCGATTGTAGCACGGCGTATCTCATTGGGGAAACTTCCTTCCTTCTGGAAGATCCTGAGTGGCACATCCAGGACCACCTTCTGCTTGTCTGCTGGTAACCTGCCACAACATGTCAGGGGAGATGTAGATTATGTGTTGAGCATGTTGCTACCACAGTCATCCAAGCAGTCCACACTACACATATAATCAGGTATTACCTGCAGAGATTCAACGAGGATTCCAAACTAACTGCTTATGGAAGGCAAAGTGGGAAAATATATCCTCCGTGATTGTACAGAAAAAGATTTTTTTATTATCACAGAACATATGTAACAGTGAAACCTAGGTCTTCAGAGAGGTGACCACGCTAAGCAGTGAGCACCATAATGACGAGTTTTCTCACCGTTTGATGAACCTGATAAGCGTGGCCTGTATCTCCTCCTCGTGTGCATGGCGACTCTCACGACAGAAGATGCTGATTATCAACTCCAGCAGCACTGGACTCCCAGACAGCTCCAGGCCAGCAAGGAGCTGAAACATTACAATCATGGGGTCAGCAGCACCAGACTCCCAGACAAGAGGCTGAAACATTACAATCATGGGATCAGCAGCACCAGACTCCCAGACAAGAGGCTGAAACATTACAATCATGGGATCAGCAGCACCCAACTCCCGGACAAGAAGCGGAAACATTACAATCATGGGATCAGCAGCACCAGGCTCCCGGACAAGAGGCTAAAACATAACAATCATGGGATCAGAAGCACCAGACTTCCAGACAAGAGGCTGAAACATTACAATCATGGGGTCAGCAGCACCAGACTCCCAGACAAGAAGTTGAAACGCTGGTCATGGGGTCATCAGTGCCAGACCCAGACAAGAAATTGAAACATTAGAATCATGGGATCAGCAGCACCAGATTCCCAGACAAGAGGCTGAAACATTACAATCATGGGATCAGCAGCACCAGACTCCCGGACAAGAGGCTGAAACATTACAATCATAGGATCAGCAGCACCAGGCTCCCGGACAAGAGGCTGAAACAGTACAATTATGGGATCAGCAGCACCAGACTCCCGGACAAGAGGCTGAAACATTACACTCATGGGATCAGCAGCACCAGACTCCCAGACAAGAAGCTGAAACATTACAATCATGGGATCAGCAGCACCAGACTTCCAGACAAGAGGCTGAAACATTACACTCATGGGATCAGCAGCCCCAGACTCCCAGACAAGAAGTTGCAACACTGGTCATGGGATCAGCAGCACCAGACTCCCAGACAAGAAGCTGAAACATTACAATCATGGGATCAGCAGCACCAGACTTCCAGACAAGATGCTGAAACATTACACTCATGGAATCAGCAGCACCAGACTCCCGGACAAGAGGCTGAAACATTACACTCATGGGATCAGCAGCCCCAGACTCCCGGACAAGAGGCTGAAACATTACACTCATGGGATCAGCAGCACCAGACTCCCAGACAAGAACTGAAACATTACAATCATGGGATCAGCAGCACCAGACTTCCAGACAAGAGGCTGAAACATTACACTCATGGGATCAGCAGCCCCAGACTCCCAGACAAGAAGTTGCAACACTGGTCATGGGATCAGCAGCACCAGACTCCCAGACAAGAAGCTGAAACATTACAATCATGGGATCAGCAGCGCCAGACTCCCAGACAAGAGGCTGAAACATTACAATCATGGGATCAGCAGCACCAGATTCCCGGACAAGAGGCGAAAACATTACAATCATGGGATCAGCAGCACCAGACTCCCAGACAAGAGGCGGAAACATTACAATCTTGGATCAGCAGCACCAGACTCCCAGACAAGAGGCTGAAACATTACAATCATGGATCAGCAGCACCAGACTCCCAGACAAGAAGTTGAAACATTACAATCATGGGATCAGCAGCACCAGACTCCCAGACAAGAAGTTGAAACATTACTGTCCTGTCGGGTTTTGAAATTATTTCAAACACTGACAAGGAGACACAAGTGGACAATGCGACTTGAGAGCATAGCCTCTCCATAACATGTTTAACCATAACGCTACTCCACGCCTTGGTCAAGTCCAATACTGAATTAGTGCTTTTGCATTAAGAGCACTCAACACATCACACATACAACATGCAAAGTTGCTCCTGTTTAACTCTCTTACCTTGTCTATGGATGCAATGTAGTCATTGTATTTTGGACTTCCCTTTACAAACTCGGCACTCTTCAGTGGGAAATGGTCAGCCACAAATCTATCCAGGCTGCGCCTGAAAAGGTTCATAACTTCATGAAATACTCGAATTTGCTTGGACAATCAATAAAATTAGACATAATCTATTTGGATTGGAAATGTGTCTGATTTTATGACCACTTCACTGTGCACTTATACAAATCACTTGTCGTCCAATCAGACGATTTTGGGATAGAGTTTATCCCGACCCACTCGGAATCCACAGGGCTAACAAAATAAGGGTCAGGCAAAACCCTGCATTTCGGCCACTCACTCATACTAACTATAGGCTTGCCCCGTTGCATCATTAAAAAAATACATGTCCAAACTGAACCACCAGAATCCTGCTTTCTACCAGCTTCCCTGCAAAACGGTCACTGCTGGTGATCCATGTTGGTGCACTCTGGTGCACTCATAGGTTGTACGACCAGCATAGGTTGCTATTTGGTAGCCTCGTACGACCAGCATAGGATGCCATTGGTAGCCTCATACGACCAGCATAGGTTGCCATTGGTAGCCTCATACGACCAGCATAGGTTGCCATTTGGTAGCCTCATACGACCAGAATAGGTTGCCATTGGTAGCCTCGTACAACCAGCATAGGTTGCTATTTGGTAGCCTCGTACGACCAGCATAGGTTGCCATTGGTAGCCTCGTACAACCAGCATAGGTTGCCATTTGGTAGCCTCGTACGACCAGCATAGGTTGCCATTGGTAGCCTCGTACAACCAGCATAGGTTGCTATTTGGTAGCCTCGTACGACTAGCATAGGTTACTATTTGGTAGCCTCGTACAACCAGCATAGGTTGCCATTTGGTAGCCTCGTACGACCAGCATAGGTTGCCATTGGTAGCCTCGTACGACCAGCATAGGTTGCCATTTGGTAGCCTCGTACGACCAGCATAGGTTGCCATTTGGTAGCCTTGTACGACCAGCATAGGTTGCCATTTGGTAGCCTCGTAAACCAGCATAGGTTGCCATTGGTAGCCTCGTACGACCTGCATAGGTTGCCATTTGGTAGCCTCGTACGACCAGCATAGGTTGCCATTGGTAGCCTCGTACGACCAGCATAGGTTGAGCACACTGATTTTGTATCTGATCTGAACCACACTTACTTTAGGTTAGATATGTGGGGTTCACCAACAACAGAGAAGAACGGAAGCAGGTCCAACACACGATTCTGAAAACAAACAATATCTTCTGATGTAAACCGCACATATGTCTGTAGGGCCATAATACATTCCTTATTGCCTGACTGAGTGTTTTTAGTCATACTTAGGTACTTCATCATATCAAAATCCCAAAACTTGCAAGTGTAAGGAAGACATAATGGCTGCTTGACAGTCATAGGAACATATCTGACAATTTTAATAACAATATTTCAAAGCTTTCCATAAACTTTAAAATTGGACATCTACATTTATAACATACCGTCCTTGCACACCATTACCTTAAAGGCCAGATTAGTCCTGCTGTCTGTCAACATTGTCTGGTACATCTCAAACAAGGTGGTGTACGCAGGGTGTGATGTATCGGAGGCCAGCTGAAACATATTAAGGTGGGAATAGGCACCATATAAAGGTTGGAATAGGCACCTTGACTCTTTGTCTATTTTCAGGAAAGGATGACCCCTAGAAGATAGTTATTGCTGGAGTGAGCAAAAACATTAATCAGTAGGCGGACAGGAAATTTAATATCTTTTGGTGGCCAGGAAGTTTTAAATGCTACCACAGTCAGTCACCTAGACAAACATTTAGTCTATGAAATCAATAAAACACATGGAAGGTTTACTGATACTGATGGTCAGTCAGTGGCAGCAAAGGAAATGCATGTACCATACTTGTGGCTCATCTGAGCAGGAAGTCTAATAGGGGTAACCTCCCTTTGTTGTGTATCCATGAACAGGACAGCTGCCTCATTTAAAGACGTTTTTGTGTGATGTGACAGTTTCTTGCTGTGCCTATTTAAGAGTGAGACAAGGGCAACGTGAGGCCTCTTACAACCTGATCGGCATCTTTTCCATTTGCCAAGTGCAGACAAATATCTCACACAAATATAATGGAATGGAAGAAATACAATTTCCCTTTACGTCTTCAACATTAGTTATATCTTAACATCAGTAGGTATATGATACAGCCAAGCTATATCCACTCGCCTCTGTACAGTTACAGATAACCAGCTTGGTTTCTTGGCTGAACTTATGCTTTTCACTCTGTCAGATATCCTAAAAAGTTCACAAGTTTGTGAGTGAGTGAGTGAGTGAGTGAGTGAGTGAGTGAGTGAGTGAGTGAATGAGTGAGTGAGTGAGTGAGTGTGAGTATGGTTTTACGCCGCTTTTAGCAATATTCCAGCAATATCACGGCAGGGGACACCAGAAATGGGCTTCACACATTGTACCTATTTCGGGAATCGAACCCGGGTCTTCGGGGTGACGAGCGAACGCTTTAACCACTAGGCTACCCGACCACCCCCACAAGTTTAGAAATGTTATCTAGTCAGAATGAGTGTAGTATTCTGCATTTGAGCACTGAGCCCTGGCACTAAACCATGCAACATGTACACACTCACCTTACTGTCCACCTGCAGCATCTTGGTCAGAAGCAGGATGACCAACTCCTGTTGGTCAGCTGTGGCCTTGTTGAACACCCATGACCGGAAAAACTCCCACTGCATCAGGATGGCAGACAGCACCCGCTCACCCTCCCTGGAAGACAGAGGTACCACTCTAGACCTTGATCTGACACCTTGAAAGGGGATAGGTTTCATATCCACATTGGGGGCACGGGTGTCCCAATCGTCTTAGGCACCTCAAATCGCTACCCAGAGTTGCCTCCCTTGAGCTTGCCAGAAACCTATGATCATTGGTATGATTCCTGGTTCGCCCTAATCATGTTTCCAGGTTTGTTCATACCATTCCCATGCACATAGGTTTCACCAAAGTGGTAAATGTCTGAGACCTGCATCACTTCTGGCTTTCCTCCCACATTCCCACATTAAGCTGACATGCTGTGATATACAAAAATGTCCTTGGAAAGACAACGGATAAAATTCCTTTGTACAACTATTTAACCCTGCCCTTGAAGATATAATAATATCCTTCCTCCCTACACAAACTGGCCTTAACAAAAGAAGGCCTACTTTTTGCGGAGTGCCCTGTCCTTGACCACATGATCCACCATGCTGACCAGCAGACTGCTCACTCGGCGAGGATCGTTTGCCGCTTGCTTGGCCAGGAGAACCAGTATCTGGTCCGATCTCTCAGCTAGGTGGGCACTGATGGGGGATTTGAACATCGTGAAGAACAGGTCCCCGTGACTCTGCTCCAAACCTTGGCTAAGTCCCAGAACAAACTTGCTTTCCAGAAGAGAATCTACCAGACTGTCATCCTGCAGGACGTCAATTTGGTGATTATTTCCACGTAATATAATATACATATAGAGATAAAAATAAAAATTTAGAGTAAAATAATCCTTTGTATTGAGCTCTTTAAAATGCATTAAAACATGAAACAAACTGAGTAATGATTTGGACGAGGTGAAGGAGAGATCTAGCCAGGGAGAGGACGAGGTGAAGGAGAGATCTGGCCAGCAGAAGGCGTTATACTTACCGGCAAACCCAGCTGGAAGGCCAGGTGAAGGAGAGATCTAGCCAGGGAGACGGCTGTCGGTGTCAGGTTGACAGATGAGTTATGGCTGCCTGTCTTCTGTATGACTCCCTACACAGGTAAACAAAACGGGACAACGGATAACAAAGAGAACTTTGTGTCATCTACTTGATGATTAACATGTGTTATGTAATATTATGTCCAGGAGAACTAATACCTTGCCCAGGCAAAAAACATATGAGTATATTCACCTCGTACACATTTTGCATGACCTTCTTGGCCAGCTTGCTGGCATCTCCACCGTGTTTGATTGCCTCCATCAGCAGGCCGTGTTTGTGCAGCTGCGTGTACCCAGCCACCAACTGCTGGACACCCGTGTGGTCAACACCAGCGTCGGTGAACGACAGTGGCAACAACCCCACCACGTCTCTGCAACAACATACTTTATACTTTTAGTCCACAAATATAGGGGTGTCTAATAGGGCCTCACAAAGGCCAATGCTGTTCCTTAGATACCATTTCTTCATACTAAGAGTACACATGTCATCAGTTACTAACTTGGGGGAAGGAGGAGGGGGGGGGGGGGGGGGGAGAGGGGGGAGGGGGAGGCATGGGTAGCATGGGTAGCTCAGCAGAGTGTAATCCCTTGGGAATGGTCACTGTGCAGGATTCATGAATTATGTCACGTATGCGTTCCAGAAACAAATCATCATGAGCTCAGTGCTGTTTCACCTGGTTAAGTTTTTGTTTTTTTCAGCACCATTCCCATGCTTGTGGGTTTCACTAAGTGGTTAATATCAAAACACTTCATCACTTTCCTCCCACATTGCGCTGACACACTTATCACCATGATAGCTCACCTGATGTACATAGTCAGACTTTCCTCCTACACTGCGCTGACACATTTATCAGCATGATAGCTCACCTGATGTACATAGTCAGACTTACCTCCTACACTGCACTGACACACTTATCAGCATGATAGCTCACCTGATGTACATTGTCAGACTTTCCTCCCACATTGCGCTGACACACTTATCAGCATGATAGCTCACCTGATGTACATTGTTAGACTTTCCTCCCACATTGCACTGACACACTTATCAGCATGATAGCTCACCTGATGTACATTGTCAGACTTTCCTCCTACACTGCGCTGACACATTTATCAGCATGATAGCTCACCTGATGTACATAGTCAGACTTACCTCCTACACTGCACTGACACACTTATCAGCATGATAGCTCACCTGATGTACATTGTCAGACTTTCCTCCCACATTGCGCTGACACACTTATCAGCATGATAGCTCACCTGATGTACATTGTTAGACTTTCCTCCCACATTGCACTGACACACTTATCAGCATGATAGCTCACCTGATGTACATTGTCAGACTTTCCTCCTACACTGCGCTGACACATTTATCAGCATGATAGCTCACCTGATGTACATAGTCAGACTTACCTCCTACACTGCACTGACACACTTATCAGCATGATAGCTCACCTGATGTACATTGTCAGACTTTCCTCCCACATTGCGCTGACACACTTATCAGCATGATAGCTCACCTGATGTACATTGTTAGACTTTCCTCCCACATTGCACTGACACACTTATCAGCATGATAGCTCACCTGATGTACATTGTCAGACTTTCCTCCTACACTGCGCTGACACATTTATCAGCATGATAGCTCACCTGATGTACATTGCCAGACTTTCCTCCTACACTGTGCTGACACACTTATCAGCATGATTGCTCACCTGATGTACATTGTCAGACTTTCCTCCTACACTGCGCTGACACATTTATCAGCATGATAGCTCACCTGATGTACATTGCCAGACTTTCCTCCCACACTGTGCTGACACATTTATCAGCATGATTGCTCACCTGATGTACATTGTCAGACTTTCCTCCCACACTGCGCTGACACACTTATCAGCATGATAGCTCACCTGATGTACATTGTCAGACTTTCCAGCTAATCAAGCAAATAATAGCATTGAGGCAATTGTAAATGAATATGAAACTTGCTTTCATAAACTTTCATAAAAAAATCACACCTTCAACTAACCTGTGCCATTAATAACTATGCCATGCAATTAAACTTATCGCAACTTATGCTTACTCTGAAAATTGCCGATTACATACATACAGCAGTATTAAACATTTGATTGTGTAGTGACTATTATGACATGAAAATCTGAAAGACCACCAACCTGTCTCCCTTGAGCTGTTCCTTGAGTGTTAGGTTGAGTTGTTTCAGGTGGCTGGGAGGGAGGAATTGCTTGAATACTACAAGAAGCTGCTCCATCTGCAAATTGAATTACATGACACATAATTACCTGTTCATCAAATTTTATGATTCAGTTTATGAGTGAGTGAGTGAGTATGGTTTTACGCCACTTTTAGCAATATTCCAGCAATATCACGGCGGGGGACACCAGAAATGGGCTTCATACATTGTACCCATGTCAAGAATCGAACCCTGGTCTTCGGCGTGACAAGCGAACGCTTTAACCACTAGGCTACCCGACCGCCCCGATTCAGTTTATGAGCTGGCTAAAATAGTTCATCATTATTCTTTTCTGACATGGCATCAAATTTCCTTGCTTTATCAGTGTGTTATGAGCATGCCACATCCCCACAACACATCAACTGACAGTGAGTGAGTGAGTGAGTGAGTGAGTGAGTGAGTGAGTGAGTGAGTGAGTGAGTGAGTGAGTGAGTGAGTGAGTGAGTGAGTGAGTGAGTGAGTGAGTGAGTGAGTGAGTGAGTGAGTGAGTGAGTGAGTGAGTGAGTGAGTGGTTTTACGCCGCTTTTAGCAATATTCCAGCAATATCACGGCGGGGGACACCAGAAATGGGCTTCACACATTGTACCCTTGTCAGGAAGTGAGTGAGTGAGTGAGTGAGTGAGTGAGTGAGTGAGTGAGTGAGTGAGTGAGTGAGTGAGTGAGTGAGTGAGTGAGTGAGTGAGTGAGTGAGTGGTTTTACGCCGCTTTTAGCAATATTCCAGCAATATCACGGTGTCAGGAATCAAACCCGGGTCTTCGGTGAGTTGAGCGAACACTATAACCACTAGGTTACCCGACCGCCCCACTGACAGAATGATACATGAATATAAATAACTGAGTCCCCATGTCTCACCTATTGCTAATTGACATGTGTGTCACTATTGTGAGTTTATGCAACATTACACACTTGGGGCAGCACACAAACAAATACAAATTAGAAATCACCTCACACAGCAATTAACATGTTTAAGAATAAAAAAAATATAAATGAATTGGTTCTCAGGCAAAGGCTTTGGAAAATATAGCGAGGCGGGCAGCCTTTTTTGGGTGGGGGAATTGTTCAAACTGGTATGTAACCAATCAAACAGTTGTGTACAATCAACATGGGAAAGGACCTCCCTACATAAATGTAATCCTTGATGAGTAAAATACTGAGTATTTGACTACTGTTGGGACTACCAGTGTGTGCATAATACACACATACAATGAGCTTCGATCTTATTTCACATGCAAAGACATTATCGTGAGCACACAACACCATAAGTAGCATGTCTACAAGTCCATACTAAAGTACACAAGTTAGTCCTGTTATTACACTATCTGGCTATAAAAGTGTTCATTCTGTAGCCGGACTTACATGTGTAATCCATTATATTACTTCATTCAATTTTGTTTACATTAATTTCGGCGTAATCATGTCTGAACTGATTGGTAAATCACATCAACTCACCATGAACCCGCTTTGAAATGAACATTAGTCGTTAGAGATACAAAGTCTTCAGTCTTCCTATCACTTTATTGAAATTTCTTTTCAGTTATGATATTTGCCATGACATTAATCAGCCATAGATCGGGGAGAAAATTGTAACTGCTGATCGCTATTTCCGGCATATTTTATGAGATGAATACACATGTAATCTTAATCTCCCCGTATGAAAATTGTCTGAAATACAGTACACAAATACCATTGAATTAGTAAATCATCGTGTTTATTGATGTTTTATCATAAATGTCATGTTTTCATTGACCAAATTTGCAAATGGCAAAACAAACGCAAAACAAAACAAAACTCTTATTGCCGCCACGACCATATAAGGATATGTGCAGTAAAGCAGTGCCCATGTAAAGGGAAGAAACTGCACGTTATATTGGATCGCATTGTTTTAAAGTATTGTAGCATTTCACTGCCAGGGTCGTGTGTCCAAGATGCAGAATTATAAAGATTTATTTTTTTAGATGGAAATAAAAACGAAACATGCGGCAGACTTTGTCATGATGGAGTGGTGCCTGGAGAACCAAGACTATTTTTTTGTAAGACTAGGCAGAAATATTTTTTTCAAAATGTCGACTCACTGGTTTAAAAATACCTGATAGACTGAAACCAAGGGAGTAAAAAGATATTGAATACGCAAAGAAAACAATAAATACCCAATGCATGTAATCATATCCGAATTCTACATGCCTTTCTAGAGATTCCAGTTCAGGAAACATCAATGCCAAGTGTCAGTCTTATTGGTTAAGTTGTGTTCAGAGATGACTCAATAGATAAACCTCAGTAATGTTCACTTGAGCTTAAAGCCTTAAATTTGAAATCATGATACAGGCAAATGTCGCCTGCCATATCTGGAATAATTGTGAACAGGCAGATTTCTGTGACCTTACCTCTTTTGGGAGTTTCTCCATGATTTCAATATCTCCCATATTGAAGCCAACAGAGCTGGGTTGTACCACACATCTACACAGCAGCTCCCACAGAGACTGGTTCAGCACTGACTCAGGGATTACCTGGAGTATATATAACAATGTCAACAGAGCTGGGTTGTACCACACATCTATCTACACAGCACTGACTCAGGGATCACCTGGAGTATATACAACAATGTCAACATAGCTGGGTTGTACCACACATCTACACAGCACTGACTCAGGGATTACCTGGAGTATATACAACATTGTCAACATAGCTGGGTTGTACCACACATCTACACAGCACTGACTCAGGGATTACCTGGAGTATATATAACAATGTCAACATAGCTGGGTTGTACCACACATCTACACAGCAGCTCCCACAGAGACTGGTTCAGCACTGACTCAGGGATTACCTGGAGTATATACAACAATGTCAACAGAGCTGGGTTGTACCACACATCTATCTACACAGCAGCTCCCAGACACTGGTACAACAATGCTAACAAAGCATCATTGATGAATAAAAGTATCTTTAATCACTGTGAGTTTTGTTATCCAGTACCTTAGCAGCAACCTTGGCATGGGATCCATACATGACCATCAGCAAGTTCAACACTCGGACCATCACTGTACACTTTGCCCTGGCAAGCAGAAAGGACAAAATTACTGAACCCATCAAAGTGAAACTACAGGCTCCTCACAACTTAAACATTCCTTGCTCATCACACTCACAATCGACCCGTGAAGATTCCGGGGTAGAATAGGTCTTCAGCAACCCATGCTTGCCGTAAAACGCGACTATGCTTGTCGTAAAAGGTCACTAACGGGATTGGGTTGTCAGGCTCGCTGACTTGGTTGATGCATGTTATTGATCCCAAATGCGTGGATCGATGCTCATGCTGTCAATCACTGGATTGTCTGGTCCAGACTCGATTATTTACAGACTGCCGTCATACAGCTGGAATATTGCTGAGTGCGGCTATTAAACAACAAACAAACAAACAAACAAACACACTCACAATCATGTGACCGGGAGAAGGTCTTCACAATACACTTGCTAAAATAAATGACTTACAACTTGATTAATCGACTCCCAGCATGTTTGTCAGTCAAATATCTTGAAATGTGTTGCAATTTGCGTTTCAAGTTCATTACTAAAAATAGCCGCTACGAACATGTGTCTAAAGTTAGCTGTTCCTATTGAATCTGCTCTGAAGCAATTATAGTCAAGAAGTTCCACACAATTTGACGTAAATATGCATATCGCAAAACATATCGTATCGTGATACGTTTCGTATCAAGACCTTGCTGTATCGTTTCACCCATACTCACTCACTCACTCACTCATATTTGTGAATAGTTATGCTATTTATGCTACAATTCCTTCCCTTGACAGAGATGCATGTCCAGTACCTGTTGTAGTCGTCTGTTTCCCGGGGGGTGAAGAAGTCGGCTGTCGACTGATGTGTGAACAGTTGTGAGGCACCCTGGATGTCCACCAGGGCCAGCTTCTCACAGAAGTACTGGATACTTGAGAAAACTTGACCCCGGGACTTGCCTGAACCACACACAATGGAGAAATAATGAAACAACATGAAGGAAAGACAAACTATCATCTACATTACGATGTAGGTATTTAGAACACTGATACCTGTGGTCTTTTTGATAACAATTTGAATTAGTCATTGTAGTTGAAGAAATAACCAGAGTGAGTGAGTGACAATAATACTACGTACTCTGAGTTGACATCCTCAAATTAGGCAATTAGGTGAGTGAGTGAGTGAGTTGTGTTTAACGCCGCTTTTAACATTATTACAGTTATATCATGGCGTGTCAGCTTAATGTGGGAGGAAAGCCCGAAGTGATGCAGGTCTTAGACGTTTACCACTTCAGTGAAACCCACAAGCACGGGTATGGTGCTGACAAACCTAGAAACATAATCGGGGCGAACCGAGTTTCGAACCCACAATCATAGGTTTGGCTTGCCCAAGGGACGCAACTCTGCACAGCGAATCGCACCGCCTTAGACGACTGTGCCCCCCTAGGCAATTAGGAATAAGTGGAGAAAATTGGGATCTAAGTCACTGATTTAAAGACAATTGTCATGATTGACTTCAAGGTTTTGATGGAGAAATATATATCATTTTTTACATTTGATTTTACAAGTCCTCCACATCTGTAAACCTTCCCATCACAAGCTAAAACAAATGATTATCAAAAGATTATTAATTGGTTCTGTATGTGACAAGATTCAAAATGTTTTCAGGTTCCTAAATTACACAATAGCCTACTTTTTAGCTTCAGATGGGATTCTATAAGTGTTTACAAATATGTTAGATAAAGACACAATGTTCATCACCAGACCTCCAAACAACTCTTCAGGAGTGAGGAAGCCCTGGCCGAACACCCAGGTGTAGCAGTCCAGTGCAGCCAGCAGCATGTCGAACCAGCTGACAGCCGCTGTGAGAGAGAATGTGTCCGCAATGTCCTCCATCCGGGGGCAGCTCGACAGCCCCATCTTGCCATACTCCGCCTGATTGCCTCCCTCAAACCTGCATCAACACAGGGTTACACTAGTACAACAGTCTGCCCCAATCTTGCCATACTCCACCTGATTGACTCCCTCAAACCTGCATCAACACAGGGTTACACTGTTGTACAACAGTCTGCCCCAATCTTGCCATACTCCACTCTACTACCTCCTCAAACCTGCAGGCTGAAACTACATTAAACATTTATCACTCATACCTTGCTGAATAAAGATTCTCACCTCACTCATCACATTCCCAGGTGATCAATACTACACCTCAATCATACGACATCTCTCTGCCACTGACGGGATGAGACTAACCTGGACAGGAAATAGAGCGGCCCTTCCTTGGACTTGAGAAAGGTCTGGAAATATGTCCTGGCAGCCTTGATACCTGCATATACACATCCAGTTACAAAGTTGTCATGTTACCAGTGCATTAACAAATGTTACTGCATGATTAGACATGAATATACCATGATAGACACACAAGACCAACACCACAATGTTCATATACGATGTTGAAAATGGTTAACAGTACCTCACAAATATGCTTATTTTCAAAACAAACTGTGGACATGCAAAGACCTCATTTTTTGTAAAATCAAGGACACTCTGAAATAGCAAACCAGTTGAAAATGGTAGGTTTGTGCTCTTGTCAGCTCGACGGATTCTCACGTATGTCTTCCATTTATACTTGGATTTGTTTGGTTATTGTTTGGTTATTGTTTGTTCTTTAACGCTGTACTCAGTTTGCAAATAATTGAGTCTGGACCAGACAAACCAGTGACCGACATCATGAGCATTGATCTAAATAATTGGGATATGATGACATGTGTCAACCAAGTCAGTGAGTCTGACCACCTGATTCCATTTGTCGCCTCTCACGACAAGCATTTGTTGCTGAAGACCAGTTCTAACGCGGACCTTCACAGGTATTAAAACTATACAGCTTATGGTATCTGGAACATAAGAATTGTTATGCAACAATACTACTATGAATCTTGACACTATAAATCACATATTTGGTGAATTTATCTCTTGTTGCTCCTGACCTGGAATCAGTGGTGCCAGACTGACCACAAGCTTCATGCAGGAGTGTCGGCAGTCTGTCTGCGGACGTCCACACTGCCTGGTCAACCAGCGCACAGCAATGTCCAGAGTCTTCTTGCTCCATTCTCTGACAGGAACCCGATATTGACAACAAATCAGCATCAACATCCTAAATGCATCCTCAACAATTCATATCCTTCAACAGTGCCTATAGTTCAACAGTCCCTACACAGCAACAGTCCCTACACAGCAACAGTCCCTACACATCAACAGTCCCTATAGTTCAACAGTCCCTACACACCAACAGTCCCTATAGTTCAACAGTCCCTACACACCAACAGTCCCTATAGTTCAACAGTCCCTACACACCAACAGACCCTATAGTTAAACAGTCCCTACACAGCAACAGTACCTTTAGTGCAGCAGTCCATATAGTTCAACAGTCCCTATAGTTCAACAGACCCTACACACCAACAGTCCCTATAGTTCAACAGTCCCTACACATCAACAGTCCATAAAGTTCAACAGTCCCTATAGTTCAACAGTCCCTACACATCAAAAGTCCGTATAGTTCAACAATCCCTACACACCAACAGACCCTATAGTTCAACAGTCCCTACACATCAACAGTCCATATAGTTCAACAGTCCCTACACACCAACAGTCCCTATAGTTCAACAGTCCCTACACATCAACAGTCCCTACACAGCAACAGTCCCTATAGTTAAACAGTCCCTACACATCAACAGTCCATATAGTTCAACAGTCCCTACACACCAACAGTCCCTATAGTTCAACAGTCCCTACACAGCAACAGTCCCTATAGTTCAACAGTCCCTACACATCAACAGTCCCTACACAGCAACAGTCCCTATAGTTCAACAGTCCCTACACATCAACAGTCCGTATAGTTCAACAATCCCTACACAGCAACAGTCCCTATAGTTCAACAGTCCCTACACAGCAACAGTCCCTATAGTTCAACAGTCCCTACACAGCAACAGTCCCTATAGTTCAACAGTCCCTACACATCAACAGTCCCTACACAGCAACAGTCCCTATAGTTCAACAGTCCCTACACATCAACAGTCCCTATAGTTCAACAGTCCCTATAGTTCAACAGTCCCTATAGTTCATTAGTTCCTTCAGTTCATGGGTTCCTATACTTCAATGGTCTCCATACTTTAACAGTCATGAAGCTACAGATAGGTAAGAGGCAGTGGTAGATGTTGGTTCACATATCAGGAAGATAGATCATGTCATACCTTGGTTCTTCTCTTAGTTTGCTCTCTTTCTTCAGCATGTCAGCACGACCTTTGATGATCTTCTCCAGATGTTCCAAAGCTTTAGTGCATTGTTCCCTTGTACCTTCATCAAGCATCACTTTCACAATAAATTATTTCAACACCAGGCAATGATTAACTTGTCATAAACTAAATGTACATTTTTCTAAACTCAAGGGATACTTCCTGTTTGTTGTTTAACAACGCACTCAGCACTATTCCAGCTATATGACTGGAATCGATCTACACAATTGGGATATGGTGACATGCATCAACCAAGTCAGCGAACCTCACCACTTGATCCTGCTTGTTGCCTCTTACCATAGTTACCACAACCATGGGTTGCTGAAGATCAATTCTAACACAGATATTCACGGATCGGATAATTCATGAAAAACTTTGGAAAAAAATCAAAGTATATTATAATACCACTCCTTCATCTGAACAAATATTGCAAGTTTTTTCAGTACTAAAATGAATCTCAGACACAAGGCTCATGATAATAATAACAAGGAGGTTTTTCAAAAATTCTCATTTTGATCAAGTTTGACAACTTGCATTTGCATATTTCTCGAAACAAAACTGTTTAAAGTTTCTTTACAACAAAATTGAAAACTGAAGAAAACGACAACAAAACAACAATGAAATTATTGAAAGTCTGTGACTGATCCTCACCAAGAGACTTCTGGTCTGAGTGGGCAATACTGAGACTCTCCACGAAGTGCACCAGGATCTGGAAGGTAAACCTGTCCACCAAGGCATCCTCCTCTCTGTGGGACAAAGGAAGCTGCTGGTAATGTCGGCAGTCACAACACACCACTACATCACCAAACGTCAAAGTTCATTCTCTTCAAATAAGTTGGAAGAAGTTATTTTGGCTTTGGTGCTGTCCATGACAGGAGAATACCCAGAGTGAAAACTTTCATTTTTGTCTTGAGGACAAATAAAGGCTATCTGAAACCTCACAGACATTTCTAAAAGCTCAAAAAAAGCTAGACACCTAATTGTTGGTGATGATTTTTAACACCACTATATTCCTTTGAACCACCTACCTAAACACTGCATAGAAGTTATTGAAGGCGAGTGCAGCTCCGAGTCTCTTAAAGGCACTTGGATGGACGGCAAAACTGAACATACGTTTCAACACTGACTTGGCGTTTACAGCGCTCTTCTCCATGGTCTAAAGAAAAAAATGCCACATATTTTACATTGAAAAGGAACATGTAAAACTGATATCCATTATCTGCCATACAATATAATCAGCCAAACCACTCCAATAGTCATCGGCCCAACATGTACAGTTGTCATACAATCAATACAAGTGATTCCTTTCAGAATTTGAGATACCATACTGTTTACTTTTTATTTAATGCCACAGTAAGCAATACTCCAGTCACATCTCATTGGCCTGTGAACATTGTGAATACCTGAGTCTGGACAAGACAAACCAGTGATTGATATCACGAGCTTGTCCTTTGAAGAATCTATGTGAGTGAAGTTGATGTGGACTGAATGTCTCACCAAGGTACCAACCTTCTTGCTGGTTTGTTTGATGGACCACTTCAGGAACTCGCGCAGACACCGGGCACTGAAGTCTCGGAGCCCTGTGTCCGTCGCCTGAATGATGCCATCCTAATAAAGATGACACAGACATGAATTTATTCATCATTTAAAAGACAAGTTTACAGGAAAGTCAACAAACCTCAAATTCAGCGTCCTGTTTCTATGGACACTACAACTGTGGCAACTGAACAATGTTTAATAGGGTGTGATCATAACAGCTAACGTGCGCCAAAGATTTTCAAGTCTGCTATCTAGCCCAAACTTAGCATCTTCTTGTCAGGACATTTTGTTACTATATGGGATATTATTAGCTGAGCTTACTAGATTTTTTATTCAGGCTCGTGGCTAAAGTCATCTACTGACATACAGGCTGTCCCTGAGTTTGTTTGTTGTTCAGCGCTGCATTCAGCAATATTCTAGCTATATGACAACAGTCTGTAAATATTTCTTCCCTTAATATTAGGATGGTTTTTTTTGTTATTTGTTGTTTAATGCCGTACTCAGTCTCTAAAATAATTGATTCTGGATCAGACAACCCAGTGATTGACATCATGAGCACCAATCTTCACAATTGGGATATGATAACATACAGCCTGACCATCCGATTCCAATTTTCGCCTTCTACTACAAGCATGGGTTGCTCAAGACCACGACCATTTGTAACCGGGATATTCACAGGGGCGTCCCACATAAGCTGTTTCATGTTTCATGTTGTTTAACGCCACACTCATCAATATTCCAGCTATATGACGGCGGTCTGTAAATAATTGAGTCTGGAACAGACAATCCAGTGATTGATATCATGAGCATCGATCCACGCAATTGGGATACGATGACAAGCATCAACCAAGACGTCGTCTTTTACAGCACGCATGGGTCACTAAAGACCATTTGAACCCCGGATCTTCCCGGGGGCATCCCACTTTAGCTACTGTAGACTTACATAGATGGTGTCCAGCAGCGCCATGGTCTCCACACTCTCTGACATCTTGTTGTTGGTGAACCAGTGGATGAGCTGCATGGTCAGAGGTTCAAACAGCTGTCTGGCCACCTGGTGGAGATACACACAGATAGGCCGGATCGTGATCAAACCTCAAAAGTTGACATTTCATTTCAATGACAACCAAATAACATCAACAACCACAAATATAGATTTAGTTGAAGTGATAATTACTGCCATTTTCAGTCTAAGTCAAAGTTTACCACTTGGCTGATGTGCCAAGCTTGGTGAAGAAAAATTGTAGGGTCTTCAAGATCTGCTCCGGAAAGAAGCACTTGTGCCATTTCAGTCTAAGTCAAAGTCGATGCCATGGAAACTCAAAAAATAATTTTTTTAAAAATCCCAAACTATCAAAAGGCACAAGGTCACCAAGTTTGGTTAAGATATCTCTAATGGTTTTTGAGTTCTGCTGAGGAAAGGAAACGTGACGGAAGGATGGAAGGAAGGAAGGACGGACAGCACTCATTCCTGTATCCCCCTTCCACTTTCGTGGTGGAGGATAATAACCCGGAACTAAACCTCTGCATATCAGACGTAATGGTTACAGTGTCAGTCTCACCAGCTCCACGTCACAGGCCAGCTGCAGGATGGTGGGGAACAGCTTCTTGTACAGCCGGTCCATGGGCATCTTCTTCTGCTTGTCCCCCGGGAGGGTGGCCCCCCGCCCCAGGGTGTACAGCACCAGGGAGTGGAGCAGCTCGCATGCAGCCACCTTGGTCTGCCGGTCACCGGACTTGGTGGCCAGCTCCACCACGTGAGGCAGGAACTGGTCTAGGGGCACATAACTTAGGTGATGAAAGAGCCTCAAACCAGGGTTGTTAATGATACAGAGTCAGTGACTTGATAGTAACACTGTTTTGTACAGTACCGTATATGACCGCGGGATAAGCGGACCCCGTAGATAAGTCGAGGTGTTAACTTGACCATTGAAATACGAAAGAAAATGATATGACCCGCAGATAGCCGAACCAGGAAGTGAAAAAAAACACTGCGAAATTCGGCTTATACGCGGTCATATACGGTATTACCAGGCCTCAAAGTTTACATTTTTACCAAGAAGCCATATGGCTACAAGTAGCCAGTGGTAAAATTAAGAAGTCAAGCCAATAGTGAAGGTAGCCAAAAGCATTTGAAATGATCTTTTCATCAAATAACTATTATTTTATGTTAGTGGAAACTGTACTTGAGTTTTGTTATTTGTGCCTCGAACAATGATGCAATTTATGTTACTCTATTATGTAGGTATATCCTTGCTTACTCAATAAATTATCAACTAAAATAAAGTACTAATTAGATGAATATTGTAGAATTTTCCTATTCGGAATATTCTATAAGTAATACGTTACCACTGTTATACCGAGGCTGTTGTCTCCCACAACTGCTGCTATAGCGAAATCTACCACAGAGATCTCAATTACCTCATGCAGCACGTGCGTAGCCACCTAGCTGCCATGTGACACCCTTCACTCTTGTCTCCTGCGAGAGCAAGTGCTCGGGGGACGGACGGGCGGGCAGCAGCCCAGTGGTAACGTATTACTTATAGAATATTCCGAATAGGAAAATTCTACAAATTACATTAAGTAATACGTTACCACTGTTATACCGAGGCTGACTACCACAGTAGGCGGTGGGGAGCACCTACAACCCGAATCCTGACTGCTAGCGTTCCTTCCGACCAGCGGAAGTAAACACCAAGGCGGAAGCACTCGATGCGCATGCACCTAGCTAGGCGTTACCCTATAGGAATACCAAAGCACTGTCAAGCGCATACCGTAAGGCTCAATCGTCATTGCCAAAACGATTGGTGACTCCAAACGGCCCCACTGGATAGGTATTTCATCGCCGCAGCGGATGAGAACACTGTATCCGCGTGAGCTAAATCTTAGGTCAGGTTAAACAGTCGAAAAGAGGGAAATTAATTTCATTCAGACCGTATATCCCAGAGCAAGCCTACTTAAAGTATGCATTAGGCGCGTGACCTAATTCCAGTATTTGTAAGCATGCATCACAAGGTTGGGATACACGACAGACAATTAAAGACATAATTGTCAAAATACAAATAAGGACAAAGCACACAAAAAGCCGCCCTCACCTGTGGTGTGAGTGCGCTGGTTTGCGGGACCCCAACTCCTGTACCCACGGCAGTGGGAACATTGGAGTAGACCCAGATTGACCACCGTGCAAGGTCAGACGCCTGAGGAGTTCGGAATTGCGCTGGGCACACCCCTTAGGTGCCCGCTTGCGCCGCGATCCGCGGGCCAAGACGGTGCACACTCTCCACGACGGCATCAGCGACCTGTTTGAGGTAATGATTGGCAAAAACCGAGTCAGAACGCCAGTAACAACCTCGTAATATTCTGCGAACAGAGATATTCGAGTGTAGGGCAAATGTTGCCGCTAGCGCCCTGATCTCGTGCGGGTTTGACCCCGCTACCGGTAACCCCCGAGACCGGTACGCCAGATTGATGACAGAACGAAGCCACAACGCAATCGAGTTGCGAGTTATGTCAACCGTGCGATTAGGGTTACACGATATGAACAGACGGTCACGCCCTTGTCTACGTTCATTCGAAGCCTTAAGATAATACTTAAGGGCCCTAACCGGACACAGCGCTCTGTCCTCAGTATCAGCAGGATGTAAGATTTCTTTGAGTGATCTTACAGTGAATTCTCTCTCCGTTTGCCCGACTCTCTAATTCTTGGCGACGAAGCCCATGAGCAGGCCCAGGCGGACCGCACCTTCGTCACCCCTATCGAATCCTACCTTGGCGACATCGAGTGCATGAATTTCGGATACACGTGCCGCCGTGGCAAAGGAGAGGAGAAATGCTGTTTTCCAAGTCACATGCCGGAACGAAGCACTATGCAAGGGTTCATACGGAGCTTCCGTAAGTGATTGCAACACTAGGGAAAGATCCCAGGCCGGTGCCCGAAGGCGGCCCTTCTTAAGATCGTGCTGTTTGAAACCCTTGATAATACCCCGTATCACCGGCTCTTTGGAGAGACTGGTACCCATAGCAACGTCCCGTACCGTAGCAACGGACGAGACATAGTTGGCAATGGAACCCCCGGAGAGTTTCCGGGTCTCTCGCAAGTGAGACATGAAACGAGCAATATCCTGCACAGATACCTTATCTGGCGAATGAATGTGATGTTTACAACACCACTTCGTGAAAATAACCCAACGTGCATTATACACCTTCTGGGTAGAATCACGATGCATACTAACGTATGCCCGAGACGCCCGGCGAGAAAAAACTTTACTCCTCAGACGCTCGGTGACAACATCCACGCGTGCAGATTGAACTGCCCTGCGTTTGGATGAAGCTGACGGGTGTGAGGGTGGATCAAGAGATCCGGTCTCACAGGCAGTGGAAGTGGCGACTGCGTGACCTGGGTCAGCAAGTCGGGGTACCACGATCTGTTCGGCCACATGGGCGCGATCAGTAACATTCGACAGCGAACTCCTCGGAGCTGGCTTAGAATGTGTGGTATCAACGCTGTCGGCGGGTAAGCATAAGCGACCAAGCCCGTCCAGTCTAACGCGAGAGCATCGTGATCGATGGCCCTCGGGACCGGGACTGGTGATACAAACAACGGGAGTTGATTGTTGAACCGCGTTGCGAACAGGTCGACCATCGGACGACCCAAACGTTCGCACAGCCACTGAAACACTACTGGGTTCAGCATCCACTCTGTGGGGCTCGGATCCTGAGGCCTCGATAGAGCATCGGCCAGTACGTTCCGCACACCTGGGATGTGACGGGCGCGTATCTGGCACGGGACACTGTCCACCAGAGCGTAAAACTCGAACGTGAGATCGAGTAGCGAGTGACTGTGGGTTCCCCCCAGTTTGTTCACATAGGACACTACCGTCGTGTTGTCGGTCGCCAGCATGAGCCGGGCGTCGACGAGACGATGCTTCCAGTGATTGACTGCGTTGATCACTGCCTTGAACTCGAGACAAGTGATGTGAAGACCTAGTTCGTCTAAGCACCACAGCCCCGAGCTCACCTCCCCCTTTAGATGGGCGCCCCAGCCCACTAGAGAGGCGTCTGTATACAGGGTCAACGTGGCCCGGTAGGGCCGCATAGAGACTCCTGATAAGACAATGTAAGGGACCGTCCACCACTCCAGATGCGGTCGGAGCCGATCCGGGAGGGCGACGGTCGCACTGTTCACCTCCGTTGCTAACAACTGGATTAAAAACCGTTGCAGCGGGCGGAGTTGGAGACGACCCCGTGCGGTGCAGTCCTGGGCTGATACAAGTAGCCCTAACAGCTGTTCCCAAAAGTGAACAGTCTGTTGCACCGCTAAGACTTTGGCAATCATCGCCTGAATTTTGTGCCACCGGTCTGGGGGGACAAAGAGGCGATGGGACACCGTGTTGAACCGACCTCCGATGAACAGCAAGTTCTGAGAAGGGGTGAACTTGCTCTTGGGGAGATTGATAATCCACCCAAATTGCTCCAAGAGCCGACGTGCGAAATCGAGATGGCGTGACAGGGTGTCCGTCATTCGATTTGCTACTAGCGAGTCGTCCAGGTACGCGAAGTACCGGACACCCCTCCTGTGGAGGAACCCCACTATGGGGGTGGATAACCGGGTGAACAGCCAGGGAGCGGACGTGTGAATCATTCTGAGTTCGGCACTGTCCTACTTGGGAACGAGAAATATCCTGGAGTAAAACCCCGGTGTTATTTCTGGTAGAGCTAACTCCCGTACTGCCCCTTCTCCACCAACCTGCCGATGGCATCGGCGAGGATGGGAAGATCGGTTTCCGAATCGAAACCTGCCAACGGGGCAACGGTGAGCGGCGGATTCGCTTTGAGATCAAGCCGATAGCCGTACCGAATCGTGTTGACCACCCACGGGTCGTCGAACACTTGTTCCCAATTCTCCCAGTAAGTCTGGAGTCTGGCTCCCACTGGGGAAGGAGAGGGGGCCCTGACAGGTTGCGACAGGCGCAACTGTCCAGGGCCAAGTGACTCGGGTTCGCCTAAGGGCCAACCGAAGTTGGCGCTGTCGGCATACGAACCCCTCCAATGAGAGTCACCTGGAGGGGCCCTTGCCGTCCGTCGACGACTTGGGCTTCCCCCAGTTCCCCGTTTTCCCGCGAAAGGGCAGCTGATTGCCCATACCGGAGCCCTCAGGGCGGGGCTACTTCCCAGAGGAAGAAGAACCCGACCCCTTAGACCTACCGGCCGCAGCAGCCTGGGGCGCGCTCCGGTTAGGAGCGGCACCCAGGCGCCTATGCAGGGACCCAACAAGAGCAAGTGTGTGCCGAGAGTCCTCGGCAACGTACTCCAGGGAAGCATTTAAACTGAGCAGGCAGTTGTAAATGCGCTGGTCACGGTCCGTGGGAGAACCTTCGACCAGACGGGCCGCTGCAGCCAAGTAAGTGTCTCCGTGAGACATGGAGTGCCGAGCGAGGGTGTCCAGCTGGTGCAAGGTAGCTTGCGTTACCGTAGCAGCCGGTGGGGCACGGACACCCAACCGCTCAACATGGGCCTCCGCGGTAGGACCAGCCTCGGGAAAGGCAAGGTCATGTACCGGGAATAAACCCTTTCTCCACGACGTCGGAGGCAACGGGAGACCCCGACCGGAGGCCGCCGCGAAGGCGTTCTCCAAGGAAGGCTTGAAACCGCGCAGCAAGGTTGATGCGGGGAAAGCCGTGTCGGAAGACTCATCGTATACCTCGGAGGAACCCACAGTCGTGGATTCCCCGCGGTACCGGCCGGGGCATGTCCCCAAAGAGGTCATAAACCATGGCCACGCGGTCCTAAACCGATAGCGGGAGCAACGGTTCGGGGGAAGGACCGGTGACCACGGGAGCCGCCGCCGTACCGGTGGACCCCGCGTCCGACCCCGCGGCCACCGAAGTGGCCGGGGACGGAACAGCCAGCGGCCTATCTTGCGATAAGGCCGCCAGCTTGGAATCCACAAGTTTCGACAACAATGCGGCGACGGAATCCCCAGACAGCCCGAGGGCCGCAAGGGGATCCGCCGCAGCCGAGGAGGTGGTACCCGCACGGGGACCCCGACCGGACGAACCGGCCACCACAGGGGTGGAGACGGACTGTACGTACAGTCGGTACCGCTCAAAATCCGCAGGCCCCAGACCTTCGCACAGGATGCACCGGGTGTCCCCGCAAGGAACCCTGCACCGCGGGCAACGATCGTGGGGATCCCGGGACGACAAAAACTTTCTGCACACCCCATAACTCCGAGGAGCAGGGGTAGAGGGGGTGGATACTGGGGACATATCCATGTCAGACATTGATTGTTTGCTATAAACAAAGAACAAAACATGGTTACAACGCACGCACCACAATGATTCACAAACGAACATTTTCACAAGAAAATAAACGAGCAATGTGAACATATAACATACACATATAACTTTTATTAAAGAAATAAGTTATGTTAACCCCAAAAACATACAAGAACAGGGGAAACGTATAACACAACGTGCATACGCGAACCCCGCAAGTATATAGAAAAAAGGGCGGGAAAAATTTTCCGTTTGGCGGGAAAATTATAACCAAGCGTAGCTACCGCAACGCCCCATAAAAGCACAGTTTATTAGAGAATAAACTATAATAAATATCACCAAATCTTCAAGGAACGCTTCAGCAGGAGAAAACACGTCTTGCTAAGCAGACGAAGGAGACAAGAGTGAAGGGTGTCACATGGCAGCTAGGTGGCTACGCACGTGCTGCATGAGGTAATTGAGATCTCTGTGGTAGATTTCGCTATAGCAGCAGTTGTGGGAGACAACAGCCTCGGTATAACAGTGGTAACGTATTACTTAATGTAATTTTATGTATTTCAGTTCATTGTTGACTTTAGGAGGAATTATTTGCAAGTACAATCAGTAGCAGTTTATTTTTGTGTCTACATATGTGTAGCAATAGAATTTAGTCGCCACAAGATATTTTTCAAGGTAGTCATTTGGCTACCTCTGAATTTTAGACAATAGATAAATTGCAATTTAGGTCGCACTGGCGACCCTTTTATTCGCAACTTTTTGGCCTGATTACTGTTAGAAACAAGCACAGCAACATGTGAAACAAAAAACAAATGAGTCTCCATGCCTTTGTTATCTTAAGTTGGGTAATGGTCTCATTATAGGGATTAATTCTGAGCTTGAAGCATTCCTTGAAAATAACTTGATTGTTTGTTGTTTAACGCCGCACTCAGCAATATTCCAGCTATATGAAAGCGGTCTGTAAATAATCGAGTCTGGACCAGACAATCCAGTGATTGACAGCATGAGCATCGATCAATGCATTTGGGATCGATGACATGCATCAACCAAGTCAACGAGTCTGACCACCCGATCCCCTTAGTCGCCTTTTACAACAAGGAGAGTTGCCTTTTATGGCAAGCATGGGTTGCTGAAGACCTGTTCTACCCCAGATCTTCACGGGCCCTTGAAAATAAGGAAATAACATGAAAAGGTAGGAGGTAAAATGGTAGTGACTGCTTTTAACTGGTTTATATCACTGACTGGCCTAAACATTTCACTCACTGATACCAAACTTTGGAATGAGTGAGTGAGTATGGTTTTACGCCGCTTTTAGCAATATTCGAGCAATATCACGGCGGGGGACACCAGAAATGGGCTTCACACAATGTACCCATTTTGGGAATCGAACCCGGGTCTTCCGCGTGACGAGCGAACGCTTTTACCACTAGGCCACCTGACCGCCCCACTAAACTTTGGAGGTTTGAAGCAGGCTTACCAAAGTATATAGTTGGTTTCATATCAATGAAGGGCATGTCAAACTTGAGGTGCTGTTTTGTGTCCCAGGCAATGGCCTGCTTGCTGATCTCCTCGTCAGCGCGAGACAGCAGAGCATGGTTGATGCCCCCGCCGAGAGATCCCAGGTAGTGCATGACTCTCTGTTTCACTACGGCCAGCTGTGACTCATAGCCCTGTAAAACACGGGGACTCATAGTTATAGTCATCACACGGTCCTGTGTTTACGTTCAAGGTAGAGGCAGTCACAGCTATCGTGCTGTCCTGTGTTTATGTTCAAGGTAGACTCAGTCATAGCTATCATGCTACCTTGTGTTTACGTCCAAGGTAGAGTCAGTCATAGCTATCGTGCTGTCCTGTGTTTACGTTCAAGATAGAGTCAGTCATAGTTATCACACGGTCCTGTGTTTACGTTCAAGGTAGAGTCAGTCATAGCTATCGTGCTGTCCTGTGTTTATGTTCAAGGTAGAGTCAGTCATAGCTATCGTGCTGTCTTATGTTTTCGTTCAAGGTAAAGTCAGTCATAGCTATCATGCTGTCTTGTGTTTACGTTCAAGGTAGAGTCAGTCATAGCTATCGTGCTGTCTTGTGTTTACGTTCAAGGTAGAGGCAGTCACAGCTATCGTGCTGTCCTGTGTTTATGTTCAAGGTAGACTCAGTCATAGCTATCATGCTACCTTGTGTTTACGTCCAAGGTAGAGTCAGTCATAGCTATCGTGCTGTCCTGTGTTTACGTTCAAGATAGAGTCAGTCATAGTTATCACACGGTCCTGTGTTTACGTTCAAGGTAGAGTCAGTCATAGCTATCGTGCTGTCCTGTGTTTATGTTCAAGGTAGAGTCAGTCATAGCTATCGTGCTGTCTTGTGTTTTCGTTCAAGGTAAAGTCAGTCATAGCTATCATGCTGTCTTGTGTTTACGTTCAAGGTAGAGTCAGTCATAGCTATCGTGCTGTCTTGTGTTTACGTTCAAGGTAGAGTCAGTCATAGCTATCGTGCTGTCTTGTGTTTATGTTCAAGGTAGAGTCAGTCATAGCTATCGTGCTGTCTTGTGTTTACGTTCAAGGTAGTCAGTCATAGCTATCATGCTGTCTTGTGTTTACGTTCAAGGTAGAGTCAGTCGTAGCTATCGTGCTGTCTTGTGTTTACGTTCAAGGTAGAGTCAGTCATAGCTATCATGCTGTCCTGTGTTATGTTCAAGGTAGACTCAGTCAAAGCTATCACACTGTCCTGTGTTATGTTCAAGGTAGAGTCAGTCATAGCTGTCACACTGTCCTGTGTTATGTTCAAGGTAGAGTCAGTCATAGCTGTCACACTGTCCTGTGTTATGTTCAAGGTAGACTCAGTCAATGTTATCACACTCTTCTGATTATGTTCTTGGTAGGACATCAGTCAGTCACTGTTATCACGTTATTCTATGAAGCAGGGGCAACAGTGCCACAATAAAGTAATATACTCTATCACATGACTGTGTAAGAACCTCTGAAGTACTACTACTGATGGGGTACATTTCTTAGGACGTCCTTCTGAAGTGACAAACCTTATCACTCGCCATCTTCTTGTCCTTCACCTTCCTCACGGTGACCTTTTTCCGACCTCTCTTTGACTTTGAGGACTTCACTGTTACTGTGCTGTCCACATTCACCTCTTCAGCACCTGAAAATTACAAGTTTGGGTAAAACATAAGATTTGATGGCTTTTTAAAAATGCTTAAGATTTCTAAAAGTGCTTATTTCCACCCTTCACGAAGATGCCAAGGAGGTAATATAAGCTAGATTATGGTACAAAATACTTACATGCATACCATTCCGATATATGATACATGCATAATATGAGAGAGTTACTGTACTTTAAGAATTAGGATATTAATATGTCCAGACCAAAGACTGAGATTTAATACAAACAATCAAAATCTACAATGGCTCAGGAAAGCACAGGTTTAAATGCTACAATTTCAAATTATTCACTGTGACCTTTTAAACAATATAATTACTTTACAACGGATAAAACAATTACCGTAGAGCAAGCCATTAGATAATTCAGATACATGGGCCAAAAGCTAAAAATGACTTTCAATGGTTGTGAAGTCAACAAATTGAACTGCCTCCAAAGCATGTAAAGTGAGGATACACAAGAAGTGGTTTGTATACTCTCCCTCTTATCAAACAACATGGACACAACAGCAACTTGAAACCTGCCTTTGTCTACAGTTCTGATATAGTTGTCCAGAAAAGGCAGGATGTCCTTATAGTGAGGGTGTAGAATCCGCTCTGGAAGGTGAGAGCTCCAGTACTCAAGGGCGTCAAGGCCAATAGCTGCCAAGGGGAGATAACTCAGACCCAGGGTCAAAGTCACCTAAACAACATGGACGATACATGTAGGGGGATGGCATTATCAAGAACACCACCAAAACAAGTTTACTCTCATTTGCTATCAGAAACATGAGACATATCCACGACAAGTCAACATTCCTTTTTCTAGCAACACATAAATGTATCAAAGCGATGTGGTGAATTAACTAACTTTAAGAGCACATACTGGGTAAAATGACAAAAACAATGACAGTAACCAATAAACATCAGGAGAATTGGGACCCGTGAAGATTCCGGGGTAGAATAGGTCTACAGCAACCCATGCTTGCTGTAAAAGGCGACTATGCTTGTCGTAAAAGGCGACTAACGGGATCGGGTGGTCAGGCTCGCTGACTTGGTTGATGCATGTCATTGATCCCAATTGCGTGGGTTGATGCTCATGATATCAATCACTGGATTGTCTGGTCCAGACTCGATTATTTACAGACCGCTGTCATATAGCTGGAATATTGCTGAGTGCGGCGTTAAACAACAAACCAACCAACCAAGGAGAATTGGACAACTAGTAATTTATTAAACTTGTTTAACCAACTCAAGGGTGTTGTACACTGCACCTACTTGAATGGCTGGGACAATCTCTGTCATCTGTTCGGCTATGATCTCCTTGGGCAGGGCAAGGACCAGGGTCAGGCAGGCAGCCAGGAGGTCATCACGGTACTGCTTCATCCTCACCAGCACCTCAACACAACAGCAGCACATAGTCTTACAGTGTTCATACCTCAACACAACAGCAGCACACAGTAATACAGTGTTCATACCTCAACAGAACAGCAGCACACAGTAATACAGTGTTCATACCTCAACACAACAGCAGCACACAGTAATACAGTGTTCATACCTCAACACAACAGCAGCACACAGTAATACAGTGTTCATACCTCAACACAACAGCAGCACACAGTAATACAGTGTTCATACCTCAACACAAAAGCAGCACGTAGTCTTACAGTGTTCATACCTCAACACAACAGCAGCACACAGTAATACAGTGTTCATACCTCAACACAACAGCAGACAGCACACAGTAATACAGTGTTCATACCTCAACACAACAGCAGCAAATAGTGATACAGTGTTCATACCTCAACACAACAGCAGACAGCACACAGTAATACAGTGTTCATACCTCAACACAACAGCAGCACACAGTAATACAGTGTTCATACCTCAACACAACAGCAGCACACAGTAATACAGTGTTCATACCTCAACACAACAGCAGACAGCACACAGTAATACAGTGTTCATACCTCAACACAACAGCAGCAAATAGTGATACAGTGTTCATACCTCAACACAACAGCAGACAGCACACAGTAATACAGTGTTCATACCTCAACACAAAAGCAGAACACAGTGATACAGTGTTCATATCTCAACACACCAGCAGCACACAGTAATACAGTGTTCATACCTCAACACAACAGCAGCACATAGTAATACAGTGTTCATACCTCAACACAACAGCAGGCAGCACACAGTAGTACAGTGTTCATACCTCAACACAACAGCAGCACATAGTGATACAGTGTTCATACCTCAACACAACAGCAGCACACAGTGATACAGTGTTCATACCTTACACAACAGCCACACACAGTAATACAGTGTTCATACCTCAACACAACAGCAGCACACAGTAATACAGTGTTCATACCTCAACACAAAAGCAGCACGTAGTCTTACAGTGTTCATACCTCAACACAACAGCAGCACACAGTAATACAGTGTTCATACCTCAACACAACAGCAGACAGCACACAGTAATACAGTGTTCATACCTCAACACAACAACAGCAAATAGTGATACAGTGTTCATACCTCAACACAACAGCCGCACACAGTGATACAGTGTTCATATCTCAACACAACAGCAGCACACAGTGACACAGTGTTCATACCTTACACAACAGCAGCACACAGTAATACAGTGTTCATATCTCAACACAACAGCAGCACACAGTGATACAGTGTTCATACCTTACACAACAGCAGCACACAGTAATACAGTGTTCATACCTCAACACAACAGCAGCACACAGTAATACAGTGTTCATACCTCAACACAAAAGCAGCACGTAGTCTTACAGTGTTCATACCTCAACACAACAGCAGCACACAGTAATACAGTGTTCATACCTCAACACAACAGCAGACAGCACACAGTAATACAGTGTTCATACCTCAACACAACAGCAGCAAATAGTGATACAGTGTTCATACCTCAACACAACAGCAGCACATAGTGATACAGTGTTCATACCTCAACACAACAGCCGCACACAGTGATACAGTGTTCATACCTCAACACAACAGCAGACAGCACACAGTAATACAGTGTTCATACCTCAACACAAAAGCAGAACACAGTGATACAGTGTTCATATCTCAACACACCAGCAGCACACAGTAATACAGTGTTCATACCTCAACACAACAGCAGCACATAGTAATACAGTGTTCATACCTCAACACAACAGCAGGCAGCACACAGTAGTACAGTGTTCATACCTCAACACAACAGCAGCACATAGTGATACAGTGTTCATACCTCAACACAACAGCAGCACACAGTGATACAGTGTTCATACCTTACACAACAGCCACACACAGTAATACAGTGTTCATACCTCAACACAACAGCAGCACATAGTCTTACAGTGTTCATACCTCAACACAACAGCAGTACATAGTCTTAAAGTGTTCATACCTCAACACAACAGCAGCACACAGTGATACAGTGTTCATATCTCAACACAACAGCAGCACACAGTAATACAGTGTTCATACCTCAACACAACAGCAGCACATAGTCTTACAGTGTTCATACCTCAACACAACAGCAGTACATAGTCTTACAGTGTTCATACCTCAACACAACAGCAGCACACAGTAATACAGTGTTCATACCTCAACACAACAGCAGCACACAGTAATACAGTGTTCATACCTCAACACAACAGCAGCACACAGTGATACAGTGTTCATACCTTACACAACAGCCGCACACAGTAATACAGTGTTCATACCTCAACACAACAGCAGCACATAGTGATACAGTGTTCATACCTCAACACAACAGCAGCACACAGTGATACAGTGTTCATACCTCAACACAACAGCAGCACACAGTGATATTGCTAACTGATACATCAGTACAGTTACAGTAACATGTCTGGGCAGGCTTGTTTGGATAATGGTCACAACATTGTAAACAGGACTGAATGGCTGTTGTATCAGCGAAAAAAAGATTTAATCACAGAACCTTCATAGGCATACCACGATTGAAACATAAATAATCAATTTTCAGAGAAGCTTTCCAAATGCCAACTTTTGAAACTGGATTGTTTTGATGGTGTTAATGTCTACAAGGACCAGGCATGAGTGAGTGAGTGAGTTGGGTTTAACGCCGCTTTTAACAGTTTTCCAGTTATATCACGGCGTGTCAGCTTAATGTGTGAGGAAAGCCCGAAGTGATGCAGGTCTCAGACGTTTACCACTTCGGTGAAACGCACGAGCACAGGTATGGTGCTGACAAACCTAGAAACATAATCGTGGCGAACCGGGATTCGAACCCACAATCATAGGTTTCTGGCGTGCCCAAGGGACGCAACTCTGCACAGCGAATCACGGCGACCAGGCATGAGAAACTCCAACCGATGACGACATCAACAAAAGAATTCCTCTACTGAACACAACTGGTGCCAAAAGTTAAAAGTGAAATATAGATTTTGTTAACTGCATCTAGTAGAGCGTCTAGCTGTATCAATCCATATAAACCTAGAGGTCTTCATATTGTTCATTGTTGTAGGAAAGGCCCCTCTCAATGGCTAACATGACAGCTCTCTGCAGCTGTCAAGTTCTAATGTTCATCTGCTGATTACCTCTTTTGAGAACTTCTTCATGAGCTGGTAGCTGACAAGTTTCTGCTGGGGTCCCTCCCCGGGGGCATCATCAACGTCCATGGCATCAGCGGACTTGACTGGACTCACAGGGGCCACATTCTGGCGGTAAACCACACACTATCAATGCCCTTCCATATGTACATATGTATACAACTTCTCCAAGAATGTGACTGACTTGTAAGTGACTCCTGTGTTTATCTTTCCACTACATTTGTCACTCCCCATGTCATATTCCCCATCTGGGACCTGTCCCACAAAGTGTTCAGCGGTAAGGTGATCATAACTCCTATACTTAAACATAGACCTACAACTGTCATAGCGCTACGATTGCTTTGTAGAAAGGGGCTCTGGACAAATGCCAGCACATAGTTATTCCTTTTTTCCTTTCCACACCATCAAAAAGTGCCAAACCCAAAACTTTTGTCGTTACGAACTGTCCTACCTTGAAATAGTCGAGCTTGTTCCCTATCTTCATTGCAACAGCCAGCATCTTGTAGAAGCCGGACACAAGAGGATTCCTGGATTAGAGAAGGAGACATTAGGTAGACTTTATGTGACACATGTTCAACCCAACGTCTTGTAGAATTTTCCTATTCGGAATATTCTATAAGTAATACGTTACCACTGTTATACCGAGGCTGTTGTCTCCCACAACTGCTGCTATAGCGAAATCTACCACAGAGATCTCAATTACCTCATGCAGCACGTGCGTAGCCACCTAGCTGCCATGTGACACCCTTCACTCTTGTCTCCTGCGAGAGCAAGTGCTCGGGGGACGGACGGGCGGGCAGCAGCCCAGTGGTAACGTATTACTTATAGAATATTCCGAATAGGAAAATTCTACAAATTACATTAAGTAATACGTTACCACTGTTATACCGAGGCTGACTACCACAGTAGGCGGTGGGGAGCACCTACAACCCGAATCCTGACTGCTAGCGTTCCTTCCGACCAGCGGAAGTAAACACCAAGGCGGAAGCACTCGATGCGCATGCACCTAGCTAGGCGTTACCCTATAGGAATACCAAAGCACTGTCATGCGCATACCGTAAGGCTCAATCGTCATTGCCAAAACGATTGGTGACTCCAAACGGCCCCACTGGATAGGTATTTCATCGCCGCAGCGGATGAGAACACTGTATCCGCGTGAGCTAAATCTTAGATCAGGTTAAACAGTCGAAAAGAGGGAAATTAATTTCCTTCAGACCGTATATCCCAGAGCAAGCCTACTGAAAGTATGCATTAGGCGCGTGACCTAATTCCAGTATTCGTAAGCATGTATCGCAAGGTTGGAATACACGACAGACAATTAAATGCATAATTGTCAAAATACAAATAAGGACAAAACACACATAAAGCCGCCTCACCTGTGGTGTGAGTGCGCTGGTTTGCAGGACCCCCACTCCTGTACCCACGGCGTGGGAACATTGGAGACGACCCAGATTGACCACTGTGCAAGGACTGACGACTGCGGAGTTTGAAATTGCGCTGGACACACCCCCTAGATGACCGCTTGTGCCGCGATCAGCGGCCCAAGACGGTGCACCCCCTCCACGTCTTCATCAGAAACCTTTCTGAGGTAATGATTGGCAAAAACCGAGTCAGAACGCCAGTAACAACCTCGTAATATTCTGTGAACAGAGATATTCGAGTGTAGGGCAAATGTTGCCGCTAGCGCCCTGATCTCGTGCGGGTTTGACCCCGCTACCGGTAACCCCTGAGACCGGTACGCCAGATTGATGACAGAACGAAGCCACAACGCAATCGAGTTGCGAGTTATGTCAACCGTGCGATTAGGGTTACACGATATGAACAGACGGTCACGCCCTTGTCTACGTTCATTCGAAGCCTTAAGATAATACTTAAGGGCCCTAACCGGACACAGCGCTCTGTCCTCAGTATCAGCAGGATGTAAGATTTCTTTGAGTGATCTTACAGTGAATTCTCTCTCCGCTTGCCCGACTCTCTGATTCTTGGCGACGAAGCCCATGAGCAGGCCCAGGCGGACCGCTCCTTCGTCACCCCTATCGAATCGTACCTTGGCGACATCGAGTGCATGAATTTCGGATACACGTGCCGCCGTGGCAAAGGAGAGGAGAAATGCTGTTTTCCAAGTCACATGCTGGAACGAAGCACTATGCAAGGGTTCATACGGAGCTTCCGTAAGTGATTGCAACACTAGGGAAAGATCCCAGGCCGGTGCCCGAAGGCGGCCCTTCTTAAGATCGTGCTGTTTGAAACCCTTGATAATACCCCGTATCACCGGCTCTTTGGAGAGACTGGTACCCATAGCAACGTCCCGTACCGTAGCAACGGACGAGACATAGTTGGCAATGGAACCCCCGGAGAGTTTCCGGGTCTCTCGCAAGTGAGACATGAAACGAGCAATATCCTGCACAGATACCTTATCTGGCGAATGAATGTGATGTTTACAACACCACTTCGTGAAAATAACCCAACGTGCATTATACACCTTCTGGGTAGAATCACGATGCATACTAACGTATGCCCGAGACGCCTTTACTCCTCAGACGCTCGGTGACAACATCCACGCGTGCAGATTGAACTGCCCTGCGTTTGGATGAAGCTGACGGGTGTGAGGGTGGATCAAGAGATTCGGTCTCACAGGCAGTGGGAGTGGCGACTGCGTGACCTTGGTCAGCAAGTCGGGGTACCACGATCTGTTCGGCCACATGGGCGCGATCAGTAACATTCGACAGCGAACTCCTCGAAGCCGGCTTAGAATGTGTGGTATCAACGCTGTCGGCGGGTAAGCATAAGCGTCCAAGCCCGTCCAGTCTAACGCGAGAGCATCGTGATCGATGGCCCTCGGGTCCGGGACTGGTGATACAAACAACGGGAGTTGATTGTTGAACCGCGTTGCGAACAGGTCGACCATCGGACGACCCAAACGTTCGCACAGCCACTGAAACACTACTGGGTTCAGCATCCACTCTGTGGGGCTCGGATCCCGAGGCCTCGATAGAGCATCGGCCAGTACGTTCCGCACACCTGGGATGTGACGGGCGCGTATCTGGCACGGGACACTGTCCACCAGAGCGTAAAACTCGAACGTGAGATCGAGCAGCGAGTGACTGTGGGTTCCCCCCAGTTTGTTCACATAGGACACTACCGTCGTGTTGTCGGTCGCCAGCATGAGCCGGGCGTCGACGAGACGATGCTTCCAGTGATTGACTGCGTTGATCGCTGCCTTGAACTCGAGACAATTGATGTGAAGACCTAGTTCGTCTACGCACCACAGCCCCGAGCTCACCTCCCCCTCTAGATGGGCGCCCCAGCCCACTAGAGAGGCGTCTGTATACAGGTTCAACGTGGCCCGGTAGGGCCGCATAGAGACTCCTGATAAGACATTGTAAGGGAGCGTCCACCACTCCAGATGCGGTCGGAGCCGATCCGGGAGGGCGACGGTCGCACTGTTCACCTCCGTTGCTAACAACTGGATTAAAAACCGTTGCAGCGGGCGGAGTTGGAGACGACCCCGTACGGTGCAGTCCTGGGCTGATACAAGTAGCCCTAACAGCTGTTCCCAAAAGTGAACAGTCTGTTGCACCGCTAAGACTTTGGCAATCATCGCCTGAATTTTGTGCCACCGGTCTGGGGGGACAAATAGGCGATGGGACACCGTGTTGAACCGACCTCCGATGAACTGCAAGTTCTGAGAAGGGGTTAACTTGCTCTTGGGGAGATTGACAATCCACCCCAATTGCTCCAAGAGCCGACGTGCGAAAACGAGATGGCGTGACAGGGTGTCCAAAATTCGATTTGCTACTAGCGAGTCGTCCAGGTACGCGAAGTACCGGACACCCCTCCGGTGGAGGAACCCCACTATGGGGGTGGTTAACCGGGTGAACAGCCAGGGAGCGGACGAAAGACCGAATGGGAGTACAACCCACTCGTAGTGCCTGCCTTGAAAGACAAACCTGAGATACCTGTGATGATCCGAGTGAATCGGAACATGCAGATAAGCATCCTTCAGGTCGATCGAAGCTAGCCAGTCGGCCGGCATGATCAGTGCTTTCAGGTCCGTCAAGCTCAACATTCTGAACTTGGGCGGCTTGCGCAGGTAGAACTCTTTGAACGATTTCAAGTTGTGAATCATTCTGAGTTCGGCACTGTCCTTCTTGGGAACGAGAAATATCCTGGAGTAAAACCCCGGTGTTATTTCTGGTAGAGCTAACTCCCGAACTGCCCTCTTCTCCACCAACCTGCCGATGGCATCGGCGAGGAAGGGAAGATCGGTTTCCGAATAGAAACCTGCCGACGGGGCAACGGTGAGCGGCGGATTCGCTTTGAGATCGAGCCGATAGCCGTACCGAATCGTGTTGACCACCCACGGGTCGTCGAACACTTGTTCCCAATTCTCCCAGTAAGTCTGGAGTCTGGCTCCCACTGGGGAAAGAGAGGGGGGCCGGACGGGCTGCGGCAGGCGCAACTGTCCAGGGCCGTGTGACTCGGGTTCGCCTACGGGCCAACCGAAGTTGGCGCTGTCGGCATACGAACCCCTCCAATGAGAGTCACCTGGAGGGGCCCTTGCCGTCCTTAGACGACTTGGGCTTCCCCCAGTTCCCCTTCTTCCCGCGAAAGGGCTGCTGAGAACCCTTACCGGAGCCCTCAGAGCGGGGCTTCTTCCCGGAGGAAGAAGGACCCGACCCCTTAGGCCTGCCGGACGCAGCAACCTGGGGCGCGCTCCGCTTCGGAGCGCCACCCAGGCGCCTATGCAAGGACCCCACAAGATCCAGTGTGTGCCGAGAGGCCTCGGCAGACACAGCGGCCTGTTGTTCCTTCAGAACCCCAGGGATCTTGTTATTAAACAGGGTCCGAGCAGACCAAGGCTGCGAAAGGAGCACCTCCTGATTGGCAGCGTCCAACCCTGAAGCAACCAGATACGACTGGCGCCGAAGAAAATGGCACGTGCCGGAAACAAAGGCCGAAGCCCCGGCAACGTACTCCAGGGAAGCATTCAAACCGAGCAAGCAGTTGTAAATGCGCTGGTCACGGTCCGTGGGAGAACCTTCGACCAGACTGGCCGCCGCAGCCAGGTATGTGTCTCCGTGAGACATAGCCAGCATGGAGTGTCGAGCGAGGGTGTCCAGCTGTTGCAGGGTACCTTGCGGTACCGTGGCAACCGGTGGGGCACGGACCCCCAAACGCTCCACATGGGCTTCCGCAGGAGGACCAGCCTCGGGAAAGGCAAGGTCATGAACTGGGAAAGACCCTTTTCTCCACGACGGGGGAGGTAACGGGAGACCCCGACCGGAGGCAGCCGTGAAGGCTTTCTCCAAAGACGGCTTAATCCCGCGCAGCAAGGTTGATGCCGGGAAAGCCTTGTCGGACGACTCGTCGTATACCTCGGAGGAACCCACGGAACCGTGGATACCCCGCGGTATCGGCAGGGGCTTTGGCATGTCCTCGAAGAGGTCATACACCATGGCCACGCGGTCCTTAACCGATAGCGGAAGCAACGGTTCGGGGGAAGGACCGGTAACCACGGCAGCCGGCGCCGTACCGGTGGACCCCGCGTCCGAACCCGCGGCCACCGAAGAGGCCGGGGACGGAACAGCCAGCGGCCTATCTTGCGATAAGGCCGCCAGCTTGGAGTCCACAATTTGCGACAACAATGCGGCGACGGAAGCCCCAGACAGCCCGAGGGCCGCAAGGGGATCCGCCGCAGCCGACAAGGAGGTGCCGGCCACCACAGGGGTGGAAACGGACTGCGCGCACAGCCGGTACCGCTCAAACTCCGCAGGTCCCAGACCTTCGCACAGGGTGCACCGGGTTTCCTCGCAAGGAACCCTGCACCGCGGGCAACGATCGTGGGGATCCCGGGACGACAAAAACTTTCTGCACACCCCACAACTCCGAGGAGCAGGGGTAGAGGGGGTGGAGACAGGGGACATATCCATGTCAGACATTGATTGTTTTCTAGAAACAAAGAACAAAACATGGTTACAACGCACGCACCACAATGATTCACAAACGAACATTTTCACAAGAAAATAAACGAGCAATGTGAACATATAACATACACATATAACTTTTACTAAAGAAATAAGTGATGTTAACCCCCAAAACATACAAGAACAGGGGAAACGTAAAACACAACGTGCATACGCGAACCCCGCAAGTATATAGAAAAAAGGGCGGGAAAAAATTTCCGTTTGGCGGGAAAATTATAACCAAGCGTAGCTACCGCAACGCCCCATAAAAGCACAGTTTATTAGAGAATAAACGATAATAAATATCACCAAATCTTCAAGGAACGCTTCAGCAGGAGAAAACACGTCTTGCTAAGCAGACGAAGGAGACAAGAGTGAAGGGTGTCACATGGCAGCTAGGTGGCTACGCACGTGCTGCATGAGGTAATTGAGATCTCTGTGGTAGATTTCGCTATAGCAACAGTTGTGGGAGACAACAGCCTCGGTATAACAGTGGTAACGTATTACTTAATGTAATTTGCTCCTACACCAATCCCAAAGTTTACTTTAACAAATTAGCTGAAAAAGGGCAAAAAATGGTTTTGAAAAGGCATTGAAAATCATTTTTGGATCTCTTGAACAATTTCCGGCGCCATCACTAGTGGAAACATGCTCACTAGATCAACTCATTGGTTTCAGAAATGAAGATGCTTAAAGATGAGGGATGACGGACGAATACTTCATGCAATGACATCCCTAGGGATTCCATTGAGTGAGTGAGTATGGTTTTACGCCGTTTTTAGCAATATTCCAGCAATATCATGGTGGGGGACACCATAAATGGGCTTCACACATTGTACCCATGTCAGGAATCAAACCCGGGTCTTCGGTGTGACGAGCAAACGTTTTAACCACAAGGCTACCCGACCGCCCCCCCTAGGGATTCTAGCTCAGGTGAGCTAAATGAACACTTGGTTTTCAAGAAATGTTTGGTAAGGGTGATGGAGTACATGTATGTTGTTGATTGCCTCAGGCGATCATGGCGGGGGACACCAGAAATTGGCTTCATACATTGTACCCATGTCGGGAATCAAACCCGGGTCTTCGGTGTGACGAGCAAACGCTTTAACTACAAGGCTACCCGACCGCCCCTCTAGGGATTCTAACTCAGGTGAGCTAAATGAACATTTGGTTTTCAAGCACTGTTTGGTAAGGGTGATGGAGCACATGTATGTTGTTGATTGCCTCAGCCCACAACAGTCCAGCTCAAAAGAGAATCTCACCTGAGAGTCTAATGATATCAAATATATGAACACAAGTTGATAAAAGTAGAAAACTCTGAGACATGCGGGGGAGTCTTACATTATTATCAACGACTGTTTGGTATGTTTGAATTCAAATGAACTCAGGTGAGATTCTATTTATCGTCCCAAATAATTCTTCAAACTTTTTCGGTTTGTAAACAGCAACAACCAGTGCCTTAATGTGAAAAGCAGAGCTAACCAGCTTCAGTCACACTGAGTTAAGTTATGTCATTTGATTGTGACATCGTCTGCAAATCATTGTGATGCAATATATTGTAGAGACGCAATCTCACTGAAGCGATATCGCCTGTGGTAGTCACTTTTGGATGATAAATAACTGCAGCCTGTAAATAGAGTCTTGGCCAGACAAACGAGCAGTTGATATTAATGTACCAACATACGAACGTACACCACTGAGGTTCAATGACACACAATCAGCCAAGTCCGGACCACTGGCTCCAAACTAGTCACCTCTCCGATGAACAATACAGTGCAGGGACCTATTCTAATGCAGGACAGCATCTTACCACCAGGTACCACCATAGCACACTTACTCATCTTTAAGATAATTGTACCTTAATTTCAGTCATCACTTGACAAGAAATGTATTTTTAGAGAACAGAACAAGAATCCTGTAAATGAACTTACTGTGTGGAGAGCAGTATGACGGAGTGACAGAAGGTGAACAGCCATCTTTCAAACAGCTCGTAGTGGCACACAGGCAGCAGGTCCCTGAAACACACAAAGGCATGATGCAGCACAAATTGAAACTGAAATAACACCAACTTACTGTGGTCTCACACTCAAGATGATGTTTGAAAGGATTGTGGTTTATCAGACTTTCAGAAATACTCCTAAAATGGGCATAAACACCATTATATCTACAGCAGACACAGAAGCAGTTGGACTGGTCCGTAATGAGGCAGGTTGTGATTACGTATCTAAACTCTGCATTCATAGAGAGAATGAGGGGAGCACAAGTGGTCTACAGAACAAAAGTGACATTAAGAGTTCCATCCCTTCGTCCATTAGGATGCACTGGTCCTCGGAATCCTTGGAATAACTTTATTCATTTATCATCATCGTTCTGTAATACTCTAACTTGTCAGTGGGGTGAACTAAAGTAGTAAACATCTGCAAACCATGTCACTTTACTGTTCCAAGTGACATTAATCCCAAATCACTTCATGTATTGTTCTTTTAATCATATATTCGAAACTTTTGACATGACATGACCTGGAATGGGTGCGTACTACAACAGACCTGTACGGCCAACCAGATTGACGAGGGGCTGGAATGGGGGCGTACTACAACAGACCTGCAGAAGTCAACCAGGTTGATGAGGACCTGGAAGTCTCGGGGTCGGTTGGCCTGGACTCCGGATGTTGGGTCTGCTGATGTCTCTACTCCATCTTCTGGTACTGACTCTTCTCCCTGAAGTAACAAACCCACAGGGTCAGTCTCTTGCTTTCTAGGACACATATCAAGACAATTGTAATCACTAGTACCTCAATATATTAAGAATGCATGTTTGACTTTTACTTTTAGTTTGAGCTAGATACTAGTGTGAGCGCATGTTAAAAAGCGGGTGCAAAAAATTATCATTAAAAGTATCTTATTTTTTTCCTTCTTATGAAGATTAAAGAAATATTTGTAAGAAATAATCTTGGGGCAAGTTAGTTCTTTGATGAAGATAAGGAGCAGGAGGGTAGCCTAGTGGTTAAAACATTTGCTTGTCATGCCGTAGGCCCAGATTCCAAAGCCCTTTTCTCTTGTCCCCTGCTGTGACATTGTAAGAATATTGATAAAAGTGGCGCAAAACCATACTCACTCAGTCACAGTAGAAGATAAATACATGACAACAAATCTGCAATGTACATCAATAATGATCTGAACTGATTTGAATTGACCAAGGATCATGGTTTCAAAAACAAGACAGTGAGCTTTGAAGACAAGGAGCCCAAACTGTTGAGACTGTAATGTCTCGTTGGTGTACACCGCTACCTTCTCGGCTGCTGATGAGAGGTCCAGTTTATTGAGGATCTTGATTGTGGAGGTCATCAGTTCCTCATACATGGCCTCGGTCAGCCGGTGGCGGTCGGCAATGCTGATGTCCTCACTGGCAAACGACTGAAAGAGAAGAGACAAAAGACTGCCAAGCTTCTCACATTACAAACAAATGCAATGAAAACAATCGTACTACAGCTTGTTTAACTCATCTGCCGAGTTTCATATTCAGCTAAATGTATATATAAGACAGCTATGGGATAAATCACAAGGAGAATTAAAGTGTGAAGTGTGGTTTATTTCACGATAAAACTTTGTTCTATCATGACATCATTTTTGCGCCCCTAATCATGCTAATGGTGTTTTGTCCCTGCAGTGTTTTATTGTACGATAAACAACTCCCACTCGTTTATTTCTTAAATATACAATACTAGTTCAAGTGAATGAGAGGGTCAGTTGCATTTAACTCCACTTTGAAAATTATTTACTACATTGCGAAAACCCAAGGCACTCGGCAGTGGTGCATCCAGTGAAGGAGTTCATGGGTTTCGACATTCAAAAATCCTGGACCCGTCTCAACTGGGTAGGGATCATTTATCAAGGCTAAATCAAACCCATGACTGCATCCTATGGATAGCTTTTCCTAAGATTGAGAAGGGAAACAATTCTGCAACCGTAAACTACTGAATCAGCTTCCCTACTTCTAAAACAAACAGGAAACCGATGACAACTATGATAGCTCATGATCCTACTGCTTGGTCACAGGCCACTAGTCCACTGTGAAGCTGTGAACTAGTTGGATTTAATAGATCTTTTGAAAATGAGGCTTGCGAGTTCGATATACAGAACCTGGCTATTTACATAATTTGGCGAACTCACTGAAGCATGCCTATTATGGCATTGACTGCCCTGTGTACTGTGTCAATGGGCATTGGATGATTCCTTGCCTTCAGCACCATAAGGTGACCCGTCAGGTAGCTGGTGCATTTAGGATGTGATAGATGAGTAAAGGAAGGCGTTTACTTGAATACATCGATGTGCTGCATCACTACCAGCATTGTTATCTGCCTTAACTCATGGTGTTTACCTGTGAACAGACGTGAATAAAGTGATGCCTACCTTGATTCTGGCACTGTTCAGCAGCGTCTGCCACAGCTCAATGAAGTCCTTGTATGACACTTTCTTCTCCACGACATCTGCCGTCTGCTCCTCCGTCTGCTCCGTGTCCAGACTGACTGGGTGGGAGCAGGTACGAATCAGGCCCTGATACACTGAAACACACGAGGCAAACAGTTCTTACAGTAATGCTCCTGTGGCGCCTCGAAGACATTGAACATCCCCCTTGATCCCTGACAGAGGTATTAAGTATTGGCTAGTGCCCTACTTAATGGTGATATAAACTTTCAACATAGCAAAGTCCCTGTGACCTGCAGAGGGGGATCACTAAACAATTTATACCACCTGGGCCTCTAATGCGATGAGCTTTACACGACAATGCACAATCATGAAGCAAGAATTGCTCCCATTTCGTCTGAATCGAATCGTCCAATCTCGGGACGTTACATGAAACAATGAACATAATGCACCCTAGTGGTATAATGTCAAATAAATACTCTAATATTTTGGTCATAACTTTGGTCATTATTTATGATGATGGAACTGTATGTTCCCTGTTAAATCCTTATCAGAACTTTAGTCTGATATTGACTTTGGTCTGAACTTCCTATAATTCTAATTATATTTATTGTTTCCTTCACGAAAATATCTAAGAACTACATTATTACTTGGGATGTTTATCCCCATAATTGACTTTTTTATGCATCCACTTGTATTTTTGCTTTTGTTTGTTTGTTGTTTAACGCCCCACTCAGCAATATTCCAGCTATATGACTGGGGTCTGTAAATAATCCAGTCTGGACCAGACAATACAGTGATTGACGTCATGAGCATCGATCCACACAATTGGGTTACAATGACATGTATCAATCAAGTCAGCGAGCCTGACCACCCGATCCCCTTAGCCGCCTTTCACGGCAAGCATGGGTTGCTGAATACCTATTCTACCCTGGATCTTCATGAGTCATATTTTGGCTGAGTTCCTGAAGTACTGACCCATGCCTGAGAGGACCTGCTGGAACGTTGTTCCTTTAGCCATGAGAGCCAGCAAAACCTGCAGCATGGCCTTCTGGCAGATGAAGCGGAGCTTAGCATGGACCTGGGGGAAGTTCTCCAGCAGTAAGACCAGCAAGTGTTCCAAGGTGGCAGCGTAGGTGTCCGACACCTGCAATACACACAGATTAGAAACAGATGAAGCGGAGCTTCACATGGACCTTGGGGAAGTTCTCTAGCAGTAAGACTAGCAGGTGCTGCAGGCTGGCAGCATAGGTGTCCGAAACTAAACTATTAACATTTGAATTGTACATAATATACCAGTTTAAGATGCATCAAATAAATGATGTTTTAAATTTTACAATGAAGTGTATATCTTAGCCTATCTTACACTATATATTTCTTCCTTCTTCTTTCGATCCTTATGTGGAAACATGCTTGAACAAAGTTTCCAACTTTTAAAAACATTTCACCCAAACACCAGCTCCCAAACAAATAAGCGACATACTGTAATCCCGTGACAACCTGTTGGCAAAGAGGTATGGGGTAGATTAGACCATGGCAGTTGGTATGAGCACGTCTTAAAGTGGTCGTCCCTGATAGAGGAGTACTGGAGGAGATAACAGCAGCTGAGAGCTGTGATGGTGCCAACATTATGAGCAATGAGATCCATAATGCCGATAAATTTACTTCTCATAAGGGCATCTTCGAATGAAACGAACAAGGCAATGGCTTCCATGGGAGTGTACACAGGATAGTAGAATTCAAATTGGTGAGGTTGCGATCATCCACGATGCATGTAGCAGAAAAATGCTTGGGGATGGGAGTAGCAATATCACCATCCAGTTCCAGAGCCACAGCGATAGCCAACAAACCATGGGTGCCGGTTTCAGCCAAGTTGAACAGAGGAGTTTGAAGTTGATCCCTCAAAAGCTTTGTATAGATTACTAGCAACATCATACATGGTGGGCTGGGAGGCAGCATGATGGCAGAGGAACTGGCACCATATGAACAATGAAACCAGTAAGTTGGTCATCACCTGAGATATTTTGCTTCAATTGGAGCCTGTTCACTATCCAAGGATGATGTCCTGATCTGCGGTGTCAAAGCTGCTAGTGGAGGCGGCAGGGAAGGTCTGGTGAGTGAATGAGTATGGTTTTACGCCGCTTTTAGCCATATTCCAGCAATATCACGGCGCGGGGACACCAGAAATGGGCTTCACACATTGTACCCATGTGAAGAATTGAACCTGGATCTTTGGCATGACGAGCGAACACTAGGCTACCCAGCTGCCCCTCAGAGAAGGACTGACTGTCCATGGTGACATTTGGCCTCTCAGTAGTAGCATCAGGCTGAACAGGAGCAGAGGACCAGGGATGTCGAAGAGGAAGTCGTGGCGTCTCGAGGAGGCAACAGTGGTTGACCAGGATGTTGTTGTAGGGCAGAAGTCATGGCCTGCAGAACTGACTTAAAGTCAGTAGCCGAGAATCTAGTCTGGTCCCGATGATCCCAGGAGGTAGGGAGAGGGAGTGTAGATGGAGGGATCCCCGTAGTAAGTGCAGGCACAGCTTGGGTTTGTTGTGCAGGAGCCAGAGACGGAAAACGCGACATCGATCTACTGTGGGATTGTCAATCCGAACAGGTGTCAAAAGTAGAGGAACCTCGATGTGTAGACGACGATCAGCAGGAGTAGATGTGCATGTGATGATATCTATCCGTAGACAGAGGGTATCAATCCCAGCTGTGATGATGATCCCTGTAATCGCTATGCTAATGGTGATTCATGGATGATGGCCGAAGTGAGTTCAAGGCGTAAAGACGGGAACAATTCTGACGATGATGATGACCTGAACGACTGGTATAAGGAGAGTGATTTTGTCTCAATGATCGATCCGCAGATTCTGTGTATTTTATAATCATCCTCAGGAGGATGGAGTTCAACCTGTTGAGCTGGAGGGTTCCATGACTTATCAGTCGCTTTGTCGTGAGATCGATCAGTAGAGCGTCAATCCTGATAATGGCGATCTGTAAGACGTTGATCACTTGAGTGTTGATCCCAAGAATGTCGACCTGTAGATCTTGAACATCAATTACTTCAACGATTCCAGGAATGGCGAGTCTTTGATGAACCATGACGATCTTTATCTGCGGTGCGAGATTGATCCCGGCTGTTTTGTCCTGTAGTAGAAGTACAAACTTGCACGATCGAGCGACCATTGCCTGTTGAAACTGTTGAAACTGATGGTGTGTCCTGTGATGTGATAGTCAGGTCGTTGACAACTTGAACATCAAGTGTAGGAATGGGGGATGATAAGGGATTCTCGGCTGACTGTTGAGGAGCGCTGGGGTGGTAGACAATAGGTATAGTGAAAGCTGTGTGGACAAGCTCTCTTTAGACATGACCGTGAAGACCTCAAAGACTGCAGACTGCTCCAGTGTTGATGTGTTAACGGGCACATGGGAATCAGGCAACTGTTTAATTGTGGCCAGAACATCTTCATGGAGTCAATGTTTTTAGAAGCTGGAAAATTTGTTCAAGTATGTTCCCACATAAGGATTTAAAGAAGAAGGAAGGATAAGTTAAAAAAATCTATTGATTTGTGGTCAATTTATGTCATGTTTACATCAAATAAAGCGGAGATAATGACATACAGAATCCTAACAAAGTGTATTGGATGTCCTACACAACCACTCACCTGATCCACCTCCTTCACAATGTATGCCAGCGCCTCCAGGTAGCTGGGAAGGGAGATAATCCTGTCCTCCAGATCTTCAACTTGCCTGCAACACACAAACACACAAGGGCTAAACATTTTCAGCTCAAAGCTCATACAAGAGTATTTTCATACATTTTACATATTATCCACAAGCTTCAAGATACATAAGTTTATAAAAATCCATATGAAGCATGTGTGTAAGAATGATTTCATGTGCTCCACAGCATTGAACATGAAAAGACATAATTAGAAATACAGACAGCATGCCCTTCCTTTTTTTTCCCTGCAGCTAATTTTGAAGTTGGGATAATAAATAGATTAATACATGTGTGTCTAATCCAACTGATTTTATTAAATGAACAGCCCAACATGTGTTTTCTTGTTGCATGCCACTAAGCTTGTCTATTGTCTTTTATCGTTTTAACACACATACTGTTATTGCCGTCCATAGTAATTCATGGAAAGTTTACCCCAAGAACTGTTGTTCACACTTGCTGATCATCTCGCTGAACATGAACTGGACATCAGACGGAGACAGGAACGACCGACATGGCTGAAGACACAAAGAACTAAAAGACTCATTGGACAAATAATGTAAACTACATATTGTGTGTGTTTATATTGTTTCACACCACACTCATCACTAATTCCGCAATATAGCAGTCGCTTGTAAATAATCAAGTCTGGACTAGACAATCCAGTGATTGATATTATGATCAACGATCCACACCATCAGGGTACTCTGACATGTCATCTACCAAGTCACCTGACCCCGCAATCCATTCCGTCACCACTTACGACCAGTATATAGGTCACCATGGAACCCCGACAGGTCACTTATCTTGCATAGACACAAGCCATTGTAATTGAAGGTGTGGAGCATTGAATTGATATTTAGTTTTTCTCTCAACACATTTTTTAAACTAGCAAAATGTTTTTTCTCAAGTCTTGTTAGAACAGACGTTTGGTGTTATTATTCAAGTCAACAAGCCTGACCCCGCAATCCATTAAGTCTTACGGAGTCTTACTCTTACGACCAATTCAGGTCACCATGGACCAACTCTAACACAGAATGACCATTGGTCACTTCTCTTGCATAGGGGCAAGTCATTGTAATTCAAGTGTGGAGCATGAAATTAACATTTAGTTCTTGTTTCATGTTTTTTCAAACTAGCACAATGTCTTTTCTCAAGCCTTGTTAAGACAAATGTTTGGTGTTATTATCCAATTATGTGAACATTTCAAACTGTCTACTGTGCAGGGGGCACAGGTGGCCCAGTCGTCTAAGGAGCCGCAATTCGCTGTGCAGAGTTGCGTCCTTTGGGCTTGTGGGTTCGAATCCCGGTTCGCCCCAATATATCTTTCTAGGTTGGTCAGCACCATACCCGTGCTCGTGGGTTTCACTGAAGTGCATCACTTGGGGCTTTCCTCCCACATTAAGTTGACACGCCGTGATATGACTGGAATACTATTAAAAGCGGCGTTAACCCCAACTCACTCACTCACACCCTACTGTGCAAAAATGTTATATAGTAGCAAAGAAGGCCACAAATCAACACAATATCAAACAAGACCAGTAGCTCTGACTCACTCACCGCTGCCAACAAGCCATATCCCCTGATTGCCAGGGACACTTCCTTGGAGCCAGACATGTTATCATTCATGATGTTACGGAACTGTTGGATGAAAAACTGAAAGAAAACGGAGTCATGTGTGATCACAAAAGATATTCCCCTCAAAACTTTCTTTACACTTACATTGTGAGTTTTAAAAGATTTGTATAAGTCAGAGTAGCTGTGTTTCTCCTGGGCCCCATTACAAATATACCAAGCGATCTAACGCTACAACTGTCATAAATCTATGTATAAGTCCTCTGTTGAATACGGGAGGAAACCATGAAATAAGGAAATCCGACACACACCCATAAACATGATAAACGAGACAGTTCTTTATGAACTGTGCCATAACCTACTTGTGACCTTGGTTTTGACCTGGAATAAAAGCAGTTGACAATTCTCGGATTTATTGTGAAAAGAAATAAGTTTGAAGACAAAAGAAAACTATGTGTTCAAGATCAGAAGCAGAAAACAGCTGAATTTTAAAAACTGGTTAAACTCATTAAAAACAAAATAAAATGAAAAGTAAGATGATGAGAATTTACCTTGAAAACAGCTCCTTCTTTCTTCCCCTCCTGGGCACGGACAACCAACATCTCTGCAACCTGAACCAGTCAATACACATGATCAGTGATACTCTACATACCGTATTCGATGTAATAAGCGCCCCACTCTAATAAGCGCCCACGGCGATATTTTCTAATATATTGGCTCGTGAACAATCCCAATTAGCACCCCTTCCGATTGATCAATGTACACAAGACTTATTTATTCGCGTATAATACGCACTCGTGTCTTATATGCACCCTTAATTATGGGCAATTAAATTCTGGAAAAAGATATCTGTCGTACATAAACATTTCAGGCTGTCAGCATAAACCACGGAAACTCTGGGGTATTTTCGACAAAATAATATTCTACTAAGAGCCCCCTATTTCTAATTTTGAGAGTGACCTGGGCGCTTATTACGTCGAATACGGTAAGCATCAAAGTGTGACCTTTTACGAGTTATAAGTTACGACAATTTGTTATTCCTCCAATTTCTTATAAAAATGTTGGTGGTCACCATTGCGTCAGAAAATCAGAACATTCATGTATCAATTGTTACTTAGGCAGGGACGTGGGATCCTAATCTGCAGATGTTTATCATATATCATACAGACATTCTTGGCTGTATAGTGTTCACAATACCTGTTTGAGGAAAGATTCCATGGCCATCATGCCGAGATGTGCCAACTCGCGATTGTGATGCCGGTTCCAGCTGAGGAACTTCTCATACATTCCCTACAATATCAATACAACAGACATTAGACATTTGTCACTTTGGTGATATCTATGAGGATAGGTATTGTGCTGCCAAATCCAGACCCCAAGAAACACCCCAGCGTTCACAAACAAATAGACCAAGGTCAATCCCTGTATCCCATCGGCTTCGTCATTAAATTGTTATCTGTGTACATTAATCCTATCCCCTCAGCTTTGTCATTTTATTGTTATCTTTGTACATTAATCCTATCCCCTCAGCTTTGTCATTATATTGTTATCTTTGAACATTAATTCCATCTCTATGTCATCAGCTTCATCATTATATTGTTATCTTTGAACATTCATCCCACCTTGTGTTGTGTTAACATCATGACATATATATATAGTACTCAATGCACTTACTAAGCATTCACCTAATGAAGGAGAAAGAAGCAGCTCTGAAACGTTGTTCAAAGAATACAAGAAGTCGGTATACATAAAAAAGTGTCATGTATCCCTGTAGCTCTGTTCGGCAACCCATGTCCCCATCCGTACCTGGTAGTCATCCATGATGAACTGGTTGAACTGGCCACAGTGTTTGCCAAACAGTCGGAGGCCACCTCGGGGTACATCGTATCTGGAAAAGCTGATCCCTGGGTCAATTGCCATCCGGGCATATTTGAAGATTGCATAGCTGTTTTTTGAGCCTGCACAGAAAATATGACTTAAAAAAATCAGGAGGATTTTAGTTATCAGAAGAAATTTAGGGATGTTGAATCTAGATCCAGAAGTAGAGAAGGGCATTTCTGCAGTAGTTGTGGTTGTTGTAGCAGTAGAAGTGGGGATGGTTGCAGTAGCTGTTTATCCTGATCATTATCAAAATAGAATTAGGGATGTATAAAGACATATTGTTTTGAAATGAACTCCTTTTTTAAGATTAGTCGTCTTCCTACCTTCCTCAGCCGACTGTGTGAAGTTAACAAGATAGGCTGTCAGTCCCTCCAAACACCCAGCTATAACTGTTAATTCTGGTTTGCGGGTCTTCGACTCCATCTGGAATAAACACAATTAATCATAACTTGGGGAGGCTGTAGTTGTAGAAGTTGTAGTTGTAGTATCACCAGAAGTAGTTGTGGTGGTTGTTGTACTAGTAGCACAAGCAGTTGTGGCGGTTGTAGTAGTAGTTGTTGTGGATGTAGAAGTAGCATTCACAAACAGTCCAACCTGTCACAATGGACAAGGTGACTCCTCGGCTTTCAAGGCATTCACATACGACCCAAGCTTTCACACTGTTACAGTAGGCCAGGTACAAACCACTGCTTTCAAGGCATTCACATTCTCACATACAGTCATAGTCTTCACATTGTCACAACGGACAAGGTACAAACCTCAGCCTTCAGGGCATTCACATACAGTCCAACCAATCTCTCCGAGTAGTTCGCCATCAGTTCCGGGTACACCTCGGATATCACTCCCAGGAGCTGGTATACATTGGCCTTCACTGAAAATGTCACGACAGGATTAGCAGCTGGTAAAGGATCAACGGATCAGTCGGGTTCAACGCTGCTTTCAACAGTATTCCAGTGTGTCAGCATAGCGTGGGAGGAACGCATAAAAAGTCATGCAGGTCCCAGATATTAACCACTTTAGTGAAACCCACGTGCACGAGTATCATGCTGACAAACATAATCGAGGTGAACCAGAATTCAAGCCAACATTCATAGGTTTCTGGCAACAATCATAGGTTTCCCCAGGACCAATACTTCACAAGGACCTAATCTTCCTTATGGCTGACACTTCCCTAGGATCTATACTTTTCCAGGACCTATTCTTCTCCAGGATCAATACTTTTCCAGGATCAATACTTTTCCAGGACCTATTCTTTTCCAGGACCAATACTTCCCCAGAATCTATTCTTCCCAGGACCTATTCTTCCCTATGACTTATACTTCCCTTGGATCTATACTTCGCCAGGACCTATTCTTCCCTGAGATCAATACTTTCCAAGGACCTATTCTTCCCTGAGATCAATACTTTCCAAGGACCTATTCTTCCCTGAGATCAATACTTTCCAAGGACCTATTCTTCCCTGAGATCAATACTTTCCAAGGACCTATTCTTCCCTGAGATCAATACTTTCCAAGGACCTATTCTTCCCTGAGATCAAAACTTTCCAAGGACCTATTCTTCCCCAGGACCTATTCTTCCCCAGGACCAATACTTCCCCAGGACCAATACTTCCCCAGAACAATACTTCCCCAGGACCAATACTTCCCCAGGACAAAACTTCCCCAGGACCAGGACTTTTCACCTTTGACCTGGAATCCTATTCAAAGTGTAATTTATGTGAACTAAATAATACCTCATGTGGCTTATTTTTCAAGGCTCTCCCCTCACCTGATGCCTGTAGTTTACTGGAGCTCTTGGTCAGTTCCAGGAAGAGCTTCTCCGTGAGCTTGCTGACCTTCAGCTGGTCCCCCATCGCTGACCCTGCACTCACCTCAAGGAGCTGGCAGCAGAATCAAGGTCAAACTTTATATTATTAAAAACCAATATTTTTAATTAAATAAAATTACAAAGAGAAAGTAATATACCATATTAACCAATCATAAAGCCTTATATTATATCCAGTATTAGAAATACCTCAGCACATGGCTAGTAATTATTTCTAAGTGGTATAGATACATGAATGTGGAAGGTGCCTTCTCGAGGGCTGGATCAACAAGACAGAAACCTAAATATATTTGATATTGTATAAGTTAACATTGTAAGGTTCTTATGATTCACTACACACTGTATCAGTGGAACTTTGTCCCAACAACGATCACAATCCCCATGTGTCCAACATCGACTACACAAGGAGCCCATAAACATGATAAAGAACTGGTTCGTGTCATAGTGAATGTTCTTATCTTTTCTTACATGTAAATAGCTTTTAACTGGTCAGTGTAGTTTTGACAAATTTCCAAGTAACCTGCTACAGCAGTGTACAATTTATAAAAAAAAAATTACCCCATCAACTTCAGGCTAGTAACACTATATAATCTTGATAACAGTGAAAGGTGAGGTGAGGTGAAATTGGGTTTAACGTCGCGTCCAAGATTATTGCACTTATATAGCGACGTGCATGCACGTGTGTATGTGTGGCTGCTTGTACTAGTCTGGACTGATGCAGATTTATAGTGCTAGCTCACTGATACCATGCCACAGCTTAATATGGATACCCGACTTAGACAAAATACACTGACTCCGAGCCGATCAGTACTTGTTTTAGCCCCTTAATGCCGAGCGCCAGACAGGGTAACAACAAGTACCATCTTTTAACGTCTTTTGGTATGATGCGGCGGGGGATTAACAGTGAAAAACATCACATAATGTATATTGAGTTGTGACTTTCTAATCAGAAACACACCACTGTTGTTTCTTAATTTACTGCCGACACTGCCAGAAAAAGGCTCACAAAAGGGTTGGATGAATTCCATGACAGATAAAGCATAAAAGGTGGAACAGAAATCAATATCTTAGACTAAACAGTTAATTTTTTCAATTTGTGCAAACAATTTTTTTTAATTTTTCACATTATTTTCATTTTTCATTTTTTAGGAAAATAAGTCTAACATAAGTGTAATTACTTTAATGATGATTATTAACATGATTAGGTATGAATGGCTTAACCTACCTTAATAAGCACAGGAATTGCTGCATTCTTAACTTTAGCAAACCTATCTCTCATAAACAATGAGAAACTGATTTCCTGTGGAAAAAAACAAGTCTCAAATCAAATCAGGAATCAGACTGGATTAATACATCAGCAAAATCTACGGTGTTCTGAATGTCTAGGTGTTTTCAATACTTCATTGTTCAGTGACAGAACTAAACTAGAACATCAAAACGACAGATCAGTGTTAGAATGTAAGGATGGATTGGGATCCTCAGTGTGTAACAGTGTCCTACAGTATTCAAATTAAGGGACTGCCTAATCTTTATTCCATATCAGGGTATTAATGATAATCATCAGTCAAATCAAATTGTTCACAAACATTTTAATAATATTTGGAAACAATATATCAGTCTTCTATTATTAAATTTAAATGAACACGATAAAACGCAACTATTCATATTTCAGCATTTGCAAATTTGAATAGGGTCTTCACCTGTTTTGGGGCAAGGGGGTGTGAGTTACTCACTTTGATATCCACGGCATAATCAAGGATCTTCTTCCCAACCTTCTCTGTGAAGCCTGCCAGCAAGTCTAGCAGTTGTGCCTTGCATCCCTGGAACTGAACACGCGTGTAAAGGGAATGACAAATAACAAACCCACAGGGTGAGGTGAGGTGATGCATTCAAGATTATTGCACTATACTGCAACATGCATGCATGCTTGCGTGTATGCATGTGGCTGCTTGTACTAGGCAGGACTACTGCCGGTCACAATACATGCCACAATCTTACACCTGCACAATCCAAAAGCTGTTTTCTACCAATTTTGAATTTGTTTTAATTCTTTTACAATATCACATTAAAACATGTCGGTAAGATAAATTCACTCGGGTGTACATGGGATTTTATGCGTCCTCCATTAGGTTTTATACCACTCCCCTCCACCTCGTGGATGCATAAAGCCAAATACAGGATGCATAAAACCCCATGTACCCCGAGTGATCCTGCTAAAACTTACAGTGTAACATGCATAAGTTCCAAGGCCATGTGAGCATGGTGAGGGTCCAAATAAAAATATGTGAAAATATATATTTGATGGGTTTTTTTAAATACCACATACTTGTCACGTCTACTGCATATTGCATTTCACAATCATGCATTCAAAATGAACAAGGTATGAGAAAACTTGACACACAAAATCAGAAGTCTGTGAACATGTTCTGAAACACCATTGTTGGCATCATTAACACAAAAATCATCTTCATAAACCAAGAGGTTGCAGGCGAGAAGTTAAATGGTCATACCTCCTTACCCAAAAGTCAAACTATGCCTAACAATGAATCTGATGGTTTTTTCACATACCACATACTTAATGCATATAAAATGTTATGCAAAATGGCTGAGTTATCATCAGTATCATTGTAATGGGCAAAAATGGCACATTAACAATCAGAATAATCATAAACAATCAATCACTCAATTTAATTATTTACCATTGTTGGAACAATTCCATTCCAAGTTCCAGCTCTTGGACTTTATGGTTTCAAGATGTCAAAAATAAAGACATTCAGACCAGCTAAAGAGTGAGTGAGTGAGTTGGTTTTAACACCGCTTTTAACAGTATTCCAGTTATATCACGGCGTGTCAGCTTAATGTGGAAGGGAAAGCCCTAAGCGATGCAGGTCTCAGATGTTTACCACTTCGGTGAAACCCACGAGCACAGGTATGGTGCTGACAAACATAGAAAGATAATTGGGGAGAACCGGGATTCGAACCCACAATCATAGATTTCTGGCATGCCCAAGGGACGCAACTCTGCACAGCGATTCGCGGCGCCTTAGATGACTGGGCCGACCGTGCCAGCGACCAGCTGAAGAAATGAGTACTGAGGTTATTAGCATAGGTCTATTTTAATTGTGATTCTAGCAGTGAGTGTATCATATACATATTTAAAAAAATGTCACACTTATAAACAGTTCAGCCTACCTCTTCAGCAGTGATAATTTTCTGCAAAAACTTGACCACTCCAATTTCCTTGTCAAATAGCACAGAGCAACAGTAGTCTGAGGATGGAAGATACATGCATTAATAAACTTCATCAAGAACTGAAAATGGGGATTATTGCTAAAGTTAAATTGTTTAGTAAAACACAAGTTTAGAGGGACTATCGATGTTTGAGCAAATGGGCAGAGCTTGCAAGTTTGTATTAAATCATTCGAAACCCAATTCAGTTATCTGCTAACTCAAATTTTAAGATGCAAATTTATCTAGCAGTTGATGAATACTCGGATATAATATCTCAGCTCCAAACATGGCACAACATTCCACACTGAAGCATACTTTCTCTTCAAATGATGGTGAGTGACGGGGAGTTTATTCAGTTTTACCTTCAACCAATACCAATACCAATATTCAATTTATTGTAATACCATAGTCATACCACACATATTTTAAACAGAATACCATCGAAACCTGGCAACTTCAGATAGCACATGCATTTTACATATGTTAGGCCATCGGTACCACCAATAAGTTGATAAAAATAGCCTGCTTCCAAATATACAACATCAAGAATGTCAATACCAAATGCACGACATGCATGAGATAGCTGCAGCTGATTTGGGCAAGACATTGTTTCTGAAAAAGAGCAGGTTTGGAGTTAGTTATTGGGGCTGATACAGGGTTATTCTCGACAGGTACGTACTATCATGCAGCCTGCTTCTTCTCCTGCCTATCAAAATGTACCATAATCACTGAAAATTATTACTGTTGTACCCAGTTCCACAAAGCAGTCAATGTTAATGTATGGGAGTTCCAACCATTTCAGCACTAGGATTACTTAGCAGAATGAGCCCTTGCTTTCCTGCTATTGTGAGTCTCACTTCAAGGCCTCCAGAGTGATTCGAGCAGCCAACAAGCCATCCACACAAGGAAACAAAGTCATTCAAACTGGAACTGAATATGCAAAGACACAATTCTAATAACTGACTATACACATATACCTTTTGCCCTATGGTATAAACAAATGACATTATTCGTGGGTAAAAGCTGAAATGGCATCTTAGCAAAAACGGAACCTTGGCCAGGTCAAAGCACTACTATTGCAATGAGAAAAGAGTAATTAAGTTATGTTTTTTATTAATTTGTTCAGGCTGATCTAGGAGGGCCTAATTGAGGAAGCCATCAACTTCCAAGGAGGAAGAAATCTTTGAAGTGTCACAGGGGTTCAAAGATGGGGATCTCTCCTTTCCACAGATGCTGACCAAGTATAGATGAAATGTGCTGTGACATATGACATGAGCGAAATGACAAATGACTTTAGTAGTGGTGTGGCAATGATAGAAATATGGTGACAATGACAGATATATGTTACCAATGAAAAAAGCATTTACCATAGTATACGGCATAAAATGTTCTTATCGTCATTATGAATATAAGATGTCATATCCGTTGGCCCTCTGAAGCCGTTTAGTAGCGTCAGTGGGGATTTGTCAGGTAGCTATCTAGATAATTACATTATTTTGTTAACCGTGCATGTTCATAAACGACCAAAGCTATATACAATAAATCTACGAAGAGGCGATAATGCATATGAATGAAATGTCAAAGCACTGATTGATGGTCATAACCAAAATGACAACACGAACATGATTGACGACAATCGTTTGACGATCGAAAACAGGACAGTCTACACCGGCGACACTAACAACCGTTCAAACATTGCATGCATTTCCAACTGACACGCGTCTTACCGACGTCCTTTTCGGATAATTCGTTCAAGCATATTTGTATGACATCGCCAACAACAGTGTCAATCTGTTCTTTGGCTCTGCCGCCGGAGTCTCGATAAAGATCATGCAGCGATCGCAAACTGTCTTCCAATAAATTCGCCGCCATTTTCCTTGTAACATGTCATGTGACCATTCAAAGGGACATAAGCAAAGGAGCGTACTTTCCATCCACAAACGTTTTGAAAAATATCCATGTTTTTTGTTGGGTTTTTTTGTGTTTTTTTTTGCTTACAACGCACTCAGTGATATTCCAGCTATATGACGGGGGTTTGTAAATAGTTGAGTCTGGACCAGACAATCCAGTGATTGATATACGCAATTGGGATACGATGACATACATGCATCAACCAAGTCAGCGAGCCTGACCATCCGATCCCGTTAATCTGAAAAATATCTAACGAAATATATATATATGTTTCTCAAGGCAGATAAAAATATATATAAAAACTACTTATTTTGAAATTAACTTACCCTCTACAACAATGTTTTCAAATTATTGATGAAGGAAAGTATAAACTTATCAATTGTTAATTCTCGCTAAAGCAAATTCAATTACAATCACCGTGTAACTTCCAATTAGGGGATTTTACCCAAAAACATGCTGCAGAACTGTGAATGAAGTTACAGACTGAGTATTTCGTTCATAGATTATTCAACAATAAACGTTCTTTTGTAAAGGTCCAGCGTAAAACGATACTCACTCACTCTGTTAATGTCATCGAAATAAAGTTGAAAATGCTCAGTCTCTTATTCAAGATGAAGAACCTTAAAGCTTTAATCATTTTAACAGTCCTCTATTGACATTGACTACTGCATCTGTTTTAGTTCTCTATGGTTGGCATTGGATTCCATACTGGACATGCAGGCGTCTGTTTTGGTAACAGCGCTTCAGAATTCGGCAGGGTTCATATATTTTATTGAAACACCAATATACAGAGGAAATATCTTTTAAGGTAACTAAGCTGATAGTTAATCTTCTCTATGTCCGCCTAACTTCAGGTAAGTCCGCGTGGGGATTCCGGGTCAGTTCCTCGCCAGTATATACTTGTAATGGCTGACTCAAAGGGAAGAGGCAGTCAGTCTCACTGGTTCACATGCCGCCGTTAAGTAAGTGCAAATAATGCTGATTGTCACTAACCAGAGACCATATACCGGTACATAGTCTCTGCACTAACTCACTAACTCACTCACTCACTCACGCTCGCACTCACTCACTCACCCATCCACCATCTTCCCGAGGCAAGGGAGTCAACTGTCTATAAAAGCTCAGTTTCAAGCCAGGTTGGAATTTTCGGGCTCAACTGTAGCGCCGCCAGAGTTAAGGATTTTCTATGTACGTCCTTCTGACCAATCAGATTCCACCTGTGATGTGAGCACCTTGATAAAAAGCATGGAAAGATTTGAAAAATATGCGTTGACGTCGAGCTGGCGGGCGACATGCTTTATAAATCCTGCAGTCGACCGAAATCTGCACGGCAGTTTACGAACCGGATGTCGATTTTGTTACGAGAATTTGATAAGACTAGTATGTATAGACTCCTCAGTCCAGCCAAAATATAACTCCATAATTCCAGACCAGTTCGGCAAGGGTGGATACTTGACTTTTGAACTCAGTTAACGCCCTTGCCTCCGGAAGATGCCCATCCACTCACCCACCCACCCACGCACTCACTCACCCAAGCTTTCAAGTAGTGGTGTGGGGTATCTCAGAAACCAATGCTTGTGGTTCGAATCCCGGTTAGTCCTGATCGTGTTCAAGATTTGTGAGCATCATTTCGTCAGTGTTTGACCAAAGTGGTACACGTCATAGAACGGTGTCACTTCGAACTTTTCCCTACATCCAGTTGACATGGATGAAATACTGATTAAAACGGCGTTAAACCAAATTCACGCACTCACAATATACAGGTCATACATAATGAGGTCAAACAATTTTTAAACTGTAGTTGAAATAAAAGCCAGTGCTTTAATACACGATACAACATACCTTCAAAGGTATGTCGGTGGTTACAGCGGCCTTCTGATCTACAATATTCCGATAAGCGCAACTTGGTCTCAACTATGCTTCATAAAGGAATTTAAGGGCAGAAAACAAATCACTCCGCGGTTGCCAGTACATGAAACTGATTAACGTGATCAACGTGTATGGATGAAAATAAAGCTGCTATTTCACTGCAGTCTCATTAATATGATGATATACATCAGATCTTTGTTCTCTCTACCGTTAAACTAAGAACTGAGGACATCCCGTTGCGGGTCATGTCAGAACGACCTATGCTTTTCACTGGGGCGACACAATGACTCGCGATGCGAACATAGCATACCTGGAAGCGCTCGTAAAATCTCAGCAGCAGCACTTCACACAAGTCAATATCTTTCGATAAAATCCTTCATAGTGAGTAAGTATGGCTTTACACCGCTTTTAGCAATATTCCAGCAATATCACGGCGGGGGACACCAGAAATGGGCTTCACACATTGTACCCATGTCGGGAATCGAACCCGGGTCTTCGGCGTGACGAACGACCTCTTTAACCACTAGGCTACCCCGAAGATATACAGAGTGCGTAATATAAAGATGTATATAGATTCAAACGAAGAATAGCCACACACATGTACACACGTTTTAACACTACATATTACTCTGATCTAATTCCCCATTTGTATGCGTTGTTTTAAGTAGTTTTGATTTACATATGTATATCTATAAGGTTCATTGTTCACACTAGAGTGGGACGGGTAACTCGGGTACCGGGGTCGGGTGGGTACTGAGTAGGACCCGGGTACCCACAGGACAACCCGGGCCCGTGGTTAGTCACGTAATATATTGTTTAATGACAAAAAAAAGTATCTAGAACTCTATGGTTACACTACAAGTCACAACTGTTCGCATTCCTTCTGACTTTTCATATCTTTGAATAAAGATATAACTTGAGTCAGCTTCAGTGTATACATGACCAGATTGTTTAATACATGTACAGTAAACTATGGTTATAACGAACACGCTTATAACGAACTGACGGATATAACGAACTAACTTTTTAGTCCCGACTATTTGCTGTAGGTATGCTGTATATATGCTTATAACGAACTACGGTTATAATGAACTAAAAATAGTAGTCCCTTTGAGTTCGTTATAACCGCAGTTTACTGTATCTAAATACGTTTTGCCAGTGCTGTGGTAACAAAATGCCCAATCGGACATTTTGTACCTATCTCTTGAGACCTACAGTGAGTACCCGGGTAGGGTCGGGTAATAGGGGGAAGGTACCCGGATAATCAATTCGGACTCGTCCCAGCCCTAGTTCACACATCCCACAAGAACACACCATTATGGTAATTCAAAACCTTAACGATAACAACTAGTCTCGAATATCTGCCGAAATAGATTCCATTGGGCGCAAAAGGCAAGTAGTGATGAAAATTATATAAATGGATCACTGAAAGTCAGCGCTGAAATCGGGTGTTCGTGAAAAGGTGGTGGAGAGGTGAAATGGGGTTTAACGTCGCGTCCAAGATTATTGCACTTATAATGCGACGTGCATGCACGTGTGTGTGTTTGTGTGGCTGCTTGTACTAGTCCGGACTAATGCCGATTTATAGTGCTAGCTCACTGAGATACCATGCCGCAGTTTAACATGAATATCCCACTCAGACACAGTATACTGACTCCGAGCCGACCAGTCCTTGTGTTAGCCCCTTAATGTCGAGCGCCAGACAGGGTAACAACAAGTACCATCTTTTAACGTCTTTTGGTATGACGCGGCCCGGGATAGAACCCCGCACCTTCCGCTCTCCTGGCGGACGCTCTACCAAAAGACCACGGAGGCGGTCTCGTGAAAAGGGATTAGCTATCAGATATGTATTATAAACGGTGTATGATGCTAACTCAATAACACTGTTCAACATATTTCATGTACAGTTGAAACACAAGTGCTGTCCATTTATATGAATTTGGTATAAAGTTTAGTTTTTGTCTTTTTCTTCACTGTTATAAAACATGTGTAAAATGTATAATATTACCATACATTTATAGAAAAACCGGCTGCTTGAATGTTTTGAATGTACGCAGGGAAATAAATACAAATAGAAATTAACCAATTTGTATGGACGGCACCTTCATTACACTGTTGCATAGCTTCTGTTGGAAGCGTACGGGAGACGGAATGTCCCTGACAACTGGGACATGACAATACAATAAAAAACACATATGCTTGTCGTAAAAGGCGACTAACGGGATCGGGTGGTGACTTGGTTGAAACATGTCATCGATCCCAATTGCGTGGATCGATGTTCATTCTGTCAATCACTGGATTGTCTGGTCCAGACTCGATTATTTACAGACCGCCGCCATATATCTGGAATATTGCTGAGTGCGGCGTAAACAAAAAACAAACAAACAACAACATAAACACATGCATAAATAGTTAAAATATGATTTAAGTAAAGAGCCATTTAAATAGTACAATGATATGAGTCAGACTGCATTCGTCTGGAAATAACAAGTCTGGCATAAAGTATTTTTCCACTCATTCAGGTATGTACCAATGAACAAGTTACACGTTAGTCTCGTGAAAACGCTCGTGACTTTACCCCATGCCACTTCGCGAAATGCTTGCACAACAACAGTTTGCAACGTGTCGAGATTCACAAACACCTCGTCTCGTCACTGTAAGTACAATCATGGTTGAAAGAATTCACATTTTGTCGTTAGATTTTGCAGAAGTTCGGTTCCATTTCTTGAGATGGAAATGTGATGTGCTACTGCATATAATTTGTATTATGTTTAATACTGAAAGAGAATATTGTATACTTTCCATTCACAAAATCAATATTCCTATCTTAAACCACAAAACGCCTACAGTACAGTATGGCAACGCGGTATTAAAAAGTAACAATGATTAAATGAAAGACGATGATAAACTGAAAACTATGACCGAGAAATGTATTAACTCATGGCATAAATAGAGATTATTGTACGAGAATGTGTGTCATACTGGTCTAACGAAACGAGTAGTCGCTATATGGATGAAATAATGCTGATGCGACGTTATTTTACTCATTCACGAAACGAAACTGCTTGGGTAATTTGCAATATTATACTCGA